CGCTTTTATCTTGTATTTAAACCCCCTAGCCTATCCTAAACGGACCGTCCGTCATAGTTTCCAACTACATATAGACGTAAAACGAATCAATCAATTAATCAATTATAGTCCGCTACAGAGTTGACGCATACTAAGTAAAGTTAGCGTACTACGTGTAGAGAGAGTCCCCGCTCTATATTTGCGAGCCTAGACAGCCGGTAGAAGGCTGATTTAGGTCCCTAGGAGCGCTGGTTGTTGCGTTCCCTTCTATATCCTAGTCGTCTAACCTATTCGTGTGTAGTATTGGCGATGTATAACTATATAGAATATCCGGCTTAAATTATAATATATTACTTAGTATACTATACGCTATAACCTATATAAGTTTAGCGTAAGTATACCGAAATTCTACTATTCTAGTCTACTCCCCTCCCTACTATTCTAGTCTACTCCTATACTACGATTTATATAGAGCCGTTCTTATATTTACCTAGTATTATATAACCCCTACTATTCTAGTCTATTAGACTAGATTAGGGCATCTAGGTTAGTAATACGCCTATACTCGATCCTTTACGTAACTTATCTCTTAACTTCCTATACTTCTTATCCTTTAAGGTAAACCCTTTAAATCTATTTACCCGCTAGGTAATTCTAACGCCTAGGCTAAAGAGGCCTCGTTATAGTTTTACCTAATTAAAGACTACTTTTAAAAAAGAATTAAAGGCTACCCCTCTATTAATTTTCTCCCTTACTAAAAAGTATTAAAGGCTTAGTATTCTTTAATTAGATATTTAGGTTAGGGCCTTTTAAGATAGATAGAGTACTAGAGAGAAATATTAGCGTTTCTCGATCGATTAAAGAAGCTACTAAGAGACCTAGAAGGCGGTAGATAATAAATAAGTAATAACTATAGCTTTAATACTAATTAACTATTATTTCCTTTATTACTATTATATTATATAAAGCTAGGCGCGAGGAATTAGACGCCGCTTATCCTCCTAAATTACTACTACCTATAGGGGTATATATGCTACTATCTAAAAGAATACGTTTTCTCTTTAAGATCCTTATTCCCTTGCAGTGGATAAACGTGTGGTGTAAGGGGTAAGGCTGTAGTAGAACAACTAACTGTAATAAGGCTGAAAAACCGAGAGTTATCGGAGTAATCCTGGCTGACACATCAAATATCTTATTATACCCTTAAACATAAGCTCTGTGCTAATGCCTCTACCTGATCTAATACCTACAGGCTATGCTTTGCAGCGAGATCGAGGGTAGAGGTGAGGCCTCTACATTAGCAAACATCTCCAGCCATAAAAGCACCGGAAACACCGCTCGAGTACCCACCCACAGTAGCGCTAGAGTAGTATGTACAAACACCATCCTGGTAAGTCGTCGCAACGCAGAATCCAGAGTACGTGCAGTACGTAATGCATGAGTCCAAAGAAGGTAAGCCCTCGCTTCTTAACACACCCGTGAAGGTAACTCCACACGCAACTTGGAAAATATCGCCCGTAGTTTCTGCTTGCGTGTAAGCTCCATCGTCACTTGGGCATGACACGGTATAGAGCGGCTCGCAAGGGCTGAACGTTGCGGCAGCTGTAGGCGAGGCAGTCGGTTCTGTCGAAATAGTTGAAGTTGAAACAGCCGAAGTAGCTGCATCGGTCGCGGTAGGAGTGGAAGCCTCAGCAGCGGAGGTCTCAGCGGCAGTTGTCTCGACAGCAGAAGTTTCGACAGTAGAAGTCTCAACGGCAGAGGACTCAACGGTAGAATCCTCAGCGGTAGAAGTCTCAGCGGTAGAGCTCTCGGTAGTAAAAGTCTCAGCTGTAGACGTCTCAGTGGAAATTGTAGTAGCCTCTGTCGCAGATGTCAAGCTATCGGTCGAGAGCGTGGTAAATGACTCTGTAGAAGTGGCAGTTTTAGTGGTACCGGAAGATTCGGCAGATGTAGTGACGGGGGAAGTCCCCGTAGCAGTGGCGAAAGACTCCGAGGAAATAGAGATTTCCGTAGTATCAGCCGACGTCTCTGAAGCAGTAGCAGTCGTCTCCGCACTGATGTCCGTCGATGACAAAGAGGCGGAGACAGAGGCCAGAGAAGAAGTATCGATAGTATTTGTAATGCTAGAAGAGACCGTGCTTGTCGTTTGCGACTCTATCCCGGAAACCGTGATCGCAGAACCCGGAACATCAACAGTGCTCGTTATAGTGGTGGAAGGTAGCGTGACCGTGGTTAAAGACGTAGAGCCGGGAACTGTAACGATAGAAGGGGAAATTGTAGACCCAGGAACAGTTATTGTAGAAGCAGGCATAACAACTGTACTCGTGATTGTTGTATACGGCAGCGTCACTGTCCGCACCTCCATCTTTCCCGGTACTGTGATAATGGATGGAGACCCAGTGACTGTGATAACGTTTGACGCGGCCGAGATGGTAACTATAGACGGAGCAGCCGTAATAGTTCTCGTCACAGTGCTATACGCCATTGTGACTGTAGTGAGGAATGTGGACCCAGGAACGCTAATCACAGACGGGGCGTTGTAAACAGTAACGACTTTTGGTGAATCTGCAACAGCAGGCATCTCCACCCCCGCCGATGAAGAAGCAAGACTCCCAGTGGCTGCGGCAGGGCTCCCGGCATCCGTGCCCTGTGCCGCGCCCATGGTAATCGTCCGCGTTAGCGTTTCGGCAGGAAATGCCTCTGCCAGCAAAGTTACGATGCGTGGCTCGCCGGGAAGGGTTACTGTCAAGGCATACTGCTGACCCTGGGATGCGGATTGCAGGGATTGGGGAGGAATAGTAACAGTGAGAGGAGTAGCGGAGAACGTAAGGGTCTGAGTGGCCGGGAGGAGGTGAATCGTGGTAGTAGAGGTTGCAGTTGATGTATCTTCATGAGTGGTCAGCATGGTGGGAAAGAGCGGCTAAAGTTATCACTCACGGACGTAGCTGACGGTAACAGTGCGGGGCTGAATGAGTGTGGTAGTGGATATGGACATTAAGCCGCTCTGGTACTCCGTCTGTGTGATAGTTTGGGTAACAGTACTACGATCATCAGCATTTCGTGTCTCGTCACCAGTGGTACAGGACTTACGACGCGGACAGACATTGCAAGCCCAAGCCAGGGAACGCCATCGCGGTAGAGGCGTATACGCCGAGCGCCGTGAGGAAGGAGGGCTTCATGTCTGGCTTAAGAATGAGCGTGTTTGGATGAGAATAAGGAGCGACAAGCGACAAAAAGTAAACAGACACAGGGGAGGTGTTTTATACGCCCCGCCACCCTAGGCTGTTCAGCCGCATCAGAGGAAAGGAGTCGCTAAAGCCAGTGGCGTCCGCGTGGCTGCGTTAGTATGCAGCTGAATGTGAGGCCATCATCAGTCTCGATTTGAAGCAGCGCTGTCAAGGCACATGTTGTGGCAGGAATGGCCATTGCGTTTGACATGCGTTATGCGCCACAATGCGCGAAGGTAACTGGTATTAGTGCTGAGTGCTCCAGAGCGAGGATGCAAACCAGACCAGGGCGTGTTCAAAGGTAAAAGGTGGAAATTAAGGTCGTTGGCGCCTGACGGGGTCTGTGCTAACGGCCCATACATAGGCGAGAATAGATTCCGGGTAGCGACTTCGTAGTACAACGGTTGCAGCTTTACAGACGAATATGTTCCACGTTCTCATTGCCCGGCTTGTCCACATCAAAGTCAAACCGATCGGGAATACGAAGTCCCTCGCGGGCGTATCCAGCAAACTGATATCGAATGACGGAGGTGCCATCTCGCCAAAGCCAGAGATCTCCAGTTTCCCTCTGCCAGTTTTCAAGGGATTGTCGCATTTCCTTTAAGACACTCTCATACTCAGACTTTTGCGCCAGGTTTTCCAACTCGTTAGGATCGTCTACTAGGTTGTAGAGTTCCTCGGGCGGACGCTGGATATAATCTTTCAATTTCCGCCCACCAATCATTGGGGGAGACGTATTTCGCATCCCCTCAAACGAAAGTGAAGCATACAGATCCATGGCAAAGGGAAAGTCGAGCTTCCAACAAACATTCCTATGATACTTGTATCGTCTGTTCCTCATGTATCTGGTCGGCCAGTAATTTGTGATCTCATGAAATGTATGGGAGCCAAAAACGTGGTCCCAAGAAGGCTCTGGTTTGTCTTGGTCGAGAATTGGAAGTATTGATCTTCCTCGCCGAATGATCTTTCCCTGGGGCACGGAAACATTGCCATGCCCGGCCCAATCAAGTAGCGTGGGCAATATGTCTACGTACGAGACCAGGTTGGGGTTGACTACGCCAGCTGCACCGAGACCCGGAGCCCGCAACAAAAACGGAAGACGCACACCTGCCTCGAACAGGGTTGTTTTGGAGTTGATAAATGGCGGTCCGTTATCGCTTAGAAACAAAACAAGAGTGTCGTCCCGGAGATTGGCAGCATCTAGGGCCTCTAGGATGAGGCCGACTCCATGATCCATCCGATTGATTGCACGGTAGTACTCCACCAGTTCTTGTCGAACTTCTGGAACATCGCTCAAAAACGGTGGTACCTCGACAGCTTCCGGTTGGTAAATTTGATCTTGCAATCTCTGATCGTAATTTCCGTCAACGTTTCCGAAGCCTCCGCGGGTACCGATGTGTCGATGAGGGTCGACAAATCCGATTGTGAGAAAAAAAGGCTTGTTTTCGGACACAGCCTCATGGAAGAAATCAGCGGCTCTATCAGCGATGTAGGCGACGTTTCTCGACCCGCTCTCCTCGCGAACCTGCCAAGGATATGAACTCTCGGGGCTGACATGAACTTTCCCTAAAATGCCAGTTTTGTAGCCCAGTCTGTTAAATTCTTCAGGTGCAGTTTCGACGTTGGAAAATGTCTGGAATCCGTTTCTTTCTAGGTTGAGTCCATAGCTCCCGGTTTCGTGCGTATGCAAACCCGTGTATATGACGGTTCGGCTTCCGCTGCAAGATGCCGTGCTTGTGAAAGCCATGTCGAATTTTGTTCCAGATGTTGAGAGCGCATCTAGGTTAGGTGTTCTAATAGCTTTGCAACCGTAGCAGCTCATTTGGTCACGGCCCAAGTCGTCAGCTATGAGAAGCAGAATGTTTTTCGCTTGATGCATGGCTTGTAGTGGGTAAAAACAAAGTCTCGGTACTATCGGTTTCGGTTTCAACTTAAAGCGACAGAGGGTTCTTTCGCGAAATCCTGTAGTTAGATTGCAATAAAAGAGGGGCGGTAGCTACGCATACATATATGCGGGGTTTATGAACAGCTTGGCCTTGCGTCATGCGGGGTATCCCGTGCAAGGAAACTCCGCCGAGCCGACAGAGCACACCATCATAAACAAAAAGGAGCCAACGTTTCATCTGCGCAATCGCAGTAGGCATTTTAATATTTATACAAAACACAAGCTTGCATCGCCTATTCTTTGTATTTAACACAAAGATGAACGCTCTTACATAAATTTTGCGAAGAAAGAATTCCACAGAACGCTAAAATGTTCGACTAACATTCCATTCTTACAACATCTGTCATTTCTGCGGACAAAGAAATTACTATGATGATGTGTAAATATGAGTTTGTTCCTTGTTCTCGCTTTATGTTTAAGCAGAAAACTTTTCGTGCTGTCATAATCTTACTAACTTTCTTCTAAGCAAAAATGCGAAGACAAATAATACACCTACCCATGCAGCCCACTGTGATGCCAAGGTGGATCGAGAGTAGTTGATAAGAGGTTCTGAGCGTCGCGATGTTTCGAGGTTCGGAAAAGCCATAATCTTAACGGCAAGTGCGGTCCATCCCGTGAAATCTTGCGTTCGCTGGCCAGCTCCTGTATCAGGATTGTACTGTTCCCAAGCAAAACCGGTGTTGCGCCAGGAAGTGTAAACAGTGTCTACAAGGTTGCGGCGGAGCGTGGAGTACATGTCACGCGCTCTCTGCTGGAAGGGCCCATGAGATTGCGCAAGATCCTGGTTGAAAATACCATAAGCTTCATCAAAGTACAACTTCGGGGCAAGTAACCCACAAGAAGTCGTTCGACAATTAAATAGTTAATAGGAATCCAGACCGGGCTACGCCAGTAATTTTCGTCCTTGCCATAGAATTGGTCTTTTTTACTAAGGCTGCGAATTCCATGCTTGCTCCAAAGCCCACCCTCATCATTGATCAAAGTAAGAACAGCATTTAGATGATGATGGTCGGGTTCAAGCAGCCCGAGCAGAAAAGGAAACAGTGAGATGTATCCCTTACGACACACTAGGGTATGCATATCGTTCTGGATCATAGCGTCGCAATATGCTTGCTCCTCTTCAGACCAATGCAGTCTCGAAATTATGCTTTATTGCCCGTGCTTGTTGGACATGCTTCTCCTGGTCGTCTTTTTGGTCCAGATATGCCGAAACTTGATGCAGTGAACCGGCCATGGAACTAACCCAGGTCAGCGCACCTATATGCAACTCCCCTGGGTGTGGTGGATTTGCTCGAGGATAATTATCCAGTCCGCTGGCTAGAGTATATTGAGGTGTCCGGCCTTGCCAGCGATAACCCTCCTTTGACATAAAATCTGGCCGAGAGTATGAGGTTAAATCCCCAGCCTGGGTATTGCGAGACCAAGAGTACTGCCTCTTGAGCAACGGGTAAAGGCCGTTGAAAAGCTCCTTTGCAGCATCGGGGTGGCTAAGATAATATGAGGGAGCGCCATTGTAAGGCACCTTTCCACCGAGTCGGTCAAGGAAGGCCGCTACCACTAAGAACAACGCTGGAGGATTTGCGTGGTGCGGATACTGAGTTTGGAAAGCAGAAGGGACCTTGCTACGGGGCTCGTCTCCAAGGATCTGCTCTCTCGCGATCCAGCCGTCGTCGTCAATGAGAGCGAACCAACTTTTCACAATCTCTATAACAAGGTCGGCATCCCAGTCCAGTACAAAAGCAAGTGGAAGCCGTCATCCCACAGAAATCCTCGCGGAAAGAATAGCCTAGAAGGAATGAGACTGAATAGCTCAAAAGGTCCAACCATCTCAGGAGTAGCTCTTTCTTGGGCCCTTGCAACCTTTTTCCAAAAATCCAAATCTTTTTCTTCGTATTCAGGAGCATGAGAGTTGTCCACTTTCATCTTCCCGTGACCAAAGTTGAGGCCGCCTAAGAGATTAGAAAGTAGAGCCCTCGAGCAGTTGGCGTAACTTCCTTGGTCATATGGCCATTTAGGAGGATAAACAGTTTTGAATCGAGACGAAAAAGAATCGAGAGCGATGTTAACGCCCTTATCAAGGTCCGTTGCTGCTATAATTAGGTATATGCAGGTAGACAACTTGTTTAAGGAAAACGTACATGTTATGGGTTGGGATGCAGACTGAGAAGAAAACAGGATATCAAACTTTCATGGAATCAGCACATCTCCTCTTAGAGGGTTTATCAAAAGACCGACCTCGAACGAATCCTGGAAAACTTTCTGTACAAAAACCATGTTCCCCTTTTGAGGATCGTGTGTAGATACATGATCGAAATCCGAATTACTCTTAACATAATCCGTAAATACGGCTTTAATGCCATTGGCGTTAGAGTTGAAGCACGTTCGTAATATTCTATGAAATAGCTTTAATCATTCCGGTTTATAACCGGATAAAATTTGGAGCTTACACTTTCCCTGCCAGATTTTTTCTTCTGGAACTAATAATGCAGTCAATGAAGTCATTTGGCTTGGTTTTCCATCTTCCGGGTCCTGGATATGAAATTTAAAATCCCCTAGGCTGTGCGCGGCTCCTTGACATTCTACAGCTTGGCCTTCTGACTTTGCGCACTCCAAATTGGAGCTACTGCTGGATTCCATCTCTTCCATACCAACATAGAAGATAACGTTGGTTATCAAACCGAGCTGTGCGTCAGATCGGGGCACTCCTCTGACGCGCACGCCCCAATTACCGCCATGTGGCCCGTCGGGCGCTTTGAAAAATTCGGTGCTAAAATCCAGCTTGTTTCCTGCATCATGAATATTCTGCAATCCGCCTTGTCTAGGGTCATAGGCTGTCCAGCCGTAGCCGTTCATGCCTTCATTTTGCTCGCACGTGTGGCGGAGGTCTTCGGAAGTCAGCGGTGAAGCGCAGTCCTGCATTCATCATACTTGCCGTGCTCCACCGTTTCGTTATTTTCCATGCGAGACCACATCAACCCCGTAAGCAGCGTTTTAGATATCCGCGGCCTGACGCCAAAGTACAAATTTGGACGATACGGGCCCCATACAAGCGAGGAGTTGTCAGGAGACGCATCGGACGAGAAAATGAAGTAGATGGTGACAAAAACCAAGGTAAAAAGGTGCCGGAGAATCATATCGGTGGATAGAGTTGTGAGGTCTCGCTCAGTCTCAGTCACGGCGCCGTTCGTTCTTCGGGTTTTGGGGTGAGGACAGGGCATGGTCACATGGCGCTCCAGGACGATCTTAACCTAAACCGTCTTGACGGTCGATGGACCGGGGCACTACATATAATAACCCCCGATCCTCCTCCGACGATCACCACCTGTATACATCATGCAAACGACTGCCATCTCCTTCACTCACCGCTCAACTTGGTCCCGTCTATGGGATGCATATACTTTCCAAATGTCATTTATCCTCATATTCACTCCTGCAGTAGACTGCCGCACCGTAAAACAGTACACAGTACGCAGCACACAGTACACAGTCTCCCGGCCTTCATTTTAGACCCACTGCGTATCCCAACACTGTTTTCTTCCTATATGTGACACCCTCCTATTGGCTCCATGATGCAAAGAATATTTAAGGGAGGGATGATCGTGTTGGTGTCTCACCTCTTGAGGATGTGAGCCCATCGAGTCTTCGTCATCCTATGACACAGCTAACAGGCTAAAATTCGCAGTCGTAGTTGATTGCTCGAGCTCTTTACATCCTCACTTGCCTCATCACTACCCGTACCACAGATGTCTTTGAATCCTCGGCCTGACTGTTCATTTCACGAAACAGACGAGGCGCACCGATGCATAGAAACTAACCCTAATGCTGCTCCCCAGGCATTAGCCCGTGCAGCTCACTAGGCAGAAAAGATATATGTGCCACAAGAGGAGGGGAAAATTCCGCAGCCTCAGCCTCAACCCGAGCCTAAGTTTCTCGACCTTCACTACAACGATAAAATCCCTAATTCTCAAGGAGAGGAGAAAATACCCGTCAACCAATCCGATAAAAGAGTAAATAGCATGATATGCGGTCTAAGTCGAAGAATTTTCTTGGCTCTCACACTTGCCGTACTAATCATCGCCATTCCAGCAGCTGTTGGTAGAGGCGTAGGCGGTGCACTCAGCTATAAACGGTCTTCGACGAGTACAACGAAACATAATTCTAGCCCTATTCACCAAAGCTTATTACTCGCTGCGCTGAACTAGTCGGATAATAACGGAACACATTATCGAGTCTATTTTCAAGGCCGGTCCGGCGTCATCCGGGAGTCTACTTAGGATTCCAACGGGACTAGATGGTGTATGTCAGACATAACGGACCCTGCAACGGACATTAAGATTGGCACACCTATAGCAGCGGCTGCTAGGTAGCGTCATGCCAACAAATCGTACGCTCTTGTAAGTCCGTAATGGAATCTTTCTATTATAACCTAACTTGCTGATACGACGCTTAAAGGTCAAGAATGTCTACTACATAGGCAGCACTGGTAAGCTCTACGAGCGCTAAGCTCCTGAAAATGACTCGCAAGCTTGGGCAGACGATAATTTCAGAGGGTTATATAAGGCAGGAAGCGACTCTTACGTTGCCGCTTACTGGGAACAAGACTTTGACAACGAGAACCAGACACTTTCGATTATGTGGTAGCAGAGCAAAGCTTCCGATGGTTTGACTATGGGAAAATACACAAGAAACAAGGATATCAGCAACTCATGGACGTTTACCAATCTCAACTTTTCAGTCCCTGACGGATCTGCCTTTGCCATGGACCGGTACGGGGGTGAACCCAACCTGTTACTCCACACCATCAATGAAAACAAAAAGATCACGCAATATCAATATCATACAAACGACACTTCCCTTTCAGAGGAGACCGGTGGGTGACACGCACCCATTTATATTTCCATAGTACTAACGCAGTACTTCAATTACGGGTATCAGCCTGGGCCTAAACTCCCCTATGACAATGGCGGTTCAAGACAACACGCCCTTTTTCAGTGTTAAAGAACAGCCTGAATGTTCATGGCCTTTCCCATTGAATAGCTTGATATTATACGCAACGCCGAACCTAAGCACGCTTAATTTGGTTTCCTATAACTGCTCCTCGGGTTTTAGCACTCAGACGCCACAACTGGAACCTGTATTGAAGGAAAACAGGACTTATCTTGCATTGACCTCACACAAAGACAGTAAAGTCTACGTGATGTTCGACGAGGGCAATGGCCCTGAGGTCGAGGAGTGGACTGTACCGCAGTATTCGGGAGACTCGTGGGATGCAACAGTAGTCAGGGCTGTTGATGCAAAACCCAATCAATGTGTCTAAATAGATTACGATAATTCTATACAGCGTATATTCTAAATCGAGTCTCGCGCAATATTTTAAAGCCTGTTACCGCCAACTGAGAATTATTGTCTAGTAAGATAGGGAACGATATAAGTTCTATTATACTCTACTTGTAGTACCTCCCGCAACCAATCTATAATATCACCAAAAACACCATAAAACTCAAAGGACTAGGGACTTTCCCGAAAAGAGATAGATCGTATCATGCATACGCTAGGAAGACTTTACCTTCATCTTACGCCCCCTGTAAAACCAAGTCGCAAAACCCGTTAGCAAAATCGTAGTGATGCAAAACCCTAAGAAAACTGCAAAATCCCTCCACCTATCACCGTAATGAAAATCCAAAGTGGCCGCAAAGTCATCTCCAGTAGAGAATTTGCAGAAGTGACAATCAGTTGTGGCGGTCTCGTCACGCAAGTAACCTGTATGGCTCTTCAGGAAGTCGGCCATATATTCTCCGCAAGTCTGGCTTCCAGGAGGGTCGAAAACAGTCCAATCTTTCGCACTGCACTCGGCCGGCTTGTTATGCAAAACATTCTCCGAATTGGCGCCAAAGTAATATCGCATCGGATCAGCCCAGAAGATCCAAGGCCGGTAGAACGTGTCCAGAGATGTGTGTGGCACAACAATTCCCGAAAAACTCATGAGAACAACCCAGAAGAAAGAGCTTGCGTAACCAGAGAGAGTCGGGGTCGGGAATAGAGCAGCTATGCACTGCGGGAAGCCGACGCTGAAGAGCCCCAGGAGGAGAAACATGAGGTAGTCAAAGCCGGCAACTGAAGCCGCTGATGAAAGGCCCATGGTCCAGTGAGTGCAGAAAAAGATCAAGGTATAAATAGCGATATGCCAAGGTATCTCGACGATTATCAGAGCGATACAAAGGGCTTTCCAGTCGTAAATTCCGTTCTTCTCGCGCGCTTCATATATGTCCCATTTGGCGAACCAGAGGTCTTGAATATCGGCGACGGAGGCAGGAATTACCCAGGCGATAATGAGATACGCGAGAGTGTGGTTTTGTAAGCCCTGCATGTCGGATCCTATGTTATAGAAACTGAAAGCGATAAAAAGCTGGGTAGCAATGGCTTTGGCAAATTTGCTGAAGAGATAGAATCCGTTGCGCCAAATGGCAACGGAGTGCCGACGACTGACAGCAAGTATTTGCGAACTGAGTGGTAAGGCAAAGCGAGAGCTTCGTTTATCGGCGGATTTGCCTGGTGCGGTAGCAGCAGACGGCCCGTTCAAGGCAGCAATGCGGTTGCCTAGTTCCTTGCATTCAGGAGACTCTCGCCAAACTTGTGCCAGACTTGGCGCTCCTTCTCTTCTGTCACCCACGGCGGAAATGATGAATTCGGCAGGGTTGCTGGAACCAACGACCAGGCCCGCACGAGCGAAATAGTCGATGATGCAGTGAGAATTTTCTCCAGTCTCGCCAAAGTACACCGTCTCACCTCCTGGTGCCAACAGGAGAATGTGGTCGAACATCTCAAAGATCAAGGCCGAGGGCTGGTGGATGGTACAAATTATTGGCATTCCTTCGGCAGCAATCCGTTGTAAGAGGCGAACGAGGGAGAACGCAGCTTGACTATCAAGTCCGGATGTAGGCTGTGTAACCGATTAGTTTTGCTACTCTGAGGGGGAAGTTTACACTTACCTCGTCGAGAAAAAGTAATGCAGGTGGTCGAGCGGCCAGCTCGACTGCAATGGTCACACGTTTTCTTGCTTCAACCCCAAGGCCGCCATTTCCAGGTGTGCCAATAATGGCATCTGCAATATTTTCGAGGTTGAGGAGGTGAATTACGTGCTCCACATATTCGTCTTTTTCCAACGCAGAAATATGGGCTGGCTGCCTCATATGCGCCGAGAATTGAACGGCCTCCCGCACTGTAGCCGTCGGCTCATGTACATCTTGTTGCATGCAGAATCCACAGGCGCGACCAAACGTCTCGTCGATAGGGTGTCCACCCAACAGCATCTGTCCGTCCACAGTGCCTTCATGTTTCCGTTGAGAAATTGTATCAAGCAATGTCGTTTTGCCTGCACCAGAGGCACCCATAAGCGCAGTGAGCTGGCCTGGCTTGACGTAACCATTTATGTTATTCAAAAGCTGTTTGCCGCTGATCGTGTAGTTGACGTTACTGAAAGTAAATGGTACACGGCTGTGGGGATCTATGCCGTTTGCCGGACTCTTTGAAATGTTTCCGTCCATTGCCGTAGAAGACAGGGATGGTGTCTTGGAAGAAGACCGAGAACCACGAGAGGAGTTTGAACAGCTCCCAGAAGCTTTCGCTGCTTCATTTTCGATGTCGATGTCTGCTTTCTCATGGCCCCCAGCTGAATGAGCAGCAGAATTCGAAGAAGGGACGGATGCTCCACGTTTATATGTCGTGCCGCCAGAGTTTCCTGTTTCCCGAGTCGTGATGGTCAAGCCGATGGCGGAGAGAATGGTGTAAATGAACCACATTGCAATGATGATTCCAACATCCTGCCAAAGCAACTCTGTCTTGAAACTGTACTGCTCGGCCAGAAAAACGGTTCCTGAAACTTCGGCCGATCCTTTCGCGGTCCCTGGAATAGGACAACCTTGGAAACGAAGATCAGTGTACCCGGGGCCGTTCGGAATGAGCTCAGAATCAGTACAGTGCAGAGTAATACTGGCAAACTCGTTGGCCATGAGCGCTTCCAGAGAGTAAGGTGAAGGAGCAATGCGGCGAATCCAAGAGCCCCACTTATGCATCGTAGGGACAGGCACCGCATAACCGGAATACAGTAAACAAATCGGCATAGAGATTCCTGAAACGAGCATAGCGATGTTCAAGTTGGGAGACCAAGCCCCTAACATGCGAAACAGGCTAGAAACAGCGTTGTAGTGGACAAAGACGATGAAGAGAAAGATCCAAAAGTGTGAAGCTGTCTCGACTGTGCCAAGCATAAAGTAATAGCAGCAACAGAAGACCAGTGACTGCACAAGAGCCAGAGGAATTTGTGCAAACGTCTGAGCAAAAGCGAATGAAATGGGGTGAAGAAGGCCGAGTTTATGCTGCTTCACAAGGATGTTCCTCGCGTTGACCGTGGACGAAACCTCAGTGAGAGCATTGAGGAAGAAGTAGATGGAGGAGAAAAATAGGGAGCCACCCTTGATAAAGGAGCCTGTACTGGTCTTTGGTGCCTCATACATCGCTGAAGCACTGACGACTGCATTAATAGCATTGATAGCAAGGATTGTCAGGAAAGTGAAACGATCGCCCCAGAGGAGCTGGTAATTACGGCGAGCAGCTAACATGGTTTGCCGGAAAATTGAACGAATCGTCAAAGCCGTTTTTGGATTGAACCATGACTTTTTCTTCTCTGCATGTTCGCAGAAGTTCTCCACTAAGGATGCGTTATGGGAGAAGTTGAAGCGATAAGTGGCCATGTCGTGCCGGAGCTTCGAAAAATGCTGACTCTTTCTGAAGGCTTCCGCGAGTGAATCAGGATCCTGTGGAACGGGGCCATGGTGGTCCGGTCGGATGACTCGTTCTTCTGGTGATGTGACGGAAGCCAAAAAATCAGGAGTTGTTTGGGTTTCGTGGTTCTGGAAGCCCAAATCTATGAAGTATTGTCTCGCTTCGTTGATTGATCCCGTGTATATCATCCTGCCTTCGTACATGACCATAACGCGGTCGAAGCACTCGTGATAGATTGTGTCCGAAAGCTGATACGCTGTTACGATGTTTGTCATGCCGTTTGTTTTGGCCAAGGATCGCAATAGGCGAAAGAACTGGAGAGTCGAGGAACTGTCGAGTCCACGGTTGGGGTTGTCCCATGATGCCACGACTGGGTTTGTGGCGAGAGCTTCTAAAAGCGAAACTCTTTTTCGCTCACCACCAGAAACACCTCTCACAAATGAATCTCCAACGATGGTATCCTTCGTATGAGATATTCCCACTGATAAAAGTAATTTTGCCATTATTTCCTCCGAGAATCGTTGTTGAGGCGTATTGTCGTACGCGGGTTGTCGTAGTCGCAGGGCAAAATCAATTGTGTGTTTGACGGCAAGCCTGGGGAAGTGGATATCTTCCTCGCCATTGAAGATGATCTCGGATCCAAATCTTTTAGCTAATTCAGAAGACGGTAGTCCAGCGTATGCTATCGTCCCTTGAACGTCCTCAAATGACTGTCTCTCATTTGCGAGTATCTTGAGAACGCTGGTGCATCCTGATCCTGGCCTCCCAATGACAAGGAGATTCTCCCCTGGAAACACAACGCCCGAGACGTTCTGAAGTATCTCCCGGGTAGAATGCTTTTTCCCTTTTGCTCCTTGTAGGATCCTGGCGGGTAATTTGCAGATGGATGTGAGTATTCCCAAAAAGTCCGGAACGCGGCGTTCACTGGCGTCCCTGCCGTAGACGCGAACATCTTCGAAGACAACGCCGAGGTCGCGCCCATCTAGCTGGTACAGCGGCAGGTCTACTGAGGGAGTGGAGAGATCCTGAAACAACTCGTGAATATGTTGTTTACTTTGATTTTTGGGAAGTCAAGACTTTACCTTTTTCGAGTTCATTTTGATTGAACTTGGAGAAAGAACGTGAAGTTTGCTGCCCTCGGTGAGTTTAGAAACAATTTATATACTTAACATCGACGTATGGAACATGTATAAATTGTGGATGAGCTCTTGCACGGAATATGGTGGAAGACGGTTCGGATAATTCTGATTGGTTGAAATTGTCCGCCGGCCCGGTTGCAGCACTTGGATCCAGTCATTCCTTCACCGTGTGGATCTGGGTAAGGCCTGACTGATAGCAATTTATGACCGGTGAGCGATTGCGGGCATTGCTTTGCGAACTGTAAATAGCAACAGTCGTTTTCTGCTTGGCGAGTGGCATTTTGAGACCTCTATGTTCGCAGCATCGAATAGCCGCTGTGGACATGCCCCGTGCCCCTTTACCGTCATTGCAAGGCTGGAGTCATGGCGCATGAGGAAATGGAATTTCTGACGTTCGTGCATGGACGTGCTTGCGGTTGAGGGAGACCTGACGCCAGCTTCCTGATGAAGTGGACTTGGAGGCGGAACGAAGCGAAAAATCCTATTGGTCAGAATTACCCGTAATTCCGGCTCCCAGTCTGGATTACCAACCTGCCAAGCGACCACGGCTCCTTCTCGTACGCAGCTTTCCTCCACGGCCAAACAACTCCCCTGTGCTTGAAACCAAGGCCGGTGGACCGGTTGAGCAAGCTTACGGAGCAGCATGTCAACTTCGCACTCAAACCAACCAAAACGCCTCGCCCCCAGGGTTTCGGTTGCTTGCGAATCTTGTCGAAGCCGTAAGGCTAGATGCAATGGCGCTAATCCTTGCGCATTATGCGTGCGACAAGGTCTCGAATGTACCTATCGTACCGGGAAGCCGCGCGGAAGAAAAAAGCGGAGCAGGCCAACCGAATGCTTTACTCTACCAGATTTGAGGCCAAGCTCGGACAATCCTTCGCCCTATCAAGACTACCAGGATACGCCGATCCAACGCGAGAGGCTGCGGGAACTACGGGCGGGGATCGGTGTCTTCAATCCAACTTCGGGCGGCTTCCAGTTCCATGGTCCGTCCTCTTACTACTGCTTCCTCCAGAGAGTCTATCAACGCATTTACCGGCGCGACGGTGATGATCTCATGCTACAAAAGGAATCAAACTGTCCTGGAGGTGTATCCAAGTGGGGATTGGATAAATTCATTTTCTCTGCTAAAAGCAATACCCAGCATACGACAAATAAAACCATGAGAGAGGCGCTACTTCCCAAGGACCTCGGGGACACGTTCATATCGGCCTATTTTAATATAATTCACCCGCAAATTCCCGTTCTGGTATATAGCGAGATCCAGAAACACTGGTCCAAGTTGTGGGAACCGCCGGACCGCAATGATCGGGGCGCCGCACAAAGGGCTCTGGTTCTCATGGTTCTTGCCATCGGAGCGCAGGTGACAAAGCTTCAGAAGACTGGTGAAGCCGAATGCTTCACAAAGTGGGCGGAGTATTTTTGCGACCGTGCTCAGCTTCCGCCGGCACATCTTCAAGAGCCCACACTAGAAGCTGTTCATTACTACCTTCTCAAGGTCTGTCAGACCTTCGTGTGCATCCGTCTTCTACATCTCCAAGCTGACCGTTAACCAGGCAATGTACTATTTCCAGGGAATGAGATATGGTGACGGGTATATATATATTGGCTACGCTGCCCGAAGCGCGCATTCTTCAGGCATCCATACGTCGCAAGTGACCGCCGGGTCTAATGCTGGCATGAACCGTCTACGCCTGACCTTTTGGTCAATATTCTCTCTGGAGAAGCTTAATGCACTGTTTTCAGGACGGCCATCAAGCCTTATCGAGTCTCAGGTTGATGCAGAATACCCGATTGACCTTACAGTTACTGGGGAATGTCCTGTATGGCTGCGGCCTTTGGTTTTCAATGCATATACAAGAGCATCGGCCGAAATTGGAAAGATCGTCGACAAAGTCCTGAACGGAATTTATCCGATGGGCGAGAAGCAGTCAGGACAACCAGTTGCTTACTACGATGAGCTTCTCGAATCATTAGTCGTGACTCTCCCACGGTATCTGAGCTTCCAAGACAGTGAGGCTCCGCTTGGTGAGAGTTGGCAAGAGATCCAGCGCCTTTATCTGGGGATCGAGTTCTACCTGACCCGCGTCCTTATCCACCGTCCTGCCCTCATCTCTGCTGCCGTATTTGGCTACGACGACGACCCTCATAAAACTGCCGCATTGCAAAAATCTATCGACACTGCGTGCAGTTCCGCAACAAGTCTTGTCAAGTTGGTCTCGGAAGCTTGCCATAAGCGAGCCCCAGGTATCATCCAAGACGGTGGAGTTGCATTCTACCTCATCTCCGCCTGCGTTACACTGCTCTACGATGTCCTAGACCCCAAAACATTACCTGACCGTGCGAAGGCCACGTTCGAAGTGGTCGAGAGCGGCATCCAGTGCCTAGACAAAATGGCGCATGTTGGCCCAACGACCGGCAAAGCTTTGAGTTTAGAGATTATGAAAGTCGCCAAAGGTGCTCTTTGCTCGGGCAGCGAGGATGTAGGACTAGGAGGTGACTTTACGGAAATATTCCCCTGGCTTAAGTACCTAAACACCCGTGTGCTACATCTTGTTTGTCAAGTTGCTAACGGTATTCGCAGTGACATTACGTTCGAGAGGATAGATCTATACCAAGAGGATCAAATGCACTCGATGCTCGAGTCGGGAGTCATCTCGAATCTTTCGGACTGGCTATCTGAGTCGCAGTCCAATATCCAGCCTTTTAATTCCATTCAAAGCACCGGGGACCCAAATATCTGGGGAAATGAGCTGGATGAGATTGGACTGCCTAGCACCTTTTAAGGCTCCTGGGAGTATACCGAGTTTATTTCTCCTAGGTCTATTAGTAGCTGGCAAACGAACATCCAAGGTGATAATAGGTTGTTGCTGCAGAATTCATACTGCGACATCAACTTAGGCTCTCGACATGTTGAATCCATGATAGTCGCCCGGTAAATCCAGTCCGATTTCTGCCCAGAACGCGTCGTCCAGCGAGACATTAGCTCCCAGGTCGCCTACTCCACCATCGCCAACCAGAGCGTGTACAGAGCCGATACCATCGTCGGGTAGATGCGGAGACAAGTCTTGCAGGCCACCACGATCGCCAGTCGCACCCTGCGGCGCAGAGAGCTCAGCCATCTCAGTCGCGGCATCATCGCCAGCCCTCAGCTTCCGATACAGCTCCTGAAGGTTCCGGCAGATCCTTCGCGCAATATCCCACGAGACAGCCAGCTCTTCCAAAATCTGCAGACACAGCTCAATATTGTGAATGTTCCTTACGCTCAAGCCTGCATCACCGCCAACACCTCCACTCCCAGCACCACTGCTACCCATCTGAATCAGCACCAGCGCAGCCCACAGCGTGCAATGCGTCGCAGAGACGGGGCTCTTGCGGAAGCTGCCGAATGCTTGACGGTACTTTTTAGCGACGAGGCAGATGCGCTCGGCGGCATCGAGGCACATTTCTCTCGCTTTTATGCCGTTGAGAGAGGCGCTGCTGCTGGTTGCCGGGGGTTGGGGTTTTAGTGGCGATTTCTTGACGAGGAAGGGTTTGAGAAGCAGGATGAAGGTCGTGTGGTACGTCATGTGGAGAGTGTAGGTTTGCGGAGAGGCTTGCAGGCCGCCACTGGGCTTGTCGATGCGTAGAGCTGATGGGAGGTCGTGCACCCAGGTTTTGAGTTCGAGGATGCAGGATGTGAGGAAGGAAGTTCGTTGGGATGCCTGCAGAGAGGGCTTGGGCGCGTATCTGATGGGGTTTTAGTGGTAGTTACGTTGGTTGGGGGAGTTGTGCTTACAATGCGAGGAACATGTTTTCGGAGATGTGGCTTAGTTTTATTAGGGCACAGTGCAGCAGTGCTGCATCAGTACTGGACATGCCGGCGATGGCTACCTTGGAAGTTGCTGCTCCGGTTTCGGGTGAGACGAAGCCCGATGGCAAGTTGACTACACCTTGGTTGTCCTGAACACAGAACTTGATCAGCTCTGGAAGCAGTGAACAGCAGAAGAGACTATTGAATCTGGTTCTTACCAACATAGTGCAGACCCGTCCCGTGTAGCTTGCAGATAGCTTGTCATCACAATAAAGCGCCCAATAAATCTGTCTTCTTAACTCAGCTTCGTCTGATGGCATAGTATTCGAGCCGGTCAGTGAAGCCATATCTAGATTCAGTCCCATATCTAGCGCTAGTCGATTAGCCATTCCTTGATGAAGCCAGCCGGCTGCATCCGCTCCGATAGCCTGAGCAGTTAGAATGCAATTCGCATACAGGGAGCCCACTGTCATACATACAACATAAATAGTATTGAGGAGAGACAATGACTGGATGGTCGTAACGCTGGGCCATTTGAGGTCAGAAAGAAGCTGAAGCTCTGCTTTTTCTACGAAACACCGACCAGCGGTGTTGGGATCGTTCACGTCCAAGCGTACTTCGGGCCTGTCGGAAAAACGAGACCCTACGGCGAGGATACAGTTAAGAAGCAGGGGGCTGTAATATCGACCACTGTTCATCTCGCTTTCTCTATAAAGCTTTTCGTCAACAACTTGGCACCATGGCTGTTGCCAGTAGAAGAACAGGTCGACTAAATGAGATTTCAGCTCGTAAGGTACTTCGTCATCTTCTTCCGACAAGGGTAAAACTCGTTTGAGTGGGATATGCGGCTCCAGGGGCTTAGGGGCTGGCATGTTATAGTTAGTTTATTTCAGCAATTGCGAATCTCGTATTTTACCCTCGGAAAGCTGGAATTCAAGGCGTCCACTACTAGGCCCAAAATAATGCATCTCGCCATCCTGGTCGAACGTCACAGACTCATCCAAAGTCAAAGAGCGCTCATAGGCCACGCATAGCTCTTCGAAATGCTCAGAGCTGATGCTAGCCTCTTTGCTTTGATGTGGAGCGTCCTGAGGAGTTACCGGAGCCACTGCTTCCGGACGTCTATCGTCTAGCATGCATCGGGCCACTGAAGCATCCACATCGATGCCATGTGACCGCAGTATACGCTCCAGGATGGTTATGCGAGTTCGTAAGAGCCGAACGTAAGACTGCGGCGCAGGACGCCGCTTGTCTTCCTCGGCGCTGAAACGGCACTCGATGGCACGGTCGAGACAGCGCGAGCATGATGGTTTTTGGCCATCACACTTTGAACATCAGCATTTCTACAAGGCATTTGCGATTAAGGTCGCGGTGGTAGACAGGATCGTAGCAAGTTCGATACCTTGGCGCGACGACGTCGACACGCCTCACATGCTTTCGAGGTGTATTTCCGTTTCGCGGGCTTCTCTCCGACGCCGGTGTCGATTGGGCGCTGTGCTTGAGGCATGGTGGTCGTGTTGAGTTTGAACGTCATCGATTGCAGAAATGTGGCCTGTATGCCGGAGCGGATGCTTAACCATATGCGGTCTAGCGCTTAGGAATATATATTCCTCCCCAAAGTATTTGTAACAAGGTCATATACTACTTGGGTATTTGTAATAAGGGTATATACTACGTGGATATCAACATTAACCTTGGCCTGAGTCTCTTGATATAAGTTTTCATACCAGCTCTAACAGCAATCACACAGCTTTCCCTATCAAACGTTTCAACTTCACCATCATGGCCCACCTCCAGTACTACAGCTACCCCGGACGCGGCGAGCAATCACGCAAAGACTTCTGGTACAGCCAAGCCGTGCGCGTCGGCGACCGCATCGAGTGTGCCGGCCAAGGTAGTTAAGTCAAAGCCAAAACCAAACCAACATCCAAACTAACACATCCACTTCCCAGGCGGCTGGGAGCCCCAAAGCGGGAAGATCCATTCCGAGATCAACGCGGAGATCGACCAGGCCTTCGCGAACGTGGACCTCGCACTCACGACGGCGGGCGGAAAAGGATGGTCCCAGGTCTTCCGCGTCAACTCGTACCACCTTTCCCTTGACGACGAGGCGCTGAGCGCCATGTTGCGCAACTTCAAGAAGTGGATGCCTGGACACCAGCCGCTGTGGACGTGTGTTGAGGTGCCCAGGTTGGGGGATAGGGATATGCATGTTGAGATTGAGGTTTCGGCGCATGATGAGGAGGTCGCGAGGGCGGCGAGGGCGGCGAGGGCGCCGGCGCAGTAGGGTGTGGGTTGCGAGAGACAGTTGGGTTTGCTGTGTTATGTATACCTGGTGGATAAGACAGCGCAGTCGGATTCCAAAATTCCAACCCCAAGACACGGTTATGTTGACGGTGCGACTGTTCCGGGTAGTTCTCCGAAAATGCGGGATGGGGACGTCAATGGCATCTATAAGGCATTAGCGTGTAGTAAACCGTGATCATACGCTCAAAATACCTTTGACCAGCGCTCTAGCCTCCACACAGATTCCACACACGCCCGTACACAACCACCAAACTCCACCAGAGAGGCACCGCGTCCAAACAAACCATGAGGACCCCAGAGCAGGACCAGCCAGAAAAGTCATCTTTCTCATTAACCACGCCTATCCCAATTCTGAAGCGCCATCTGAACAGCCCGCACCCATGCCAGATCTAGACCCATCAGGTACAGTCAGGAGGCCGTAGCCCGTCTTTGTCTTTGAACTTTGAACTTTGAACACCGCCAGCAAGAAAAAACGCCGCGCCCAACACATATACGCACACACACACCGAGAGCTCTTACAAGCGCCTTTGCCTTTGTCTTTCCTCCCAGATCGTCGCCTCTTTCTGTTGCCCTCCCATTTCCACTATCCATCTCATCACGTCCACGGCCACCTCATCATCACCTCCCACTATCCAGGATATTCTCCCTCTCAATGACCCTCTCATCGAACTTGATCAAGAAAATCGTCTTGCACGGCCACATCTCCCTGGGGGCCTCAGGGCCCTGCACGCCTCCGGCCGCAGCGACCGCCGCCGCCTGCGCCGCCGCGCCCTGGCTGTCGTCCGCCCAATGCGCCGTCACGCCCTTGGTGCTGAAGCCCGCGCCATCGCACACGCCCTCGACCACGCCCGCCACAAACGCCGCCACGTTCAGCGACGCCATCTCGCGCGGTGTGCTGACGTACTCGACCACCAGCGGCGCGTTGTCCGTGATCATGTAGTCTGTGTCGCTGGCGGTGGACTTCTCGAGCGCGTCTGCCGGCCGGTTGAATAGGTGCTTCCAGAGCGTCGTCGTGATGAATTGCAGGAGGGGTAGGATGCGCGTCGGCCGTGTGGGGTTGGGCAGCGTCGCGAGGGCGCTGGAGGGCGAGCGCGTCGAGAGGAGGTCGAGTAGCTTCAGCCCGAGGGGGTAGCCTTGGGTGTTTAGTCTGCCAGCACCCGTGAGTATCAGTACATGGTCAATCCCGCAATAACCGGCGTCCTCCCCTCAAACACGCCCCCACTTGTATCCATTTGCGTGGGGGAAACACACCGTTTCTCCAGGTCGGCAATCCCCGTAACCCTCCTCTGCGCATACGCAATCATCTCGACAAACAAATAGGCAAAAGCCGCGCGGCTCAGCTCGGCGTTCTTGCTGCGCCCCAAATTGCGGTCGTAGATGGTCTTGCGGTTGGACGGATACCGCAGGCCCGTCGTGAGCGACGAGCGCTGCTGCGCCTGGAGCTGCGCGGCCGCCGCTGCCTGCTGCTGGGCTTGTGCTGTTGCTTGCTGCTGCTGCTGGGCGGTCATGGCGGCGGCGTCGGTGCCCGGCTTGTGCGCTTGTGGTGCGCTGCTCATCGTGCGTGGTGTCGTGTGCGGGTGCGGGTGCGGGAGTGCTGGGCGGGATGCCCGCGCCCATGTGGGTTGACGTGGGCGGGGGCGGAGCGGAGCGCGGCGCCGGGCGGTGAGCATCCTCCATTGCACGCTTCCGCGGGAAGACTACCCGGATCCTTGCATGGCTAGGTATAGTACAGTAGGTTACATTGCTTTTGACTACATTTTCTTCCTTTTGCTACATTTAACTGGGTATTTTGATTTCCACCTGTTTCATTCCCTTCCCGTTCCTTTCCGTGCGCCTGCAATGCTGAAATCCTCCTCTCTGCCCGCTTCTCTTCTCTCCTCTCCCTCACGGCCCGACGTCCGGGTCCGGAAGCCAAACCAACAAGTCCTTGTCCGCCGAGCACAGCAGGTTCATCCGCTGGTTGTACCCCACCACCGCGCCGCTGCTCGGGCCCGGCAGGTCCGTCATTGGCTTCAACGTCTTGTCCCCCCCCTCTTTGGTTTGAATATCCCACACCAACAGACCATTGTTGCCCGAGCCGCCAATCAGGTACTGCCCGTCGGGCGAGAGACACATGTCACCCTGGCTGGCGACGGTGCCAGGAGCGGGATATTCGCCCGCGGCGCGCCGTCCGGTGGGCCCTGAATCGCGGACGCAAAAGTGGCGGAGGGTGCCGTCAAAGGCGTCGAGAATATAATGCCCAAAGCCCGTGGTTCCGAGCAGAAGACTACGGCCGTCATTGCTGAACTCGAGCTTGGCCCAGTTGCGGCCGGCGGCGCCGGGCGTGTAGCGCTGCTCGACGTCGTGCAGGTCGAAGGTTGCAAAGGGCGGCTTGTCGAAGTTGCGCACGTCGTACAGCAGGATGCTCTGGGTGGGCGGCGAGGCGATGGCGATGACGCTGGCTGAAGGGTCGTAGGCGGCCAGGTAGGGCGCGTGTAGCTTCAGCAGGCCCTGGACGTTGGGCGAGTTGAGGGCCCAAAGGCGCACCGTGTTGTCGGCGCTGCACGAGATGAAGGTGTCGTTGGAGGGATTGACGGCCAGGCAGGTGACGGTATCGGTGTGGCCCTTGAAGTAGCGAATGTACGAGTTGTCGTGGGTCGAGAGGTAGCGGATGCCGTCGTCGACCTTTGTGCTGGCGTAGACGATGCTCTGGGCGTGATGGGTGAAGCGGGCCAGGTGGACGCCGTACTTCTGACTCTTGAGCTCCTTTGCGTGCTTGCCCTCCTTGCAGTTGTAGATTTGCAGCGTGTCGTCGTCGCGGGCTACAATGGCCAGCTCGCCCGAGTCGTCAAAGTCGATCGACGTGACGTGCGTCTTGCTGCTCTCGGCGCGGAAGCAGCGCGTGGGTCGGAAGGTCGCGACGACATCGCTGACCTTTTGCGTAGGCGGAGGGCCGGCAGCGGGAGTGGTGGTATTGGGGGTTGCGCCTGCAGCCATGGTCGTGCGTGACGGACGGGAATGATCAAAGCTGCGGTTGGCGGCAACGATGAGCGTTGCGCAGATCATCGAGCCCCGAGCGTCCCGCCTCCGATTACGCACCGGCTCGTCGTCATCCTCAGCCGCCCAAAATTCCGTCGTCCACCCAAACTCCTCTCACCACCTCCTCCATTTTCTTCCCTTTCACTCCTTGTCCCCCCATTTTCAACCTATCCGAGGCTCAGCGCCCCCAAAATCCCCGCCGGAAGCTGCTTGACGCGTCCCGTCTCACCTTCTCCGATCTCGGCGCCGCGGGAAGAGCCATGTCGACGACCCTTGGGTATGCGCCAATCCCCCGGCCATTGCGACGTCGCCGTTAACCCTCGACGCCCAGGTCATTCATAGCCGGCGGTATCGCGGCCTGCGGTGCCGTCACCGTCACTCACAGCTTCGAGACGGTCAAGATCCGGTGCGCCTCTCTACCTATAGTCCTTTGCCCTGCCGCGCGGCGCTGACTCGGACGACGACGCAGGTTACAGCTGCAGGGCGAGCTGCAGGCGCGCAAAGATGCGCCCAGAATGTACCGTGGCGTGATTCACGGCATCACGACCATCCTGAAGAATGAGGGCCCCAGTGGCCTGTTCCGCGGAATCAATTGCGCCGTAAGCAGAGCACCACGCGCGCACCCAACACTGGTTGACCGTTAGTGAATCGCGCGCGCAGTACATCTACCAAATGGTGCTCAACGGGTGCCGCCTGGGCTTCTACGAGCCGATCCGCGGTACGCTGACCGAAACTTTGTACCACAACGCCAATGTACAGTCGTTCGGCATCAACATCTTCTCGGGCGCGGCGTCGGGCATCATGGGCGCGGCGGCAGGTTCGCCATTCTTCCTGGTGAAGACGCGGCTGCAGTCCTTCTCGCCCTTCCTGCCCGTCGGCACGCAGCACCACTACAAGAGCGCTTGGGACGGCATGCGCCAGATCTACGGCCATGAGGGAATCAAGGGTCTTTACCGCGGAGTGGGACCCGCCATGGTGCGCACCGGCTTCGGCAGCTCCGTCCAGCTTCCCACCTACTTCTTCGCTAAGCGCCGTCTTGTCCGTCACCTCGGCATGGAGGAGGGCCCTGCCTTGCACCTTGCCAGCAGCACCGCCTCGGGTTTCGTCGTTTGCTGCGTCATGCATCCTCCCGACACCGTCATGAGTCGCATGTACAACCAGACCGGCAATCTGTATAACGGCGCGTTTGACTGCCTCTTCCGCACCGTCAAGACCGAGGGCCTGCTCGCCGTCTACAAGGGCTTCTTCGCCCACCTGGCCCGCATCTTGCCGCACACCGTAAGTTCGCACTTTTCTGTTGGCTTACACAGGCGCTGACATGTCCCTTTGCAGATCCTCACCCTCAGTTTGGCCGAGCAGACCAACAAGCTCATGCGCAAGGTCGAAGACCGCTACTTCCTGCGCAAGGACGAGCAGCTATGATTTCACCAAACCACTTCATTGATGTACTGTACATAACGCATAACCTAGCCCGGTAGAATTTCCACGGAAGGCGTTACGGCGGGCACAAAAAGAGAGAGCGGGGCTCTTTCTTCATTGTCCTCTTCGCATGATATCGGGAGATAGAACAGAGCAGAAGAGTTTGTAAAAGAGGGAATGTCGGTCGATATTGTATGTATGTATGTATAAGAGTATCTTGGAACAAACAGCAGGCATGGCTACTGTAACAAGGTCGCCGCAGCACGCACTCTCGCCACAGTCCATCTGTCCTGCGTGGATCCAGACGACGGCGCGAGTGCGCACGTCGTGATGTGAGTCGCCCTATCGGCTCGAACAGAAGACAGACGCCGAACCAAAGCGGCACATGCCCCGGCGATGGACTTGTACCGCGGCGCTGACGTGCAGGGAGCTCAGATCAGCGGGCGTCAGCAGCAGCAGCTACACCTCACGCTTCACGCCTCAGTTGCCATTCACGTCCTCGCTGAGCTAGATGCTGGCGTGAGATGATGATGATATGCAGAGAGATATGAGTTTTTAATGCAGGCTTTGATTGGTGGAATTGCGCGGTATTCTTAGGTGAGTGTTGTTATTTTTTCTATTTTACCGTCATGTTCGTTGGACGTGAGGAGATGGTGACTGAAGCTGCTGAATTCCGAACGCGGGTTTGTCTGAAAAGAGGAGGGTACAGGAGCTGAGCTGACTAAAAAGACCAACGCACCACGTCCATCTGACAGAGCCGAGTGGTGCCAATGCGGAGCCGTGGTGCAAGTGCAGATACGATGTTGATTAACGATGAGGGGCGGGGGCGCAAGAGGCCGACAGGGTTCTCCGCAAAGAGCTCGTGACGAGGCAACCGTGGAGATGGGTGGGTGAGAGGGCGCATTCGATTGCTTGTAGCTTCGATCGCTGGAGCCATCGCCTCGTCGTCGCCCGTCTTATCACCCCGATTCCCTTTTCTTCCGCTCAATTTCAACTCCAGCTCCGCCCCCCCAAACGACCTTTCCATTGCGCTGCAAAGAAGAGAATGCAACACCCCACACGCCCGCTCCCGCTGCCGCAGCCTTTGCTCGAGCGTGAGCCTTGAGCGCTGCATTGCACTGCACGGCTCCCCGGCCCTGACCTACATACGCATCCCATACACCTGCACCACCCCCGCTCGCACAACCGGCTCGTCCCGTCCCGCCCCGTCCCGCTCTGCCACGTCCCGAGCTGCACCGCGACGTTCCTGGCCGAGTTCTGCGAGCCAGGTGCGGCACGGCACGACACGGCAATCCATGCGCGCGTCCGCCGTAGAGTGGCACAGACAGCACTCCGCCAAACACACGTCCCAGCGACGGCAGCCGGCTCAGCAGCAAGCAAGCAAGCAAGCTCTAACAGCATATGAGCGAAGCCCACGATCCCGCCCGCCGCGTAACAACCACAACAACGACAACAACAACAAGCAATAATGGGCCTGAGCGACGATTTCTGCCCCGTGGCCGCGGCCGCAGACCTCTTTGCGCCGTTCTCGTTCGCCTTCATCCACCCGCCGCCGGTCGACAGCGTCACTGCCACGGCTACGGCGTGTGCGTTCGGCCTGCCCTTCCATGGCACCATGGCAACGAGACCCGGCGCCTACGTCCAAGAATACTTCGACGTTAACACCACCAATCCATACCCCAGCACTAGCACCCACCCCACGCCCGCCATGCCCACGCACGCAGTTCAAGTCCATACCCCTACCCCGCACACACCCTTACACACAACCCCAACCCCCGCACCAAACGCACGCAAGCGCAAGCGCAGCCTCGTCACCACCAGCACCACCGGCAGTAGCACCACCAACAGCGCCGCCAGCAGCTTGAACGCCGCAACACCACCACCACCACCAGCGCACCAAATCCCCAAGAAACGCCGCCTGCACCACACGCTCATCACGTCGCGGCTGTCGCGGCCGTACGCCCAGCCCGCGACGCATATTAGCGGCGGCGGCGGCTGGGGACGCGAGGTGCGGCGGTTGGGGCGGCAGCAGCATCAGCAGAGACAGCAGCAGGGGCAGCAGCAGGTGTGGGGTGCTGGGGGTGTTGCCGTTGGTGCTGAAGGCGTTTGGGGTGAGGGGTGTGCTGGTGTGAGTGGAGTGAGTGGAGTGAGTGCAGTGGAGGCACCGCTTAGGAGGGCGGCGGTGCTGAATTGTGCTGTTAGGCGGCGGGGTGTTGGTGTTGGGGTCGGCGTGGGGAAGGGTCCGAATGCGGCGTGGGCGGGTGGGTGTCTTGGTAGTGGGGTTGGGGACGGATGTATGAGTGGGAGTGTAAACGGGATTGGAAGAGAGGAGCTCGTGGTCGTGGATTACGACGCGCTTGATGATGAGGCGGATGGCGAGGCGGAGCCGCAGGTCGAGGTGTTTGGGGCTGGGGCTGGGAGTGGGAGTGCTGAGGCTGGGGATGAGGATGAGGGATGCCGCATGGGGCGGTGGGGCGGCGATGGAGAGGGCTTCGTCAGCGAGTATGATCGGTTGGATGACGGGGAGCCGGAGATTGGGATCCTCTTGTGAGGGAGGTATGAAGTGACGATTCGACACCGCTTTCTTACAGAGAGACACAAAGCGCATTCTAACATGGCGGCTGCAAGCGTTCGTTACTGATGCTCTACTGCGTATTTATTTTTCTCTCTACACACACTCACAACACTCACCTAATGCACAGGCTCGTCCCCAATCTCGGCCATCTTCTCCTCCAACAGCCCCTTCATCCTCTCCACCACGTCCTTATACCCCTCCTCGCCATAGACATTAAACAGCTCCAACGGATCCTCCTCGCAGTCAAAGAGTTCCCACTCGGGCGGCTGGCCGCCCTCGCCCGTCCCCTCGATCCCAAGCCCTTCATTATACCAGTAGATGATCTTCCACCGCCGGTCCCGCACGCCGTAGTGCGCGTACGCGCCGTGGATCTCGTCGTTGTGCATCCAGTACCGATGGTACGCGACCTGCTGCCAGCCGGCGGGCTCCTTGCCCCCGCTCGCCAACACGTCCTTGATGGAAAAGCCCTGCATGTAGCTCGGCACGACGGCGCCCGCGAGGTCGAGGAACGTGGGGGCAAAGTCGACGTTCGACACAATCGCGTCGCTGATGCTGGACGGAGGGATGACGCCCGGCCACCGCGCCAGCAGCGGCATCTGGAACGACTCTTCGTACATGAAGCGCTTGTCGAACCAGCCGTGCTCGCCCAGGAAGAAGCCCTGGTCCGACGTGTACATCACCAGCGTGTTCTTCGCCAAGTCCGGGTCCGCGTCCAGGAAGTCGAGGATCTCGCCGACGCTGTCGTCGATGGCTTGGATGGTGCGGATGTACCGCTTGATGTACCGCTGGAACTTGAACTCGGCCAGCTGCGCCGTCGTGCCGAACTTGAACGTCTCGCCCGTTTCGCGGTCCACCAGCGCCCGCATGCCCTGCACGGCCTCGTCCGTCGCCGGCGCCGGGATCTTGCGCTCCGTCAGCCCGGAAAACAGGAGTTCGCCGACCTCATCCGCGCCGCCCTCGGGCTGCGCGAGCCCCAGGTCGCCGTACGTCAGGTCCTCGGCCACGCGCATCTTGGCCACCTTGGCGGCCATGGCTCGGTGCTTGTAGTCGTCTGTGAAGGTGTCCGGGAGGCGCACGTCCTCCTGGTACATCTCCCGGTGCCGGGGCGCGCATTCCCACGACCGGTGCGGCGCCTTGTGGTGGCACATGAGGAAGAAGGGCTTCTCTTGATCCCGGCGCTTGATCCAGTCCAAGCTCTTCGCCGTAATGACATCCGTCGCATACCCCGGCACCGTCTCCGTCTTCCCCCCCTTCTCCAAAAACACCGGATCAAAGTACACGCCCTGCCCCGGCACGACGCTCCAGTAGTCGAAGCCCGTGGGCTCGTGCGCTTGCCCCTCCCCCAAATGCCACTTCCCCACCATGGCCGTCTGGTACCCGCTCGCGCGCAGCGCCTTGGCCACGTTCGGCAGGCGGTTGTCAATCGCCGACGCGAGCGTCCGCACGCCGTTCACGTGGTTGTGCGTGCCCGTCAGGATGGCCGCCCGCGACGGCGTGCAGATGGAGTTGGTGACGTAGCAGTGGTTGAAGCGCAGCCCGTCCGCCGCCAGCCGGTCCAGGTTCCGTGTCTGGTTTAGCCCCGCGCCGTAGGCCGAGATGGCCTTGGCCGCGTGGTCGTCGGCCATGATGAAGATGATGTTGGGGGCGGCCATTGTGGAGGAGCGCTTGTGAAGATGGAGGAGAGGCTTGGCTTGGCTTTATAGAAGCGCTGGTCGCGGGTATCGCGCTTCCTGGTGCCATGTTATCGTCATGTCGCCGCGGATGGCGTGCTCAAAGATTAACGAAGCAGCAGAAGGTGGGGTGCTGCTGAAGTCGATGCTCTCGTACGTCGGTCACGGATCTCGGGCGGATGTCGCGCCGTCAAGCCCGCGAGATCATATTACGTCTGAAACGCCTCCTCCGTTTATACTCTATGCCGACAATCTTCATCCCTCTAGTTGCCGCTCTATCCTTCCATTCTTCATACATTCCGGCTGGTCCCATCACACCCGCGCCTCCACATCCATGCGCACAATCTCCATCACGCGCTCGTGCACCAGTGCCGCCGCCGCCGCGCTGTCTTGCTGACCTAGTCATCATTAGCAGAAGGAACTTATCATGCGGAATGCCGTGGGAGAAATAGCGAACTTGCAAGGAGAATAACGTAGTAGCAACAGTAACATGCAAAAAGCCCACTCACCGGTGTAAAAGCAGTCAGACAACGCCGATGTCTCGATGGGGCGCGGCCGCTTCTCGCCCTTAGCTTGGCCCTTGTCGTCGAGCGTAGGGTCTCCGGCGTTATGGCCGAAGTGTAGGAAGGTGCGGGGTAAGGCAGCAGCGGCGTGTATGAGTTTGTCGAACCGGCCGTCGGCCATGGCGACACGCTCGTCACGCGCGAGTGATAAAGCCTGGCAGACAGCCGACGGTGCGCGTGCGGTCGTGACGGCAGCGGCCGGGTCGAGACCTAGGGTACGGCGCAAGAGCATGGCCAGTGCTATGGGCGGCACGATACGCGCGATGAGGTGGACGGCGAAGTGGATGATGGGAGCGAGACGCGTTGCTGTCATTGTCTGCATGGGCACGCACGGCGTCAATGAACCAAACACGCACTCATAGGAAGAAAGAAAGAAAGTAAATTGACTTACGGCTGCTTCACCCAACCTCACGCCCAAGGTCGCAGGCTTTGTCGCAGGAAACAAGCCCACAGCGCCTGCAATCTCCAAGCGTGGGCTCAAGCTCACCGCAGATCGGCGCCACTCGTCGACGACAGCCAAAGCGATGTACGCACCCACGCCATGGCCGACGACAATGACGCGCAAGGGCTCCGCTCCTGTCGCCTCACTCAGCTCTGCAACACACGTTTCGAGTGCGGCGCGCGTGCAATCGATCTGCTCAGCCAGGGAGATGGGTGATTGACTGTCGCCGTCGTCGAAGCCACGAAGGCTGCGTGCGGCGACATGGAAGCGCGACGCGCAAGCGGTGGATTGCAGGCTCAGCTTCGCAGCGAGCAGGGCGAGAAAGGCGTGGTAGTGTGCGATGGAGCCGGGGTTGGCGGGAACGAAGAAGACAAGATAGGCAGCCATGTTGAAAGAGGAAAGAGGGAAGAACGAGTGGAAGAACGAGGAACGACTGGCTGCCTTCCTGCCTTCCTGCCTGCCTGTGTGCACCTACCCGTCTCTTACCTACCTACCTAATTTATAGGTGCGACGGCCCCAATGGACCCAAGGGATAATCGTGCCGCCAGCACACCGCATCATCGGCACTACACTGACACTGGTTCGATGCGATATCTCGGAGCTACATCCGAACCCAAGGCGGCGTTGGCGTCATGACCCTCTGTGCTTGTGGCAAGACTGTCGTCGATCGCGCCACCACACACCGCTGCGCATATGCAGGGCGCCGAGGGAGTGGTTGTGGGGAATTGGACGAGAAGCTGCGGAAGGACGGACGGGGGGGATCATATGTGCAAAGCCCAACCCTCATCGCATATCCGGCTACTCGAAATCCCCGACCAAGGGAAAGCTCTACTTCCTCTCGAACTGGTGGGCCTTTCAACACGAGCTTCATCTCCAACGACCACTCAACGGACGTCCCTCCCATGCATGCACGCTCAGACCCGCCACGCACACGCTCCCGTCCCGGCACCCGTCCCGCAGCGCCATGACACCCCGGTCGACCACGCCACCGTCGCAGAACCACCAGTCTCCGATATATCCGCCCTTGTCGCCCTGCTCGAGCAGCACCTTGAAATCACCGGCGGCCCATTGGGACCCGAACCGACATAAGTGAGGCGAACCGAGATCTGAGGGCGATAGGGAGCATGTCGTTGAGCGTCTTCCAGGGCGGATATGTGACGGGAGTGAGTTCGCACCGCCGCAGAGTGAGATGCAAGGAGCGCGTTGGGACCACGCGAGACGGGGAGGCGGGAGGCGCCTGCCTACCTCGCTGGGTGCGTCGGTAGTGGTGGGGAGGAAGGCGCGTCCCTCTTTCCTACTCCTCCTCCTCGGACACCAAGGATATCCGCTTCCGACATCCACTCGGCTCAATCGACTCCGCTCCGGCCTTTACCTAGGTAAGTACCTACCTAGATTCCCTCGCTCTTTCACACACACTCTCTCTCTCTCTCTCCTTTCCTCCTCACCATTCAACTTCAGCCCTTCCATTCTTCCATCCGCAAGGTTCCTCGTTCTGTCGTGGTGGGGTTTGCGATCCGCTCTGTAGACGGATATTTCTCCGGGATACTATTACTGGCTCCTGTTAAGACGTCGTGCATGCGTCTCGCCACCCCCACATCCGTGGCGTTGGGCAACTCGAGGCGCAGCCGGGGGTGGGGCGCCGCGTGGCATGCTACAAATGGATGGCTGCTGACTTGCTGATCGCCCGGCGGTTCACATCACGTCGACTCTCGGGCGATAGTTGCACCTAAAAAACGACTTTATTGCAAGATTGACCATCAGCAGAGTACGCGTACCTGGGTAGTACATTGTTGTTGCTGCAATGGAAAAAGCAAGGCGCGCCCATCGCTAAACCAGTCTAATCCCAGTTGCCGGGCCCCAGGTCAATTGGCTTCCCAACGCGCATATCGCTCATGATGGTCTCAATGTTCCACGGCTCGTAGCGGTACCCAGGCGGGAAGTTGGGCGGAATGTTCTCATCCTCATCGAAACGGATGCCGCGCTTCATGCCGTCGACGACAGCCTTGTAGTTGGCGTGCGCATAGGCCTCGGGGTCGTGGTCAAAGACCCAGCGGGGCATCTTGGGTGCGGCGCGACGGGGCTCGATTTTGACCTTGCTCCAATCCGTGTCCTGGAGCAGCTCGGCGTTGGAGAAGCCAAGCTTCTGGGCGCAGGCGTTGCGTGTGAAGCGAATGCGAGCGTGAGCGCGTACGGCCTCGGGCACGCCCTCGCGCGACCCAGCCAGATGCAGGCACGACGCCACAGTCACGGCATCCTCAATGGCTTGTGTCGCGCCGTTGCCTGAAGCGGGCAGGAAGCTGTGCGCCGCATCGCCGATCTGGATGATGCGTGCGCCCGGCGAAGTCCAACTCGGCTGCGGGTTGCGCCACAGCAGCTCAAAGTTAATGATCGTCTTGGGTGGTGTCAAGCGCACCAGGTCTTTGAAAATGGGCGCCCACTTCTTGGGTCCCGGCACCTCGTCCATGCCCTTGAGCACCTCGTCGGCCTCAACCGTGTTGCTCCAGCTCTCCTTTTCCGTGCCAGTGACCTGCCCGCTGCCGTTAGCCAATCACTGCCTTGGACAAGCCGGGTAATACTCACGTCGTGGTTCATGATCCAGATCATCGTGTCCGGTCGTGTCAGCGTGAGCGCGTACGTTCCGGGCCCCAGGAATGTGCGCACGATAGGCTCGAGACCCGTCTCGCCGGGAATCATCTTGAAGAATTCTTTGACCTCTGGGTTCTTGTTAAGTTCCTCAAGAGGGAAAGCCGCGCGCCACATGGCACGGCCGGACGACATGGCCTTCACCTGGCCGCCAACGATGCGCTGAGACTTGGAGCCCACGCCATCAGCCGCGATGACTACGTCGGCTTCGTAGCGCTCGCCGCGGTCCGTAACAACACTTGCGCGGCCGCTCTCCTCGTCCTCAAAGTAGTCGACGACGCGCTGGTGGAACTTCACTTTAACGCCCATCTGCTCGACCTGGTTGACGAACATCTTGTACACGAGCGGGCGCATCTGAAACGTACCGGGCGGCGTGTCGGGATCGAGGCCTTCGGCACGCAGGCGCTCAGCGACCTTTTTCGGCGCAATCATCTGCTCGCCATCGTGCTTGAACGTCTCCATCCACGCATTGTGAATTGAGATTTGGTCGTACTCCTTGGCCATTTCGGGCCAGTGCTTGAAAAAGCGCGTCGCGCTGAGGCCCATGAAGTACATGTCACCTGACGAGCGTTAGACACGTGCGCCATGATAGGCATAGGGACGTTTGCTCACCGGCCGTGTTGATGTCGGCGTTCCTCTCGAGGACGCGGACGCTATGCCCTTTGCGGATGCATTCAAGGGCGACCGTCAGGCCAGCCAGCCCTGTGCCGACGACGAGGACATCGATGCCCGAGGCGGGATAGGATCCCACGGGCTTGACCTCCATTGCTAAAGTGAGAGAGTGATGGTGTCTGTCTGATGAATGGTACTGAGAGGGAGCCAGCTAGACTCGTGCAGGAAAAGACAGAGGAAAAGAGCAACAAGAGCAGGCCGACCAAGAGGTTCTTCTAGCAGGGCGAGTGGCATGCAGACACGCAGCCGAGCGGCGGCATCCCCCCGGAAGCCGAGGAGGATCCGAGTCGAGAGCAGTCGCGGGTCTCCACCTCGAGGTCCTATCTGTGGATGCCGTCTATGATGCGACGAAGCCAGCGTTGGCACCATTTAGTGCGCGCGGAGCGGGAGATGGGCAGAGCAGCCAGGCCGGATCAGGCAAGAAGCTAATGTCAGATGCGGCGGGGGCGGTGCGACGCTAGACCCCGGCCCGGGCTAAATCGGGAATTTGGAGCTGCAAGCATCGCCCTCAGCAGACAACCACCATCGCACCCACGATACGCCTGCGCGCTTTGTCCGACGCTGCCCAGCCCAAGCCGCCACGCTCGCCGCAGCCTTGTCACTGCTGTGCTTCCGGCTCCGCGCCACTGGAACTCCTCACGCGCCGCCGATCTCTGCTGCTTTCCGCCGAGCGCTAGACTGCGAGCCTTGGGGCCATGGCCACCGCCTCGCCGTCCTGGCTTCGGATAGCGGTCTCGACGCTGCCATGGCTTCGTACGAGGGTTCGGTGCTGCTGTCATGCTCCTGTCCAGTCTGAGATGATGAGATGGGGCCCCCCTTCTTCACGAGAGCCTGCCGCTTTTCTTCAGTAGTTAATGCGATTGTCTCCCACCCTGTTCGTCAGTTTTCTCCTTGCCTTGTCTTGCCTGGCCCCCCGACTCTTCCCCGTTTTTTTACCTCCACTAGCAGCATCAGCTCGAGTCAAACGGCTTTTTGGCGCGTGAGCATCGTGCGCCATCATGCAGCTCTTCACGTACCTCATTCTTGCCATTGCCGTCGTGGGCTTCACGGCTGCGTCCATTCTCAACGCAATCCGCGCAAAGAAAGACCCCAATGCGGCCCCGGGCCCGACCCAACTGCCGCTCATCGGCCGCGTTCATGACCTCCCCATTCAGTTCATGTGGCTCAAGTTCAAGGAGTGGTCTGACAAATACGGCCCCTTCTACAAGACGGAGATGCTCGGCGCCAAGTTCTGCGTCATCTCCGATGAGAAGATTGCCGAAGAGCTCTTGGTCAGGCGCGCAAAGACCAACTCGGACCGGCCCAATATCCGCAGCTTGTTCGACTCGAAGAGCACGCATGGATCTATGGAATACCTGCCCCTGATGGGCAGAAATCGTGAGTGCTTTCTAGTCAAATTATCATGCCCCTTCTTCTTTATAGAATATAAAAGAGTAGGCACTGACGCAAGGCAGAGTACTGGTCGCGGCAGCGTAAGATGACGCATGCCTATCTCACCGAAGCGACCAATGCGCACTACCACGGAGTCATGTACTTTGAGGTGAAGCGCTGGCTGTACCGCTTGATCCAGGAGCCCGACAACTTTGGCTTCCTGCTCGAGGACATGGCGTCGAAAGTGATGTGCCAGCTAACATGGGACGACCCCTCGCTGAGCGAGTACTGCACGAAGAGCGCGTGGGGCTTGCTGACGCAGATGTCGCCGGCGGGGCCCATCACGAACTTGATCACGCCGCTGTGGCACCTGCCGTTGCCGCTAAATCCATGGAAGCGGGCGGAGCGCAAGCGGCACGACGAGCAGCAGGCGTGGTGGATGGATCGGCTCCTGGAAGTGCGCGAGAAGATGAAGAAGGGCGAGGCAAGGCCCTGCTGGACGCGCCAGTACCTCGAGACGGAGAGCCGGTCGAGCTTGTCGGGCGACTACGAGGCCTCCAGCGTCATCGGCATGCTGGCGCTCGTGGGCATCTTCACGGTTGCGGGTCCTTTGTACTACTTCCTGGTCTCGATGGTGTATCACCCAGAGTGGATGGCCAAGATCCAGCAGGAGGTCGACGAGGTGTGCGAGGGCCGTTTGCCGACGCTCGACGACATGCCCCGGCTGTCGACCCTGCGCGCTTGCATCAAGGAGACGATGCGCTGGAAGCCAAACGTGCCTACTGGTGAGTCATAGAAATAGCTACCCAGCAACGGAGGCATAGGGGGTTGGAGGGAACAACGTTGCTAATCGATGTCTTAGGCGTCGCGCACGAAGTCGAAGAAGACCAAGTGTACAACGGGTATTTCATCCCGAAGGGCTCACGCATCCTGCCGCTCGACTGGTACGTACCTTTATTCGCGCTTTCTTTTTCGTCGTCGGCTGCCGCCACCGCTGCAAGACTCAGCAGACGGGCCGGGCATCGGCAGGCAGGCACCCGGCAAAACACACAAGACGTACATCAACTAACCCTAGCGCTCTCAGGGCGTTCCTGCGCAACCCGATCAAGTACCCGGACCCGGACAACTTCCGGCCAGAGCGCTGGCTGCAGCCCGGGTGGCCGACGTACCAAGAGCCGCTGACGCAGTACCCGACCATCAAAGGCATGACATCATTCGGGTGGGGGCAGCGCCAATGCCTCGGCCAGTCACTCACGCAAGACGAGCTCGTCGTGGCCTGCGGCGCGCTGGCGTGGTGCTTCACGCTCAAGCACAAAGTGGACCCTGCCACGGGCGAGAAGATCCACATCCCGCTCGACAAGAGCAATAGCTTGCTCATTATCAAGCCCGATCCGTTCCAGATGGCGTTTGAGCCCAGGAGCGAGGAGAGGAGGCAAGAGGCGTTGCGGCTGTGGAAGGAGGCCGAGGAGAAGGATCGCAAGAGGCGCGCGGACTTTTTGGCCGCGGCGAGGATGAAGCAGAGGTGGGTTGGTGTAAGCGAGTGAGTAGGTGGGTTTGTACGCCGTGGCGTAAGTGTAGTAGGTGGGTGTAACCGCTGTTGCAGCCGCATGGATGGTCGTGTGGGACGTGGGTGGTTATGATGTGTCTTGGTATGTGGTGGTATGAGGCTGCAGTGCAGTGGACGGAGACGCATATGTACGGAGGAAGCATGGCATGCTTTCAGGCGGCGGCAGCAGCAGCAGCAAATGGTTTAGGGTCATTCGGTCGTTTCCTTTTGATGCCATCTTAATTAATTTTCTTCATTCCCCGATTGGCTTTTGTTTCATTTCTCTGGATTGGCGGCGTTTGCGCCTCGCTCGTGTAATAGATGTTTGTACGACGGCTTTGAAGCACGCGCACTCTGATACACACAGAAACATAATCAGTGGCGCAGGTACGAAGAAAATGATTGCACGTTTTGATGGCTGCTTATCGTCATGTTAGGTGCTTGGCTTTTGTGGTTAAAATTCTGCATGAGCATTCTCAGCTCCTGGCCTGACTTGACTTGCTTGGTGCTTGTGTCGTCTGTTTGCCTGGCAGCCTCCGCGGGAAGGAAAGGGCTGAGAATCTGAACCTAGAAGAGGTGCAGTGCAGCAGCAAGCGTTGCGGATGCGGATGCGGGCGCAGAATGTATGCGCGGGCTGCAGATGCAGATGCACATCATCATCTCCACCGCCCCTGCCTGCCGCTGGCGAACTTCACGTGAGGTTCCCCAAACCAGGAGGCGTTGCAGGGGAGGTGTGTATGTAGTAGGCAAAGGTTTCTCTTTGCCTTTTTGCGTTGCTTTTTTGAATTTCGTCAGGGGACGGCATTAGGAGGGGCAGTGGTGGCGGCAGTAAGCAGGTGTGTAGGTGACTGCAATAGCTGGTGTTGGCATTTACATTGGCATTGGCATTGAACGCCGCGTCGCGGGGATGTGCTGCACGCGATATGTGGGTTGGCTGCTGGCGCAATTTTTGGTAGATTGTCGCGATAAAGGCTGCGACATGGGGGAAGACAGGCGGTTTGGCTGGCAGGCATTGACCGTAACCTGTATGAGGACACTCGCTGCACTGCACGCCGCCAGGTAAAACTAAGCAGTCTCTAGCTGGCACGGTGGTAACCAGCAGCAGGCTCCTGGTTGCATCGTTCGTGCGACCAGTCCAGCTCGGCCGGCACGCAAATAGATTATTATCTTGCCTAGCGTGCGCCAAAGATGGAACTCCTGCTGAGAGCGTGCATGATGACCGGAAAAAGCACTGTGCGTGCACGACTTGGGCAAGTCTTGACGGCATCATCACCAGCCATCAGCCATTTGTGAGGATGATGAAGATGGCTATGCTCTCCCGCCCACTCGCCCATATTGATGAGATATTTTTTTTGTTTTCGCGATTGGGTTGGCGTGAACTAGATCTTAGCGTGGCTTCGGCTCTCCCCCGCTCTTCCCGGGGCCGCCGCCTCCGGACTTTGGTGATCGGGGTACCGTACCGCTTTGCACCGCCGCAACGCCGCAGGCCGCCGCCCACTGCCGCTCGCGGTCCCGTCGCCGTCGGTCATGCCAGCTCGGCCGTGGGGGAGTGAGCGAGTGTCAGTCGATGAGGACGATGTGGTATCTGTGGCTGCTCGGCCGGGATGGATGGGGGGCGCGCCTGAGGGGGAGAGAAATGCGCATCCGGAGGGCTGGTGGTGTGACCCGTCGCCGCCGAAAGGAGCGCGATGCCTTTCGTGCAACGCAGCTCTTTCCGGTCGCCAGCGTCGCATATGAAAGGGCAAGCTGCTGCTGCACCACACCAGGGAAGAAGCTGTTTGTTTGTCATCGAAAGAGTACTCTTGTCTGTCACCACCTGAAACGAAACAACGTTAGATTGTCAATATGTCGCCCATCTCGCCCGAGGCTGTAGTCGGCACCAGCGTGACGTTCTCGTTCATCCTGCTGGGTTAGTAGAGGAGCCCCGGCACCCCTTGGAACAATGTCTAACGATGGCACCTAGGCAACGCCATCACGCAGTCGTTCATGAGCGTGCCAGCGGTGCTGCTCGATTTCCCCAAGCCCGGCACGCCCGAGCACGCGGCGCGCGCGCAGCTGCTCGGACGGCAATGGCCCGTCTTCCACCGCATCGGCAACAACTTCATGCGACCCATGAGCATGTTCGGCATCTTCGGATACGGCTTCACGGCGTGGGCCATGTCGCAGGGCCGGCTCAAGGGCGACTGGCGCTTGCTGGCCGTGTCGTCGCTGTGCCACCTCATTGTCGTCATCCACTCGGCCATCAACCTGCAGCCGCTGAACTATAAGATCGAGGCGTGCGCCGACGGCAAGAGCGAGAAGATTGATCTGGCCCAGGCCGAGGAGTTTGGTCGCTCTTGGATTAGGTGCAATTTTGTGCGGGTTGTGTGCCCACTCGTTGCAGGGTCGCTGGCGTTGTGGCAGTTTTTGTGAGAGGAAGGAAGGAAAAGTGAAGAAAGTGTTTGGTGGAAGGCATGAGTCGTGGGGAGAGCGGGGAGCGGGTTGGAATGACTCGGGGCGGGGGCGGCAAGCGGCACGGCGGGACGATCATTTTGCTTTGATTTTGATTTTATTCTTTCTTTGTTCCTTCCTCCATCAATCTACCTGATTCCATCACCTACTCGTCGTCAAACCCTGGCGGCTTCACGTTCTTGCGCATCTCGAGCGCCTTGGCGCTGTCGACAAACTCCGTCACCTCGATCACCTCGCGCTGGTCCTCGGACAACTGCACAATCATGACGCACTCGTTTGCCCACTCCCGGCCTCCCTTCATCACTCCCTCCATCTTGGCGTTGATGATGACGGCGTTCTTTTGTGTGTCCTCGAAGATGGCATTGGGTACCATGGCGAAGCTCTCGAAGACGGAGAAGATGCCCGCCGCGTGCTGCTCAAAGGCCTCGCGCCCGCGCGTCGCCATGCCCAGTGACTCCGGGAGCACGCTGTGCTTGAAGTTGGCGGCCAGGGGAGCAATCAGCGTCGATACGGATAGGCTGCCGTAGCCGTCGAGCAGCGTGTAGACGGTGTTGAGGCGGGTCGAACGTTGGATCGTCATTTTGCAGAGTGTGGTTGAGTTTTTGAGTTAACGAGTGAAGCAACTGACGATGATGATGGTGCTTTGAAAGAATTGGCGTGTGTCTGGTGTAGTGGAAGGGCCAATGCTACTGCGCGAAGCCGGGTAGAAGAGTGATGTTGACTGATGACCAACAGACTACAGAGTTGCTTGTTTGGCATGTAGCTGTCGGTTCCCCAATGTCTCTAAACTGACAGATGCAGCTCTGGTTCTCCGCCGCGGATTCCGTACGGAGACCCGAAACCTAAGCCGGAACAGAGCTGTCCTCGGCCGCCCACATGCATCGGACTATTTCTTGGAAGCCGGCCAGACTACATCAGCTCCCGTGTCCGACCGCATCAGTCCTCAACCTCTTCTCCGCTGGCTCCCTAAACATCCTACAAATCACAGACACAGCATACAATCACCCATCATGAGTACCGACAACGCCAGGAAAGCCGTTCTCATCACCGGTGCCACCGGCAAACAGGGCGGTGCAGTCATCGACGCCCTGCTCGCCAACCACCCCAAGCTTTTCACCATCCTCGCCGTGACGCGCAACCCGACGTCAGCGAGCGCGGCGCGGCTAGCCGCTAAATCGGCCGCCATCACGCTGGTCCAAGGCGACCTAGACGACGTGCCGGCACTCTTCTCAGCCGCGGCCGCCGCCAGCATCGAGCCCATCTGGGGCGTCTACTCGGTTCAGGTGTCGCACGGCAAGGGAGTGACGTCCGAAGGCGAGATCGCGCAGGGCAAGGCGCTCATCGACGAGGCGCTCAAGGCCGGCGTGTCGTACTTTGTGTACAGCAGTGTGGAGCGGGGCGGCGAGGAGCGCAGCTGGGACAACGAGACGCCCATCCCGCACTTCCAGACCAAGCTGCATATCGAGCGGCACCTGGTGGAGGCGACCAAGGGCAGCGCCATGAGCTGGACAATACTGCGGCCCGTCGCCTTCATGGACAACCTAGCGCCGGGCTTCCCCAGCAAGGTCTTCCTCACGGCGCTGCGCGACACACTGGGCCCCAACAAGTCGATGCAGTGGGTCGCGACGGCCGACATAGGGTATTTTGCAGCGGAAGCGCTAGCGCGACCCGAGGAGTACAAGGGCAAGGCGGTGGGGCTGGCGGGTGACGAGCTGACATTTGGGCAGCTGAGCGATGCGTTTGAGCGCGCGACGGGGTACGCTGCTGGGACGACGTTTTCGTTCTTAGGCAGCACGCTCATGTACATGGTTGCGGAGATGGGGACGATGGTGCGCTGGTTTGGTGATGAGGGGTACAGCGCGGATATTGGGGCGTGTAGGGAGAAGCATCCCAAGATGATGGACTTTGAGACGTGGCTGAGAGAGAAGAGCGGGTGGGCTGCTAAGTAGGGTAGTAATAGCACCTAGTGCTAGACGAAGGAAAGGCCGGTAGGAGTAGTTCGGAGTTAATTAAATTGTTCTATATTTATTCTCGCCGATATAAAGAGGTTTGTCTATTCTATGTCTCTTAGAATTCTTATAATAATAAGGTAGCGAATAACTAAATAATTAGAATGACTTTTAACTAAACCTAAGTAAAAAGAAGAAATAGAAAAATAGGAGGAAAAAAAAAAAAAAAATCTAGTCAAGCTATTAGAAAGAATAAATAAGGAATACGTATCTATATTGGAATCTTAATATAAGCACGTAAGAGCTTGTGTTCTAGCAAGACAACTTTTATTGGTTAAAGAAATCTCCGATCCGCGATCTAACAGAACTAGTGGCTAGTGGGCCGGCTCGCTTTCAGCAAACGGACGACCCTAATCTTTCACTAGTAGGCCTCTACCACCCTCATGCAGCATGCAGCCTAACCTTGACGCCGTTCGCAATACAGTTGATCAACGTCAAATTGTGCCCCACAACCGCGTCTTTCTCCAAACTCTCCATCTTATCGAACCGTTGCAACAACCGTACTGTCACATAACTCGCTTCGGTCAGCGCAAATTGCTGGCCGACACAAATTCTCGGACCTCCGTTGAACTGTTTCGCTGTCAGCAAGGAGGAAGGGAAAAAAGGAAAGAAGGAAGAAACTTACCGGCAAATATTCCCACCCAACTTTCCTTCCCTCCCACCGTTCCGGTTTAAACTCGTCCGCGTCGGGACCCCAGATATCCTTCCGTCGATGCATAACGTGGACAGAAAAATCGCATGACGAACCCTTCGGGATAAAGATCGGCGAGTTTCCATCTTTACCTCCGCCGCGGGGAAGTGTCGTGTCTTTGTTTGCATAGCGTGCGTTTATGGGCACGACGGGGTAGATCCGCAATGATTCGTCATTGACGTATCGGAGATACTTGCAACCCTTGAGTTTTGAGAAAGTGATCTCTTTGGGCTGGTCGTAGGTGCCGAAGTCGGTGAGGATAATGTCACGTAGCTTCTTATAGCGTGCTGGGTCGCGGGAAAGGTTATGGAAGACTGAGGCAAGTTAATACGAGAGAGCTGGGAGGGAGTTAGAAGATAAGGGACAGGGAGATGCGTACCCCAGCCGAGATGCGAGGCAGTTGTATCGCGACCAGCGAGCAAGAGGTGTAGCAGTTCATGGCGTAGCTCAGTCGGGTTTTGAGTTTCAGCAGCCAGGCCCTCGAGGAAGATGTACTGCTCCTTGGTACCATTACCCTTTTCGAGCTCCTTCTTACGCAGATCCTTCGACAAGGCGAGCCTCACGAAGTGATCAACAAACTCATGAACAATCTTGCATGAATCGCGGAATGCTAATGAGTCATAAAGCCAGGGGGAATCCATGAAACGAGTCCGCGCCGCAAGAACCGTTTGACCGGATTCAAAGGCCTTTACGAACTTCATCATCCTCTCAGCGTTGAAAGACCCCGGGCTACCTATCTTGGCACTTTGCTCCTCAGGGAGGAGCCTGAGCTGGCTGTTGACAGATTCGCCGAAGAGGAATTCTGTGGCTGAGTCAATCGTAAGACGGAAGAAATAGGGTAAAAGGTCAATCTGCTCAATCCAGCCATCCGCTCCTATCTTGGGTTCCAACAGCCTCATCATGTTCTGGACATGTGTTTCTTCCAAGTTTAGATCGCTGACCTGGTCTCTCGTGAACTGGGGACGTATAATAGCCTGCTCGCCGTCTCGGCATCAGAATGACATCCAAGAAAAAAGTTGAAGCTGTGCATGCGGCATGCCTCCCAAGTATCCCAGCCTTTGAGACAGAAGTTGAGACTAAAGACATATAGACTCAAAAAGAAGGGATTGGGATAAACATACCCGAGAGTGCTTCCAATGGGCTCCATCTGCCGTGAAGATGCCATTACCCAGCATCGGGAGGAAGGTCAGACGCCTTGTTGGTCCCACATCTCAGATCTGTAAGTGTCTGGCCGAAGAGGAAGGTGTGGCGGATGATGCTTACCAAAGTCAGAGAACTGATTTGCGAGAATAGCTTGGATGTTTTTAGGGTCTGCAGTACGAATGTTTACCGCTCCTTTTCAAAATCAGAGTCAGTGACTTGGTACACAATAAGGGAGTTTACCCATGTTTGAAGATTTGAAGCGGCAAAGGAGAGGTACCGAAACGGTTAAGAGCACTTACCAAGAACCTGATACCTATAAGTATTCGTACCCAGGTCCTCGAAACGCTTAATCAAATCTTCAGGGAAATGGTGCGCTCTATCCGCGGCAAGTGCGCGCAGTAAACTGTCGATGCCGAGTGGCCAGCGATTGTTTTCAAACGGAGGCTCTTCACACTTGAGTTTCAGTGCCTTGGCTGCATTGCGACGAGAGATAAGGAAATTAGCGATAATAGCGTAAACGATATAAGATGCGGCGGCCCAAAGGAGAACTGTGATGGCAGTAGGCACTTGCATCTTGATGTTGATGTGAGCAGAAAGGTGGGGTTTCACAGGCGGCGAAGAATGAGAGATTAGGATTAAATTTAAGACTCCTGCTGCAGGAATATAAGTGAAGTCGTACGATCCGCATATGCGGGGGCCTGCTTGTTGGTGACGGGATGGGGTTAATCCGATGCATGAAATCGGGTCCAATTCAGGTCCCAATTTCAAACGCTACTTTGCCCCTTCACTTTGTTTCCTTTGCACAACAACATCCGCACAATGGCGTATCCGGAGAATGTCGGCATTAAGGCTATGGAAATCTACGTTCCGGCACAGGTACAGTCGTTCAGTTCATATCGCAATCAGCTTCGGCGAGTGTCAGCGACCCGAGCTGACTAGAAAAGTGCCTGGACCAATCTCTCTTTGAGAAACACCAAGGAGTTTCCCCCGGCAAGTACACCATTGGACTGGGCCTTCGGTACATGAACTATTGCACCGATAGAGAAGGTAAGTTTCAAGTGTTTGCATTTGCCAGACAAACTCAATTTCAGTCACGTTTAACTGATCCCGTGCAGATGTCTGCTCTCTGGCCTTGACAGCTGTCTCTTCACTGCTCCGCAAGTTCAACATCGATCCCAACTCTATTGGACGTCTGGAGGTGGGCACCGAGTCACTTATCGACAAAGCCAAGTCTGTCAAATCAGTTCTCACGACCCTGTTTGAGCCATTCGGCAACACAAGTCTAGAAGGTGTTGACACAGTCCATGCTTGCTATGGCGGTACCAACGCTTTGTTCAATGCTGTCAATTGGGTAGAGTCTCGTTCATGGGACGGCAGAGATGCTATTGTCGTTACATCGGACATAGCTCTCTACAAAGAGGCTTCCTCGCGCCCAACAGGTGGTGCTGGTTGCATCGCCATGCTTGTCGGCCCGAACGCGCTGCTTTCCCTAGAACCAAGCTTGCGAGGTGTCTACATGACCCACACATACGACTTTTACAAACCTGACCCTAAAGTCGAGTTCCCCATCGTCAATGGCCATGAATCCATCTCCTGCTACCTCAGCGCCCTGGATGAATGCCACAAGGACCTACTCCGTCGTGTTGAGGCCGCCAAGAGCACGCCCAGTCTTGATGGACCAATGAGTGCGTCGAAGAATGTCCTTGACCTTTTTGACTACATGGCGTTTCATACCCCAAACTGCAAACTGGTCAGCAAGTCGTACGGCCGACTCAAGTACAATGATTGTCTGAAGTCTACCGACGGCTCTGATTGGGAAGGGATCCCTGACGAGCTCCGCAAGCTAGGCTATGAAGAGTCCTTGAAAGACAAAGCACTGGAGAAAGCTCTCGTGGCCCTAACCAAGGCTCAGTTCAAGAAGCGGGTCGAGCCATGTATCACCGCACCAGCCTTATGTGGAAACATGTACACCAGCAGTCTCTACTGTTCCCTCATCAGCTTAATCAGCAATATTGATCTTACAGCTGGAGAAGGAAAAACAATCGGCATGTTTAGCGTAAGTGGTTGACTAATTTTCTTTTTAAAATCGCTCCTAGAATGTTGTATTGATTAAAACAAAAACGTTAGTACGGAAGCGGCGCTGCTAGTACCCTCTTCACCCTGAAGGTTACTGGTGATCTCACAAAGATGGTTGAGAAAGTCGATTTGATGAATCGGCTGAAGCAGCGACACATCTCGACTCCTGAGGAGTATGAAGAGGTCAGTTTCAAGGATCTACTCTACTTACGACTTTATACTAATAAGGTTGCGGAAGGCCTGCGTTCTTCGAATGAAAGCCTACGGAAGGAAGAGTTACAATCCTGTTGGTGATGTAGCCTCCCTGGCACCTGGGACATACTACTTGGAGAACATCGATGACATGTACCGGAGGACCTATGCCATTAAACATTAACGAATGATAGCCTCTAGGTATCATTTGGATCAGGCTGGAATTTCAATCAATGCTTGAAAAAGGCATATCTAGAGAGTAGATGAGTGTTTGGAACATACTTCTATAGATACGTGTCCATTGCAAGTGCCTAATCGGTTTTTGATCCAGTTTGCCAAGTTATTCTTAGTGTAAAATGTTAAGCATCAGCTGGTAATTCCGAAACTGACTTTTTTGCTTCAAGCCTCTTCTTCACATCCTCTGGCCGCAAACTCTTCCACTCAGCGAAGAAGGAAGCCAAAAGACCAACACCGACAAGGACGATGGACCAGACCCAAGCAGCACGAAGTCCATCCATGTATGCGTTTACAACGATGTTGAGGTCGTCGGGGTTAGGGAAGTATTCGCGCAAGCTGGAGGAACCTGCCTCCAAGACATTCGCGGCGGTGATGTTGGGATTATTGGCTGGAAGTGACGAGATTATAACATTGTCCATGATGTTCGTCGCGACAGACACACCGATAGTGGCACCAATGAATTGGAAAACTATTGCCCCATTGAAAAGCTATTGTGAGTAAGAGAATAAAAGGCTGGACGTGCGAAGAAAACTTACAGAGGGCTATGGATACGGTAACGGACATATCGAGTTGTGAAGAAATTGCTTGCGCTATAATGATGGGGATTTGGATGGTCAACCCGGTGCCAATACTCACTACAACTTGGTAGCCGATGTAATGGGCGGCTGTGGAGTGGAGATCCAGGGTGTATATCAAGCCTGCGCCGACCACAGAAAAGATGCTTCCAATCCAGAAGAATGGCTGCCAGTAACCAATTTTACCCACAAGGACAGAGCCTACGAAACTGAAGAGCGCTGTTCCAAAAAGTGATTAGTATACTGGCGCGAAAAAGTTGATGGACATCCGGAGGTAAGAAATCCAACTTACAGCCCGCGAGCACCGTGGGTAGCGTTCGAATTCCAGACTCTGATGGGGAGACCCCTTGTACAGCCTGGAAATAAATTGGCAAGTTGTAGTTCCGCGCAAAACTGGACGAGTGAACGCAAAAGCCGAAGACGCAGAAGGCTGCGACTGTTCTACGCTTCACTATGCGAAAGACCACCATCGATCGCTCACCCTGCTTCCACTCCAACGCAACTAGGGTGATAATGATTAGAACAAACCCAACAAGTAATCCTATAGGCACACTGTTGCTCCAGGGCCTCGTCACCCCGCCCATTTCCAAAGCCAACAAAAGGCAGGTCAGGGCAGCAAGCAAGAAGATCACGCCCCCTACATCGAAATGCAAAGAAACTTCCTTCCAATTCGCATGCGCGAGGCGAGAATGTGCTGGTGTCTTGAACAGGAGCAGTATAATGACCATGGTAGCGCCTCCAATCGGTAAGTTCACCCAGAAGCACCATCTCCAAGAGAGATCTTGGGTGAAGACTCCACCAAGGACGGGGCCGAGGACTGAAGAGCAACTCCACGCTGTACCGAAGAGGCCAATGGTCTGAGCCATGTGCTTGGGTCGCGTAATAAATGCCGCGATGATGTAGCAGCCGCCAGTAACGCCGGCGCCACCAGCACCTTGGACGGCACGACCGATAATAACAGCGAGACTGCTAGGTGCGAGGGCCACGACCAGGCTTCCTATCTCAAAGATGACAATGCAGGCAAGGAAGACGATTTTGAGAGGGAAGTACTTGTAGGCTTTCCCCCAGGATGCTTGGAAGGCGGCTAGAGTCATGAAAAAGGCAGACCCATACCAGCCGACCTGGTCGACGCTGTGGAACTCGGCTGTAATGGTGGGAATCGCTGTGGCCACAATTGCCTACTTGCTTTCTTAGAATCACAATTAACTGCAAATTCGAATTGGGCAATACTTGCCATGTCCAAAGCGACAAGAAACATAGCGAGGAGCAAAGCAATGTTAAGCACAATAGACAGAAACCTCCCCGGATATGTGAGCTCGTTTGTTGGAGAACTTGCAGCCGCCGGTGCTCCAGAAGCTGGTTCGTTCTCCTTGGCTCCACCTTTGCTAGGCTTTGATCGAGCAGTATCTCTCACTTCGTGGTCGATCGACTTGTCAGTCAGAGGATCTGTGGCGGTCTTCGTTTCTGGCATAGTAAATGGACTCTAAAAACTTAGCTTTCAAATTTGAATGAATCAGTATGGTTTGAAAAGAAGCTGCGGTATTAAGGTAGGAAGAGACCGACCTTTAACTCTGCCTTTTTTCGCGTAGTTAGGATGTGCGAAACGCCGGACCGCAGCTCGAAGCACTGTCCTATTTTGTCGTAATGACTGTGTTGTCTTGGATGGTTTAAATGATTGTGACGTCGGAACGGAATGACCCGTGTCTGATTGGGTAAATTAGACGGATTTAAGCAGAGGTTGATGTGCTTACTGCTTAGTGCCTTTGTTGAAATTTCGGGGATCGATATTCCGCACCGAATATGGACTTTAAAGCCGCTCCGATGCACCTATTCCCGCCCCCACACGGCACGTCGCGAAGAACGAATCTTTTATCGAGGTCTCCCCTAGCACATGTTCCGGTGGCGCACTGCGGTGAGCCCACACCTAGCCTTTTTGGAAACAGTCAGCCGTAGGAGCTTGCTACCAAAACAATAATACTGTCTCACGAAATTTCTCGCGCCTACACGTATTAGTCCATCTTAGTGCTATTAAACCTATTGTAGAGAAGACTTCCTATCCCCACTCCATTTTAGCCATTCTGCGGAGATTTAGTAAGAACTAAAAGCGTGGTAGGGATATAAAGCTAGGTGTAGTAATGACTAAGTACTATACTAATAGGGAACGGCTCCGGCCGTGGTCTAGGCCTGGTTGTTGGTTCACAACAATTTTGGGGTTAATGGCCGATGATTTTCAGTCCACTTATGCCGGACAACACGAACTACGGTATAAAGCACCGTGGCTAGGCTCCAGCCCTGGAGACAATAGTCGAATAAAGAATGACGGAAAAATCCACATACTACGCCACCATACGGGTATCTACAATATCTTATAAGCCTCCAATCATCCGTTAAGGCCAAACAGCCATTACAACTCACTTCGCTTTCGTCACCTTTATGCTGTCAGTTTTCTGCTTCTTGGCCTGACATAATTTTTCTCCTCCTCATGAACAAAACGCCTATTTATTTTTGCTTACTCTGTGGATATATATGCGAGTGTTACGAAAGCCTGCTTATCTCTAAGCTGTTTTGGAGCCAGAACTCTTTGTCGTCATAAAGATCATATTTCTGTAGATCAATCGGCGAGACCACTGCAATGTCCCGAAACCCGCGGCGTTGGACCCCCCAAGAAGATCGTATATTGCTTGAGAAGGGTAAGCAGTTGCGTAAGTCTTCGACTCGAATTCAAAGACACCGCTGCCTCTAACTATTCATCTCAAGTCGCGGAAGGCACTGATACAGCCATTAGCTGGAGCAGTGTATCGAATGCTATCCCTAATCGCAACAACAAGGACTGCCGCAAGCGTTGGTGCAAGCTGACAGGGGCCAAGAAGGGCCTGTGGTCCTTAAACGAGGATAGAAGGCTCATGGAGGGCGTGCAGAAGCACGGAAAACAGTGGACCCTGGTTGCGAAGACCGTAGAAACCAGGAATTCGGACCGTAGGTGGTACAAAGCGACCTCTGAAAATCATGACTAAAGTGCAACCAGAGTGCGCAAAGCGGTGGCAACACTGCTTGGATCCGTCGTTGGACCACAGTGTATGGACAAACGAGAAGGATGCCCAGTTGCTTGCTTCTGTAGAGCACTACGGCACTAACTGGAAGGACATCAAAAGATTCGTTTTTCCGATGCGTTCGACTACAAACTTGAAGAACCGGTACGTCACACAAAACTTGATTTGAGAAGTAATCTCCTTGCTGCCGCTAACTCAATCCATCGTTAATAGGCATATCGCCCTTCTCCGACAGAACAATAAAAGACCCAGCGCCTGCTCCGAAGCCGAAGTACTCGAGCCAGACATGGAATGGTTGTCAATCGAACAAGAAATGTCTGGTAACACAATGATCGATGGGAGCGATGACGGCGATTATCTTGAAAGCGATCACGATGAGAGTTTACTCACCTCAACTTCGGCGTCTCCTTTCCAGAACGACCTTACCCTGGATTGCAATCTGTCTGGACCTTTGGTACGACACACGACATCGACATCGACAAACTCGGGCTCTTGTCAATTTCCTTTGGACTTCGAAAATTTCTCACATCAAGACCTCGTTCAAACAGGAACTCCAAACTATGCACCCTTCGAAAGCTTTCTTGAAACGAACTCAAGTTGTACCCTCGATACTGAGTCTGCACTTTGGGAGGATATCAACAATTGCGAGACTTACATACCGGGGTTATCCAAGCACACAACGCCGTCGCGTTCTCCTCAGCAGGCAATTCTCAACAATTCGAAAATCCCCAGCGAAGCCTCGCTTCAAGAACCAAACCAGCCGCAGCGTTTGGCGAGCAATGTATCATCAAACGTGCCACAGATGGTTCTCACCATCGAAAATCCCGAACCACAAACAATGACGAACATACTTGAAGTCTTGACCAAGACAAAGAGCAAAGTGACCATATCTATAAATACTTAAGTAGAAACTGGATTGCCTCGCCGTCTTAGTTCCCCTCTCGGTATAGGATGCAGAATACAAGCAGACTAAACTCTCTCGAATCTTGTAATTACCGTACGTGCAATTAATTGATTTGTGTTGACTAAAGTATCAACTTCTAATAGATCGAGGATTAAGCTGTGCCTTGAAGCTAAGAGTCAATGCAAAACTATGCCGGGACTCAAGAATAACCATGCAGTGCTACCTCTATTCTTTGGATTCCAGTACGCATTCCTTTACATCCAGGTTAATCTCACAGGCAAGGATCCGACTGGCAGGATCGATCCTGGTTAGATTTTCTGGACCCGGTTGAACATTGTGGGCCCGATTGACTGCTGTGGGACCGATTGACTGATGGGGCCGATTAACCGTTAATCGGTGTTGACAAGGAAGGTGAAAGTTCGATAAGCTGATGAAAGTCGGACCTGCGTTCAACACGTGCAAAGTAGACATATTTCATCACCCTTGTTGCTATTTGGTTCAATTCCATAGTATATAGGATACTCAAGCACCCCCCCTCAAACATATACTTATTAGATGAAGACTTTGAGCTTCTTCCTTGGTTGGTGTTCATTCAACTGATACGCCATTTTTGATTTTGAGAGCAGTTTTTGGCTTTTCAGTCATTCTTCCAAAGCGTCAACCATACCTAAAATCGACATGAGTCCGATTGCTGTCCAGAATGGAGGCCCTCTTCATGTAGAGGACAACATCGTGCCTGTTAAAAAGGCCGAGGAGGTTATCCCGGAAAAAGAACAGAAAACAAGCGATGTCAATGGTACGTCACACGCTTCCAATGGAACCAATGGCTCCTCCCAGAAAACATCCAATGGAGCTCATGTTCAAGACGACGTCCCTATTGCCATTGTGGGCATGGGGATGAGGCTTCCGGGAGGTATTGGCACTGAGGAAGACCTTTGGGATACCTTGATCAACAAGAAGGATCAGAGGAAACGTGTTCCAGCAGACCGATGGAACGTCGATGCGTTCTATAGCAAGTCAAACAAACGTGGATCAGTCAAGACCGAATATGGATACTTCCTGGACGACAATGATCTTCGTCAATTCGATACATCCTTCTTCTCAATTACTCGAAACGAGCTCGAGAAGCTGGACCCTCAGCATCGCCTCCTCCTGGAAGTTACCAGAGAGTGTCTGGAGAATGCTGGTGAGCTCGACTGGCGTGGCAAAGACATTGGTTGCTATATTGGAGTGTTTGGAGAAGACTGGCTCGATCTGCATGCGAAGGACACACAAGATTTTGGCGTTTACAGGATCACGGGTGCTGGGGATTTCGTGTTGGCCAATCGTGTCTCCTACGAGTATGATTTCAAAGGCCCCAGGTAAGCTATAATACCTCCATCCAATACTCCGCTACGAGAAAATAACAATGCTAATACATCCCAATAGCATTACCGTCAAGACCGCCTGCTCATCAGCGCTTATATGCTTGAACATGGCCTGTGAAGCCATAAGATCGGGCGAGATCACGTCTGCAATTGTCGGCGGAGCAAACCTGCTCATGTCACCAACCATGACTATTGCCATGAGTGAGCAGGGAGTGTTATCAGCGGATGGATCTTGCAAAACATTCGATGCTACTGCTGATGGATACGCAAGAGCCGAAGCTATCAATGCCTTGTACGTGAAGCGGCTTGATGAGGCTATCCGCGATGGCAACCCAATTCGAGCTATTGTTCGCTCGACAGGGACCAATTGCGATGGGAAAACTCCAGGTCTTTCTCATCCTAGTCCAGAAAGCCATGAGGCCCTCATCCGCCGAACTTACGAATCGGCTGGAATCCACGATTTTTGCCAGACTGCTTTTGTGGAATGCCACGGAACTGGAACAGCTACAGGTACGCTTCTCACTTTTATCACTTCCTACTTTTAAAAAGCAAACATTTCCTTCAACTTTTTAATTATCGCTTTTTATTGAACCAGAATGGTCTTCCCTTAACGCCAGACTATACAAAGTTGAGTGATCGCTAACCTCTGGTGGCGGTAGGCGATCCTCTAGAGACGACTGCAATTGGAAATGTCTTCGGAGAAAAGGGAGTGTACATCACATCGGTAAGAATTAGACTATGATAGTACCAAGTTCGTGGCAACTAACATTTGGATTTTTACAGGCTAAACCGAACATGGTACGAAATTTCCTCTATTTTCTTGACTACACTACCCACGACATACTTTCCCACTATGCTAGGGGAGCGCCGACGAAAAGCAACTAATCTAGTTATAAACAGGGGCACTCTGAGGGTGCATCAGGCATTACATCCTGCATCAAAGCTGTTCTCGCCCTCGAGAAGAAGACTATTCCGCCAAACATTAAATTCAACAACCCGAATCCCCAAAGTAGTTCCCCTTAGTCTTTAGCTATAAGAAAAAGGCAGCTGATTTTTAAACAGTCCCATTCAAACAAGCGAAGCTTCAAGTCCCTACTGATGCAACTCCATGGCCGGTAGATCGGCACGAAAGAGTAAGCATTAATGCTTTCGGGATTGGAGGGGCAAACGCCCATGTAAGTATTTTTCACGTCTTTAGTTTTCCAAGTCCGCTAGTTTTACTGACCCTTATCCAGGCCGTTATCGATTCCGCAGAATCATTTGGTATCAAATCAACGGTGGCAGCCGGCTCTTCAACAGAACCGTTGCGGCAGAACCTCGTTGTCTTCTCTGCCAACCACGTGGGCTCTGTCCGCGAAGGGACAAGCAATCTTCAACGGTATCTCGAAAAGCACCCAGAATCTCTAAAGGATTTGGCGTATACCATGGGCATACGTCGTGAGCGTCTCCCGTACCGATCTTTCGCCGTTGGTGATGGTGTTGCACCTCTGGAATTTTCTGCACCCAGCAGAACGCCGTCCACAACCCCTGCAGTTACCTTTGTCTTTACCGGCCAAGGAGCTCAGTGGGCAACTATGGGTGTAAAGCTCCTGATCGACTTCCCATCTGTTCGTAAGGACTTTCAATACTTGGATGGCGTTCTTTCAAAGCTACCATATCCGCCACACTGGACTATAGCCCGTGAGTAGTCCTGTCTACTCTTTGCATACTGAAACTGTTAACATCATTTCTAGGTGAACTTCTGAAATCAAAGACGGAAAGCAGGCTCGATCAAGCCGAGTTTTCTCAGCCGCTCTGCACAGCAGTGCAGATAGCAATTGTTAACCTTCTACGAACATGGAACATCTCTCCGTCACAAGTCATCGGTCACTCTAGCGGAGAGCTTGCGGCAGCCTATGCCAGTGGTGCAATCACATCAGGAGAAGCCATCATTGCGGCCTACTTCCGTGGACTTGTTACGAAGCAGCAAGGTCGTATTGGTGCTATGGCCGCCGTAGGAATCAGTCGAGAGGGTGTGGCCGGCTTCCTAACGGATGGTGTAACGATCGCATGTGAGAACAGCCCAGAGAGCACAACAATTTCTGGAGACGGCAATCAAATCGACATTGTGATCCAAAAGATCAAGGCGAGCCATCCGGACATCTTCGCTCGCCGGCTTCGGGTCGATATGGCCTACCATTCCCGTGAGTGAAGCCTCCCTGATCAATAGTCTCAGGCACTAACTAGGCGGTAGACCACATGACAGAGGTTGCAGAACAATACCAAAAGCTGCTTGAGCCACATGTCTCCAGTTCTCGTCCAGAGGTTCCGTTCTTCTCAACTGTGCTGAACAAAGTAATCAGCGAGAAGGGTGCCTTGAATGCATCGTACTGGCGCAAGAATCTAGAATCCCCGGTACTTTTTGCAACCACCATGGAAAAACTGCTAAAGCAAGAGACTTCTAGCAACCTGTTCCTCGAGATTGGGCCACACTCTGCTCTAGCCGGGCCACTGCGACAGATTTTCAAGAAGCACCAACCTGACGCGCTCTACGTTCCAACGATGGTTAGGGGCCAGGATGACACAACGAGCCTACTCACTGTCGCAGGAAATCTATTCGTGAAGGGACTCCCCGTCGACCTCAATTCCGTCAATCCTGGTGGATCTATACTCACAAATCTCCCGACATATCCGTGGCATCACGATGAAAGTTTCTGGGACGAAGGTCGACTTTCCCGAGAATGGAGGACGCGCAAGTTCCCCCGACATGACCTCCTTGGTTGCCAAGTTTTCGAAGGCAGCACACTGGAACCTACTTGGAGAAACATGCTTTGTCTGGAAGATGCCTCGTGGATTCGTGACCATGTAATCAACCAGGACATTGTTTTCCCTGGAGCAGCGTATATTGCCATGGCCGGAGAGGCTATCCGACAGGTCACAGGGACGGAAGACTTTACCATTCGGAACATGTCAGTCAAGGCAGCTATGATCCTGCACGAGCAAACAACAACAGAGATCCTATTCTCTCTTCGCCCCCATCGCTTGACCACAAGCTTAGACTCTGCTTGGTATGAGTTTGTCGTTTCCTCTCACAACGGCACCTCCTGGACGAAGCACTGTACTGGTCAAGTAAGAGCAGGAAAGTCAGACTCAGAATTGATTTCAGAACCTCCGAAAGTTACCGACCTCCCGCGAAAGGTGTCAAGTACACGCTGGTATCAGACAATGTCGAAAGTGGGTATCAACTACGGGCCAAAATTCCAAGGCATGGAAGATATATCCACGCACCCTGTCGAAAACTTCGCGGTAGCAAAGGTTACAAACACCGTCAATCCGAATGATTCAGTGTACCAGCTTCACCCGACAACGACAGACTTCGCCATACAACTTTTCAGCGTGGCGGCATGGAAGGGCCAGTCTCGCGATTTCGTACAAATGCCTCTACCCGCGTACTTTGGAGAGATCTACATGAAGCGCCCAAAGACAGATCTGAAACTACAGCTATCCTCAAGTGTCACTGTCACGGCTAGAGGGGCCGTCCATGGAAATGGTTTTGCTACCGTTGGCAATGAGGTCGTGTTGGAACTTCGAAACCTTCACCTCGCACCGGCTGCTGACGATGCCGCTGGTGTGGATGCAGATCCACATGCGGGTGTACGCCTCCAGTGGAAACCTGACATCGCTTTCTTGGATTCGAAAGACCTGTTGCGAACAAGGAAGAGCATCAAATACTGCTATCCTGCGGTACAGAAGCTTTTGCTGTTGTGCAGTATCGAGTGTACGCGGCGCTTGGCAGACTTGCCTCCTTCCGCATTGCCACATCTGGAAAAGTTCAAGAAGTGGCTTTCTACTCATGTGCAACAAGCCAAGGCCCATGGCTATGAAGCGGTAGATGATGCGAGTTCACTTTTCACTCTTTCTTCAACTGAGAGGCTCTCACTGATCGAAGCAACGGCTAAAGAGGTTGAGGCTTCAGACGCGGCGGCTGTTGGCAATGCTATACTTTGCATCTTCGAAAATTCCGAAGCCATCTTCAAGGGCGAAGCAGAAGCTTTAGATTTGCTGATGGAGGGTGAAAAACTGAGGAAGATATATGATTTAGTAGTGGAGTTCTGGGACTTCAACGACTTCCTCGGTCTTCTGAGCCACAACAAACCAAACCTTCGAATACTCGAGATTGGAGCTGGAACCGGGGCAACAACGGCCCTAATCCTCGATGGCCTCGTTTCTGCTTTCGGAGAGCGGATGTTCTATTCTTATACGTACACTGATATTTCCGCTGGCTTTTTCGTTAAAGCCAAGGAGAGGTTCAGGAATGTTCAAGGCATGGAGTACTCCGTTCTCGACATTGGCCAAGATCCAGCCGAGCAAGGCTATGAGCTTGGATCTTACGACCTCATCATTGCAACAAATGTGAGGAGCTTTTGCTGCGGATACGACACTTGAGGCTAATATGCTGCAGGTTCTCCACGCCACGCCAAGTCTTGGGGAAACATTGGTCAATGTTCGGAAGCTGCTTCAACCGAAAGGGAAGCTGCTGTTGCAGGAACTATGCTCAGGTAAGTAATCCTCAATGGATGGCAGCCTGAACTCAAAACCTAACATTTTCAGATGCCAAATGGTTCAACTTCATTGTGGTAAGTTTATGTTTGCTGTCATAAGATTGAGTAGGAAGAGTTTGTGTTGACAGCGCCCTAGGGTGTGCTTCCCGGCTGGTGGCTAGGTGAACCCGATGGCAGGCCTGAGGAGCCATACGTCAGTCCTCAGAGGTGGGACAAGGAACTGGCACAAGCAGGCTTTGCCGGTGCGGAGGCAGTCATCTATGACGAGGAGATGCCATACCACACAAACGCAACTATCATTGCTTCGCCTCTCGTCGAGCCGAAAGTCAACAGGAAGGTTTCAGTATTAACGACGGATCCAAACTGCCCTGCCGCGACCCGGCTCGTCAACAGCCTTACTAAGCATGGCTTCATGGTCGATTTCAGTTCATTGTCAGATACTCCCAAGGCCGACCAGGATATCATTTCAGTGCTGGACCTCGAAGGAAAAGCTTTCCTCACGGATGTGTCTGAACAGCAGTTTCGTTCGTTGCAAGGCTATCTCACGAGCTTGACTTCATCAGGCATGCTATGGCTGACAAGGCCGGCTCAAGTCGAGTCCTCGGATCCTCAATATGCACAAATACTAGGACTTGCGCGCTCAGTCCGAAACGAACTCTCGATAGATCTCGCGACATTGGAAATCGACGATATACAGGACGAGTCTACCTTTGACAGGATCCTTGATGTCCTCGGTAAATTTCAAAACCGCTCCAAGGACCAGGAGATTGACCCGGATTTCGAATACGCCATCGTAAAAGGCGTGATTAACATTCCCCGCTTCCATTGGATCTCAGTCTCGAACGAACTTTCTGCAGGCACTGACGCCGAAGCTCCAAAAACTTTGGAGATTGGGAAGCGTGGCTTACTGAAGACACTCCGGTGGGTTCAGAGACCAGAGATCAAATTAACTGGGGATGAGGTATCTGTAAAGGTGAAAGCTGCTGGTATGAACTTCAAGGTAATTCTACTCAGTGTCCTCAGCCATTTCGGAAACCCATGCTGACCAAAAAGGATATCCTCATATCTATGGGAGTCGTAGATGGTAATGTCGACGACGGCAATGGACTTGGCTGCGAATGCGCTGGCATCGTCACCGGAGTAGGCCCTGATGCTTCCTTCAAAGTGGGAGATCGAGTCGCGATCATCGGCGGCGACTCGTATTCTACAGTTCTCAAGACAAGCTCAGCGCTATGCGCTAAGATTCCCGACAACTTGAGCTTCGAGGATGCGGCTACAATGCCCTGTGTGTACACTACCGTGATCCACAGTCTCCTCGATCTGGCCAGGATTGAGAAAGACCAGGTAAAGCCCCACAAAAAAATCAAACATCATAGTTTCTTGACTTACAAACGACATAGACTGTTCTGATCCAATCTGCCTGCGGAGGTATCGGCATTGCAGCCATACACATCTGTAGCATGGTCGGCGCAAAGGTCAGAATAAAATCTTTATTCGAATAGAGGTGACTACTTTACTAACTAAGTCAGATATTCGCTACCGTCGGAACTGATGAGAAGGTCGAGTATTTGATGCGTACCTTCAGTATTCCCCGCAACCACATCTTCAACTCCCGGAACTCGTCTTTCCTGCCAGATGTCATGCGGGAGACCAACGGCACGGGAGTAGACGTCGTTCTCAACTCTCTTTCTGGAGACCTCCTCCATGCCTCTTGGAAGTGTGTTGCTGAGTTTGGTAAGATGGTTGAGATTGGAAAGCGAGATTTCATCGGGCAGGGCCAACTAGCCATGGAGGCCTTCGAAGCAAACAGGACATTCTACGGTGTCGATTTCGCACCGATCGCAGAGAAGCGCCCATTCGTGATTAAGAGGTAACCCAATCTCAGAGGAGCTGTCTTTTGTTTTCATCAGTGAACTGACTCTTTATCCACAGGTTGATGGAAAGAACCATGGAGTATTTCCGCCAAGGCGCCATTCAACCCATCAGACCCATCAAGTTCTTCGACGCCGCTCAGATCGAGGACGCCCTTCGGTACATGCAGAAAGGCCAGCACATGGGGAAGCTTGTCATAAAGTTCCCCACGGACAATTCTCAATTGTCCGCTTCACGCGGGAATAACCGGTTGTCCCTTCGACCAGATGTTTCGTACCTGCTGGTCGGTGGTCTAGGAGGGCTAGGCCGTTCGATATCCACATGGATGGCCGAACATGGCGCAAGACATTTCATCTATCTGTCGCGAAGTGGAGGCAAAGGAGCGGATCATGCTGCTTTTGTCGAAGAGATGAATGCAGCAGGATGCACAGTCCAGATCACAGCCGGCAGCGTCGCCAACCTGGCCGATGTTCAGAGCGTGATCAGACAGGCAGAGTATCCAATTTCTGGTGTCTTACAAATGTCTATGGTGTTGAGGGTACGTTTCCCACTACCATTATGATGTCTGCGCACAAGAACTAACCGGCTGCTAGGACGCATCATTCCCAAACATGACATACGAGGAGTGGCAGGACGCCAATTTGCCAAAGATACAAGGGACATGGAATCTACACGAAGCGTTTGCTTCGCAATCACTCGAATTCTTCGTGCTGTTTAGCTCCTTCTCGGGTCTTCTCGGACATTGGGGACAAGCCAATTACGCAGCCGCGAACACGTTCTTGGATGCATTCGCTCAATACCGCCACGGCAAAGGTCTCCCGGCATCCGTTCTTGATATTTCCATCATTGAAGATGTCGGCTGGGTGAGTCAGGAGCCCGCTCATCTGGAACAGCTGAAGGCAACGGCCGCATATTGTCTAAAAGAGCAAGACCTCCTCGATTCCTTGGAACTGGCCATTGCCAAGTCCGCGCCAAAGGCACGGGCGACCGAGTCTTCCATGGACGGATACATCAACGACAGCCAAATCGGACTCGGGTTGAGGATGACAATGCCCATCGCCGCAGATGCTAACCGCTGCATCTGGAAACGCGACATTCGAATGGGCCTATACCGAAACCTCGAGACCACAAGCGCTGGGGACCTAGGCAACAGTAATGAGGGCCTCAGGGAATTCCTGGTTACAGTAAACAGCAACCCCGGAACGCTGAACGAGCCATCTTCCGTCTTGTTCCTAGCACAGGAGATCGGTGCTACATTGTTCAGCTTCCTCATGCGACCTATCGAGGAGCTGGATCTCAAGCAGCCACTGTCGGCCGTCGGCATTGATTCGCTTGTGGCTATCGAGCTGAGGAACTGGAGCAGGCAGAGGCTTGGTGTGGAAATCAGCGTGCTGGAGATCCTCGGTGCTGCATCAATTGAGAAACTGGGGCAAGCGGCCGCGGAGGGATTGCTGGTGAGATTGGGTGGTGCCACGGCAAAGGGAGATGCGCAGTGATTTGTAAAGGTTGATAGGTAGGGGTTTTATGTAGCCAGTTTTGGAAGCACTCGCAATTTTTACATGGCGCCAGATAATTTGACTACCTCCTTTGGATATTTTGACCACCCCTACTACCTCCTGCCTAATCGTATAGAGCGCTAGATAGGAAGTTACCTTCGGCATAGTAGGTAGAGTTCGCTCGCGCCTTGTACTCCGCGCGCAGCCGTATAAAGATATAAAGATATAGTAGACACACATTGACAACCAGACAGTACACAGCACGACAACGAGCAACACAAAGCACCAAATGGTGAACATAAAACGAAACAAAAAGAGCAAGAGCAAGAAAAAGCACCCTCCACCCTTCCACCATCGATCGCACCACCACCACAATCAAGTAGGGCAGCAGCAGCAGGAGCAGTCTGAGTCCAGATCACGCACGCACGCCACCCGCCCCACGCCCCACGCGATAAGCCCCCCCCCCCCCAACAAACTAGCCCAAACAGGCAGGTCCCTGACCCTCGAACCCACTCCCCGGCCAGCATCACGCATCCTGATTCGTCGACGCGCATATCTATCGCACCCAATCTATCCACGCGACATGGGCACATACTGCAGCTGCCCGACCAGGCGAGCGGGCCGGGGCGGGTACCTACCACCCTACCTACCTACAGCGGGCAAGGCGAGCATTGCGGCAGAGCGGGCGAGGGGGCTATAAAGCAAGAAGTCGCTGGGTAGGTATGTAGGTTACGCTGTCGCGACTACTACACACGGACCATGCGGCTGCAGCAGCTCGTCCGCGGCGCCCTGGACGCGCTCATACTCGGTCTCGTTGCGCCAGCACACGGCTCGCCGCTGCAACGCCAACAGAGCAACAACAACACTGCGTCAACAGACTCAGCATGCGCGTCCGTGTCCGTGCTCGCAGCATCTCAGACCGCTGCTGCACCGAGCGCAACGCCGACGGTCCCAGCAGAGCTGGCCCACGCCTGCTTGCAGAGTATTCCGCTGAACGTGTCGGCGGCGCTGGCGCTGCTGGAGGCCGTAAAGCCGTATCTGGAGTGGCAGTCGACGACGGCGTATTTGAAGGATCCGCCGGGCGAGTATACGGAGAAGGTGCAGGAGGGGGTGGATGTTTGGGGGGGCTTGGAGGGGATTGCGGAGGCTGTGAAGCGGGGGGAGGTGCGGGGGGAGTGGGAGGTATGTTGTGTTGTTTTTGTTTGTTTGTTTGTTGGTTGTTTGGTTGTTTTTTTGGGGGTATTTGTTGAGGCTGACCGGCTGGCTGTGCAGTTTGGATGGAGCCTCTACTCGCTCCTGCAGTCGACGCACGACGGGCACTTGGTGTACGTGCCGGACTCGGTGGGCGGGATCTTCAACTTCGGGCGCCCGCTGCCGCTGGTATCGGTGTCGTCGGACGGGTTCAGCCTGCCTCAGGCGTACGCCTACCCGGACATTCTCGCCGCCTCGTTGGGCAATGCCTCGTTCACGCCGTCGCACATTGTGCAGATTGACGGCGAGGACGCGGCGGCGTGGCTCGAGAAGTGGAGCCAGTATGGCTCGCTGCAGGACCGCGACGCGCTGTACAACAACGTGTTTTACGAGCTGGCGATTGTGGCGCTGGGGACGACGAGCGCGGGCATGGGGACGTTTACTGGTGAGTTACGTTACCTAGGCTCGTGCTGGAGAGAGGAAGATGGAACTGACGTTAAGCAGGTGGGGGCCGTGGCCGCTGGGTCTATCCCGGCGCGACGACGGAGCTGACATTCGCCAACGGGTCGACGCACACGACGCAGAACTTTGCCAAGGTGCTGACGTCCTTTGACGGGATCCGCACCGGCGCCGACATCTACCGCAAGTACTTCACCCTGCCCGCGGATGTGTCGTTCCACAACGGCGAGGAGCAGCAGTCGCCAACAACGACTGCCACAGCCACGAGCAGCACGTCGACGAGCTCCGCGTCCACAACGACCAGCACGCCTGCGCCGGGCTACCCCTCCCCCGTGATCCGGCACGAGAACAACCTCATCGGGGGCTACTTCCTCTCGGGCGCCGAGTACGCCGACGTGGCCGTGCTGAACGTAGCCTCGTTCGTGGGCAGCGACAGCGCCGAGCTCAGCTTCAAAGCGACGAGCCAGCAGTTCCTAGCGCAGGCCAAGGCAGCGGGGAAGACGAAGCTGATTGTGGACGTGAGCGCGAACGGCGGCGGCACCATCCTGCAGGGCTACGACCTGTTCAAGCAGCTGTTCCCGCAGCTTGACGCGTTTGCGGCCGCGGACCGGACGCGCGCGTTCGAGGCGCTGGATTTGCTTGGGCAGAAGTTTTCCGAGGTTGCGGGGACGGTGCCCAGGACGCTGGAGGTGGGCGAGAACGAGACGCTGTTTGAGCTTGAGGCGGATGTCGTGAGCAGTAGCCTCAACTACCGCACTGGTGCGTGGGCTTTTCTGTCTTCTGTTAACCCCCACCCCTTCTGTCATTCCTTCTTCTTGACTTCACCACTAACACACTCGACGCCTAGACCTCACGCCGTCAGGCCAGCCCTTCAGCTCCTGGGCCGAGAAATACAGCCCGCACACTGACACGCAGCACAACGACAGCTTCAGCAGTCCTTTCCGGTGGAACCTCAGCGACGTGCTGACGCCGCTCAACAGCGGCGGCATCTGGGTGACGGGGTACGGGGAGGAAGCCGGGGCTGCGAATGCGACAGCGCCGTTTGAGCCGCACAACGTGCTCGTCATGACGGACGGGTACTGCGCGTCGACGTGCACGATTTTCTCGCGGCTGATGAGGGAGCTGGCGGGAGTGCGGCACGTGGCTGTTGGGGGACGGGCGAGGCAAGGCGCTATGCAGGCGGTGGGCGGGGTCAAGGGGACAAAGTAAGTGGTGTTTTATATTCTTTATCTCCATCCTTCCTCTCGTCTTTACGCATTCCTTTCTCCCCCTCCATCTCTTTATCCCCCACAACAACAAACAAAAACCAACAAAACACTAACCCCCCCTCCCCCCAGCGACTGGGGCTGGAGCACGATCCAGTCGCTCGTCTCGCTCGCGTACTCGCTCTCGACGCCCGCGCAACAAGCGCACTACAACGCGACGTCGCTGGCGCGCTACAACGACCAGACGCCCTTCCTGCGCGCCGCCAACAACACGTCCTTCAACATCAACTTCCGGGACGGGATTGCCATTGACGACGTTGCAGCGCAGAGTCCGACGCCCCTGCAGTTCGTGTACGAGAAGGCCGACTGTCGCGTCTTCTGGACCGCGGCCATGACGCTCGACGTCAGTGCTGCGTGGCGCGCGGTGGCCGAGTCGGCGTGGGGGGAGAGGAGCTGGTGCGTGGATGGGGGGTTGGGTGCTGGGGGTGGGAATGCGACGGTGGGGAGGGGGAGAGCGGTTGCGGGCGTGCAGTCGGAGGGGGTGGAGAGGCGGGCGCAGACGGTGCCGGAGTCGGCGAGGCTGCAGGACTATCCGCTGGATCTGTGGACGGATGTGCGGGCGGGGGTGGAGCGGGGGGATGGCCTAATGGCTATTTAGGGCGTGATTAAACGCTTGTTTGGTTGGTTGGGCGCTTTGTTGTGGAGAAAGAAAGAAAGAGGGGGGGGGGGGGGGGGGGGGGGGGGGGGGGGGGGGGGGGGGGTTCGTGGTGGCTGGGTAGGTGGGTGTGTCTATGTATAGCTTCTTTGTTCGCTGCTGGTACAAGATGGACTCGACGCCCGGCTTGGGGAGGGGTTGTGTAGAATCTTACTCTGTCTGTTTCTGTTACTCGTTCTCTCTTTTCTCTCGCAGGCTGTGCCTTCTTCTAATTCTCCTTCTTCGTCATCCCCAGCATCACCATTTAAATAACTTACGACTTAGAAATCTCACGACAGACTGGCTGCAGCAGGACCGCAGCCACGACCCGACACGACTGTACATTCTTTTTAGAGGAAAGAAAGAAAGAAAAAAGAAAAGAAAAACCAAACATGCCCCCCCTCAAACCCCCCATCTCCCTCCCCTTCCCCCCCATCCCCCCCAACAGCACCACCCCCCTCGCCCCCTTCCCCTGGTACTTTTCCGCCCTCCCGCCCGCACCACCCAACAATGTCGACGGCGGCAACGGTGCCAACGGTGCTAACGGTGCCAACGACGCCAACGACGCGGCAAGAATTGATAGCATTCTCAATGGCGGCAAATCCAACACGCCCTCCCCCCAGCCGACTAGTCCGTCGCATAGTCCCCTTCCTAAAGCCAAAGCCAAAGCCGAAGCTAAAGCTGAAGGCACGGCCACGGACCCGTACCGCGCTGGCGACCGCCGGCCCCGTGGTGACGATGCAGATGACGACGAGGAGGCGGCGATCGGCACGCCAGCGCCCAAGAAGAAGCGCGTGGGCAATGCTGATGTAGAGATGGTTGACGCTGACGCCGTTCCTCTGCCCCTTCACAACCACAACACCGCCAACACCAACACGCCCTCACCCTTATCCGCAGCACCCGGCGCGTCCAGCGCGCACACACACACACATCCACTTAGCCAGCGGGTGCTGCTGCCGCTCCCGCCCTCGCGCATCCCGCTGACGCTGCCGCGGCGACGCCTGCCGGCAAGAGCGCCGTTCTATGCGCCTCGTGCGCGAGGGCAGGAGACAGTGCAGGCAGTGGAAGAGCGCAAGGCGTTCGTTCCGCCGCCGACGCCGGTGGGTGCCGTAAGGCTGGGGACGTGGCGGTGCTGTCTGTGCAGGGTTGAGAACGGGCTACTAAGTTTTGTTGGCGCTGATGAGGATGGTGCTCTCCGCTGCAGCAACTGCACGAACCCGCCCTGTCGGGCCTGTATGCTTGATCCTGTGCTCCCGCTGCTGCCCCCAACAACCTCCAACCCCACACCCACACTCGCCTCTAGCCTCCCCCCACGCACAACCGCCCTCGCCCTTATATGCCCCCACTGCGGCCGCGCCCTCCCCCTCCCCCCTCCCCACTCCTTACGCTCGTACGCGCGCTCGCTCCTCCTGCCTACACAGCGCACAGCGCCACGGTACGCACCCGGCGCGTCCTTCCCGCCCGGGACCGCGACCGCAGAACGCCGGCGCAGCAGACGGCGCGCACGCGCGTTCTGGTACATCCCCTCCCCCGCAGCGCGCGCGCTGGGCCTGCGCTGCGGATGTGGGCGAGGCGTGTGCGGCGAGGGCGTCGTGGTGCATGCGCGTGTGAGTGGGGAGCTGGAGGGATGGAAGGGGTGGGTGGCGAGGAGGGGAGGGGGGGTTAGGGGCGTGGTGGGGGGTGTGGCGGGCGTGGGGAAGCGCGTGCTCGCGGGACGGAGCTGGATCGATGGGCTTTATGCCGCGCTGTGGCGGGATCGGAGCGATCGGGTTGGCGGGTGGGTGCTTGATTGGGGCGTGCTGGCGTTGGTGGGGTGGCGGGTTGGGGCGTGGGCTTTGGGGGAGTAGGTAGGTGGGTGTCGAGGGGTAATTTTATGTTTTTGGTGTTTATAAGAACTTTTTAACTGCACGTGCGAGCCTCGTCACGCCTTCTTGGATGTTGCCCTCGTCTTCCCACGTGAAGCAGAGTCTGACGTATTTGTCGAGCCGGCCGGCCGCCGCGTCGTCCTCTGGAACAGTGAAGAGGCCTCCCTCAGCGACGGCGAGGTTTTCCTCGTCGAGCGCTTTTTTCGCCACCGCGGCCGCTGACAGACCTGCAGGAAGCTGGAGCCACACAAAGTAGCCGCCAGCGGCGGCATGGTTCTCGGATGTCGCAGCAGCGGTGGTCACGCCGAGTGGAAGCAGATGCTCGTTGATCGCGGCAACGAGCGCGCAGTACCGGCTGGCGTATGCAGGGCGCAGCACTGTTTCTATGTGCGTCTGCAGGTATCTTTCTTTGAAGAGCTCGTGCACGAGCGTCGACGTGAACTGTGACGGGGCGCCGCCCGAGCGTGTTGAGCCGCTGTCTCCGCGTCAGCAAAGCGTGCCTATGTATGCCAGTACAAGAAAGCGTCAAGTCGCCAACAAAGAAACAAACACGGCAGCACTTACGCTTGCGAGATCCCATACACCAGATCCCGCGTCCCAGCCGCCCAGCCCACACGAACACCGGGCCCCACAATCTTGCTAAAGCTAGCATTGCTAACCGCATTGCCAAACCGGTCTTTCAGCCCTCCATCGAGCGTGTCATCCAGGTCCACCAGCCGCGGCAGCACCGCACCGTGTGCGTACGGCAGAGGCGAGTCGACGCCCGCCGGCGGCCAGTGCAAAAAGTCGTAGACGTCGTCGCAGACGACGAGGGCGTCGAATCTGCGCGCGAGGCGGAGGAGGCCTTCGCGCCTAGCGAGCGACGTCGTGGTGCCCGAGGGGTTCGAGAACGAGGGGACGAGGTAGACGACGTGCGTGTAGAGTTTGCGGTACGGGCGGGCGGGTTTGATGCTCTGGTGCTGTTTAGGCGCTTGTCTTTTCTCTCGTGATGGCGATAGTGGTAAAGCGACGCTTACGGTGCTTTCAGATACAGGATCAGAGGCAGCGCGAGCCTCGTCGGCTACGAGCGCCGCTTCTAGGAACGCGACGTCGATGCCGTCTTCATCTTCAGGGACGCCTCGGATTCGGCCGTGGAACCCTGCGTCGTCGAATATGCGGCCGGCGAGGTGGTACGTCGGCTCTACGGCCCATATGGTTCTTGTTTTAACGGGGTCCGTGAACACTTGCAAGATGCAGGCGAGGTTCTGGCTGGCGCCTCCTGTGATGCATATTTCTTCAATCGACACGGGGCGCGGAGGACGGTAAAACTCTGTAAGCCATTCCGCGATGCTCTCCCTGAGCGGACCGTATCCCTCGTCTGGGCCGTATTCCAGGCCGGGCTCCCATATAGCTGAGTCCGACAGGGCAGAGACCGCTGCATCTCTCAGACGAAGTCTTGGGAGAAGGCTTGCGGCGGGCCAGCCTCGGAGAAGGTCGATCGCGGGTTTGGGGGAAGACATTGAGGGCAGAAAATTTGAGAGGTAGGTATGAGATGTTGCGCGACCGCTCTCGACCATCCCCCTTGCCCAGTTATTTAGCTGAGAGATAAAGCAGTCGTCAAGGTTCTCGTCTAGACTGTTTGGTGACGACTGACACCAGGGCCCTAACCGAATTGGGAAACAAATGCGATCCATCCAATCACATCGCCTCCAGCTTTTCGGCCCTTTTTAAGTCCACGCCATGAGGATTGCTTTCCGAACGGGACGAAGAAGGTATAAAATCTTGTCTTGCAAGTGGGCATAAGTCTTTTCTTCAGCTGCTGTCTTTCTTTCTCAAGAAAATTTATTCCGAAGCAACAAAATGGTCCAGATCAAGGAATTCGCTGTTGAGCGGGTAAGTCCTGGAAGGCCTCATGGGGACAAACCCCACGTATAGCTACAACCATACTGACTCTTAAAGTGGATGGATACGTACGAGAACGACGCCACGTACAACCTAGCAGAGACGTGCTGCGCGTCAATCTCGCTGAACGACCTCTTGGAATTGTCCGACAAGAAGCCTGCGAACATCCTGGACTTTTCGAAGAAGCAGGTCTATGGCGCCATCCGCGGTTCCGAGGCCTTGCGGTCCAACATTGCCAACCTGTATTGCGAAGGGCCGTCAAAGCCGATCCTGCCCGACGGTGTGCTGGTCACCAACGGCGCGATCCAGGCAAACTTCCTTGCTATGTATACGAACGTCGGTCCGGGGGATCATGTCATCTGCCAGTATCCGACGTATCAGCAGCTGTATTCGGTGCCAGAATCGTTTGGTGCTGAAGTCAGCTTGTGGAAGTCTGATGAGAATAACAACTGGAGTCTGAATCTCGATGAGCTGAGAGCATTGGTCCGGCCGAATACCAAGCTCCTCATTATCAAGTAAGCCCAGGCCGAGGCACCCGAAAGCAGAAGTCAAGATCTGACGTGCCACCAGCAACCCTCAGAACCCAACCGGAGCCGTCCTGTCTCGCGAGACACTTCAGAGCATCGTGGACATCGCCCGCGAACACGACATCGTTATCCACAGCGACGAGGTGTACCGGCCACTCTTCCACTCCCTCGACTCAAACGAGTCGGAACCTCCGCCATCGATCCTCTCCTTCGACTACGAGAAGACTCTCGCGACCGGCTCGCTGTCGAAAGCATACAGTCTGGCAGGCATCCGGATCGGGTGGATCGCGTCGCGCAGCTCCGCGGCCATCGAAAGCTGTGCGTCCGCAAGAGACTACACGACCATCTCTGTGAGCCAGATCGACGACCAAGTCGCGACTTTGGCGCTCGCCGATTCCACTGTGCATAATTTGCTGCGGCGCAACATTCAGCTGGCGAGGCAGAACCTTGCGGCTGTGGAAGCGTTCGTGAAAGACTTCCAATGGGTCTGCAAGTGGACGCGCCCTAAGGCCGGTACGACGGCTTTTATCAAGTTCGTTGACCGCAATGGATCCCCGGTCGATGACGTGGAGTTCTGCAACCGGCTGCAGAAAAAGACGGGTGTAATGCTTGTACCGGGATGTCAGTGCTTCGGAGAGAGCACTAACTTCAAGGGATTTGTTCGCGTTGGCTATGTATGCGAAAACGAAGTCTTGGTGGATGGACTCAAGGCTTTGCGGGAATTTATGTCGGCCGATTATGAGAAAGTCCCGACGGTTTAACCGTTTGCTGGTGGGATCTTCAAAAAAGGACAAGGCTAGTGCCAGATAGGGCGAAATAAACATCCCAGCGTAGATGGGAGCCTGAGTTCCAGTATTGATGCATCAGCTCCTTTGCTCGGGTGAAGTTGCCCATTCCTAGTGTCCGCATGTTGTCCATTCTGGTCTGGATGAAGCTTCTCTCCCATGGATCGTCTGTATCGCAACCAGCGCTGAATAGTGGCCAGAGTATGAGGATATTTGCAGTTGAGAAAGACTTTATCTCTTCCACTGCGTTGATAACGCCTGCAATGTCTTCTCTGACGACTGGATGATCTTTTGGAAGCAACTGAATGCGGCGATGAAGGTAAAGGAGAGCGGCATATATGAAAGCCTGATGTGTGCTTCGTGATTCTTCTGTACAACCCTTTTCCAGACAGCTCGTGGGTTCTGAAGCAAACATGTTTGAAAGACAAAGAATTTCCGCTTCAATCATTCGTGCTTCGTCCCATACATTAACATCCGGGCTCAAAGAGGCGTCCGTAAGTGATCGATCGCTTGATACGGAAGTTCTGGGTTGCTGCGAGCGGGCTAACGTTCCAAGTCGAGCGAGGATCGGCATCAATTCCAGCGAGTAGCCGCAAAAGTCGTCCACTGCTCCGGCATTATGCTTTTTTGCATTAATAGACCAATACTGTCCATTGCTCACGGCATGGTTGTCCAGCCCTGAGATACCAGCAGAAGTGTCAAGAGTAGCAAACCATTTGGCGAGGAAAATGGCGAATGGATCGGATCTCCGCATGCTGTCTTGTTGCTTTCTGAAGAAAGTGCTCAGTAATTCCTTAACTCCGGTAAGATGCAATCTCCATGACTGTAGGTTTCCGTCACATATATCGTTTGTGCATAACGTCATGGCCGTCATAGCAGTTTCCACACTGTGAAGCTCGTTCGCATCGTTCATAGCCGCTCTTAGTCCAACAACGGCCAGGTTCGTAAACTCCAGAGTTGTTTTCTCGACTTCGGAGAGAGAACCATAGGCTAGTCGAGCGTGATGGCTGCAGGATGCTGCTAGAAGAGCGAAGAGAAGGTGAGGAGTGTCGAAAGCTGTAGACACCAGTCTCTCCTTGAACAAAGGTGGAGAAAAAGGAAAAAGGACGGTACAAGTTTGAGTCTGAAAGTGGTGCATGTAAAAGCGCAGCTTGGAAGAAGAAAGATATGGCGAGGGAATATAAGAAATCTGAGGCGGGAAGTGCGGAGCTAGTGCATCCGGTCTCGGCTTCCCGATGCATTCATGCTGTGTAGCAACGGACGCAGTAGGATTTCCTCGTTCCTTGATAGCGACATTGATAAAATTCGATGAGTATTTACACTGGCGAGGAAATCGGATGCATCGCGAACAGACCGGCTTCTTCAAGTCACACTAAAGAGCGCGGTTAATGCTGGGTCAATGTGCGCGAAGAGGTGCGGAGATACTTTGACTTTCTTTCTCTTGCATTCAGAGCATCCGTCACGCCGCTTTTGAACATTTCTACCATGCATTGCGATTGTGACAGCTCTACTTGCCGAAAATTCGGATGATTGAAATGAGTGCGAGCTTGTGCTTCACAATGGAGGCGTCAGGGCGTTTGGTATCGGGACGGGGTAAGGATTTTCCTAGTGACCCGAATGCGGACAAGTGCGTATATAGAGATATCAGTGGTTTATTGTCTCAGAACCATACCCAAGTTGATGAAAGGTGGTAATTTTAAATGGATTCGGTTCTAAAGAATTCGAGTTTTAATCTAGACGTTTTAGTTCATAGGAAAAGCGAGTAGAAAGAATACAGTCCCGACTGATATTAGTAAATTGAAGAGGTTCGCAGTAGGCGTTGGTACATGGAGAGAGCTAATGAGCATACATTGCGCTCGAAGTTCAACTTCATGAGTTGCAGAAGTGGGCAAAATGCCAACGAGGAAGCTTTGGGTTAAATAGGGTTGCTAGGGGAAGACGAGGAATCTCTCCGTCCATATATTCCGCTTCTTTTCATACTACGAACCATGTCCGGCTTGTATAACGTAGTACTGTAGCGTGCTGCCGGTGTACTTTTTTCCGTCGTCGATAGGGGGAGTGTGGATTTGGTCGCAGACGAACATTGCGCGATCTTTGCTGTAGAGCATCTGGGGTTGCCTAGGAAACAGGAAGAGTACAGAGTGCCAGCTTTGTTGCGCTGTACAGGGTATTTCGTAGAATGAGCGGGATACCCCGTGCCGACAAGTTCGTGTTCTGGTAGGATGCAGACAGTCTAAACTTGGCCCCCATCTTGCGCGGCCTCGCGACGGGATCGCGGAGGATCGCGGGTGTGGCGCCGGATCGAGGGAAGGAAGCGGGACGAAGAAGACTCCACTTCAGTCGAATGAATCCTACTCCGTTCCATCTCTAGAATATGCGCCGTTGAGAGCGTCTGCTGCATCAATTTCTCGCAGCAGCATCCCCTTACTCCTATCCGCGCCGTACCGGCTCCCCCTTCTCTCCTGCACGCATCGCCAACCAAATCCTTCGGACGCGCCTCCGGCCGAGCGACTACCAAAAAGGGCACGCATCCAACATATCAGGTATTGCGCGACGTGCTCACCGCCGAAGATCGCGGCGCTGCGCGAGACGGCCAGGACGCAGCCCCAGCAGGTGAGCAGGTCGCCTCCCGTTTCGGTCTCGCCGACGCCCGTGTGGTCGCGTCCAAGGCGGCGGGAGCGAGGTCGGTGGGGCGGAGAAGGGGAGGAGGAGCCGGGGTCAGCGGGCACGGAGGCGTGCCGGGCCCGGCCGCGCGGCGCACGGAGTCGAAGGATTTGAGCGGGTCTCTGTTGGACTGTGGGGAGGCCTCGGCTGCGTAAGGCGATCCGACGGGCGGCGTTTCACTTGCGGGAGCGGCGGTGAGATGCAAGGCTTAGGCGGGTAAGGCTGCTGGCGCTGCGGAGATTGTGCGCGTGTGCGCGAGTGCGATAGGTACGTGATGCTGAGCGCTGTTTTTAGGCATTTACTGTATCCAGAGTAGACGGCCTGTGGGGGCTGTCATGGAAGTGGGTTGCAAATGACGATTGCAACGTTATGGAAAAGCAAAAGACACGGGTCGGCTTCGACGGATCGGAAGCTCATCCGTAAAGGGGGTTTCTTCTGCAAGAAAATGAAAGACACACCGGGCAGAGGGACGACCATGCCAGAAAAAGCAGAATGAGTGGTGCGCCTACAGATGGAGTGGCCAATGAGCTTCCCTAGGTACCTGACGCAAGTCATGGAAGTGGAGAGCACACATTGAGTGGAGAAAATCAATCCTATTCACACCGCTCACCTTTCAAGGCATAGTCAGCCTGCCCCCGGTGTAGCTCGCTTGCAGCTGCATGTCGTCAATTCTGTCTTTTCTCCACCGAGAAGATTACAAGGGGCTGAAGCTGTGGCGTCTCGCCTGATGTTCGCCTACAAAAAAAAACCGTTTCGCTGTGGAGGTAAGCAAGCACGGTGCTCGCTGACCCATCAGCTACCTAACTTCATCCCGAAGGCGGCCCTTATTGATCTTAGCGTCACCTACTGTATTGCAAAGAGACGCTTCAATGTGATCAGGGCCCTATAAGAGGTGCAGGGGCGTGGTTAGTATAATCTGTATCTGAATCTTCACTGACACAGAGCCAATCTGGTTCCAGGTAAGCGGAAAATCTTTGGTGTTAGCATGAAAAGTTGATGGAGCAATGATAGTCGTACCTCGCTTCATGGTGGAATCCACATCTACGCGTCAACCTGCAGTGTCCTATAAAGACCTCAGATCTGTGTTCAAGATACTTCTCGCGGTTTAAGCACCTGGTACGCCTGACTCCATAGCATGAAGAGCGTAACCTCTTGACTTAACCTTTAGGTTCATGCAAGGGGAAAATAAAAGGGGAGCGTTAACCTCTCAGAGCCTTGGGTATCGATACTACTATTGTAAGCCTAGGAGTCTCTTCGGAGATTTGGCGATAAACTGAATCGAGATGTCTTGTAGGTTGCGCGAACATGAAGGAAAACTTAACTACCTACAATGATGCAGAGATTGGCAACGCGATAGAAAGATTTGCATGGCAGCCAGCCAAGCACTCTCTGGCATCTTAGGGGCCAAACAGTTGGGTCATGCTCTGCTGCAACTGTGTTGTACATAACACTAACGGTGCTCTGCGGGTTGAAGGGATCTGCATATGAAAAACGCGTTGACAGTGATCGTGAAGGATTCGATCGAAAGTGGTGCTGCTCCATACCGTTGGCGCTACAGATTAGATACCACGTTTCTTACCGCGTACAAGCGAAAGCAGCTAGTCCCGTGACCCACAGATGCGACACCTAATAATAATCTGCTCGGTTTCAAGCCGCTGTAACATCGACAAGCGGTCAAAGGAGGTGCGAAAAGATTCATGTAGGTAGTACTAGGAGTAAGCGTCCATCACTAAACACGTATTGCGTGCTGCAGCCTGCGTCGTCCCGCGCATGGTAAAGCAACGGCGAAGCTTTGTCGTCATCAACGGAAGGAATGAGTTTAGATGAAGTTGCTCTAAGCGCTCAGCGGACCGTCGTGACGGCTCGGAACGCTCTTAGCCCCAAACGACGTCCCGTTACTCCACAAGAATTGCCACAGCCGCAGCGGATTCGTAAGATCGCCTCAAAACCGCCTCCACGCAGGTCATCGGACAGACTGGGCGCCCTGTTCAAGCATTCACCAGGCCGGGCAATCCGTCGCCTCGTCAAACGTGCGGGTCCGGGAAGTGGGGCATCCCCATTCTGGCAGTTGGCTGCAGTGGGCACTGGCGGCATTTTCGTAGATCCGAGAGCGGGCCAAACAGCGAGACCAGGGCGCCTGAAGTAAAATAAGGAGTGGCCGGCCCGCCCCCACGCTAAGCGATGAATACCGGCAAGGACTTAATTTACACCAGTTTCCCCAACTGGACATTGATCGTCGGTCGCTTCCTCGACTGCGATTCCTTTCAGCCTCCGGAGGATTCGAAATTCCAGGAGCTTCGTATTCGCGAACGCCTACTTGCCCGGATCTCGACGGTACGCATCCGTACCGCTTTTTCTTGGCCGTCAGCGTGCGTGAGGCGCCCTGCAGCAGTGCCGATGCTGACGAGTCGTGCTTTATATTTGGGGGCGGAAACGTGAAGAGATTTCTGTCACGGACTCCTGTCTATAATACTGACCTGCTTGTGTTGGAAATGGGCCCCCCGGTTTTGAACGCCGGGCTGATCAAGACGGGGGGCCAGGATCCGAGGCAGAGATACCCTTTACACTCACCCTGTGCTATTCACATCACTGCACATGCCAGGCCTGTGGAACCTCGACCGTTATGGTCTCCTAAATAAAAGCTCCCGCGTGCGCCCCGCTCCAAGTGTACCCAAAGAACTCTATTCCAATGGCGGTCGATCCTACCATTCAAAAGCTCTATGGGCAGCCTCCGGATAATGTCGACCTCTCCGAATCTAGAGTTCTCGTGAACTCTATTATCGCCGTCATCATCCTCATCATCGCCATTATATCGGTAATCCTCCGGTTGATTTCTAGATCTATCCAAAAGATTGGTTTGAAATGGGATGACTTTTTCATTCTCGTGGGCACTGTACGTTCCATTGGCTCGACAGGTTGTTGTTCTGCGCTCACACAGTATAACAGGCCTTTGCGATTCCGACGGTTGGTTTGGTTGTAGGCAGTAAGTTGCGCATACACACTATCAACACAAAGAGGAATATAGATCTGACAATGTCATCAGGTGGAGCACTTGGTAGCGGCAAGCACATTTGGACCGTCAGTGCGCCTCACCTCGTCAATGCTTTCAAGGTTCGTTTGCCACATACTGTCCAACGAATTTCTCACTGACGAGAGACGGCAGTTGTTGTACTCCTATCCTTATATCTACGCCGCCTGTGTCACGACGACAAAGTTCTCGATTATCCTATTCTACTTTCGCATTTTCGGAAAGACTGGATCCAACAACGTCTTTATCTACCCATGTTACTTCGCCGGGATACTCAATGGGCTTTATCCAATCATTATGTGGATTGTCATGGCCACATGCTGCCGGCCAATAAGCACCTACTGGAATAGTTACGTGGGAGTTGGCTCAGGAGAATGCATCGACGTCAACACATTCTTCCTGGCGCTGGGAATTATGAATATGGTTAACGATGTTATTATCCTCGTCATTCCTATCCCGCAGATTCTCAAACTGCACATGAACACGCGGAAGAAGATCAGTATTGTTGGTATTCTGCTATTGGGAGGATTGTAAGTTCACACAACCGTTGCCCAATAGACTTTCCATTTCCACTATTACTCCTAAACTAACACATCTTCTGCAGTGTTTGCGTTGCCAGTTGCATTCGTATCTACTACCTCACCCGCTGGAGCGCTGCAAAGGACATTTCATGGGCGATGGGTCCCGTGTTCATCTGGTCCAGTGTCGAGCCAGCCATCGGCATTGTATCCGCCTGCCTCCCCACGCTGGGCCCGCTCTTCCACTTCGCCAGGGACCGATCATACGGAAGCAGCAGCAACAACCGTTCCGGCTACACTCCGCACACGGGCGCCTCGGCCGGATGGCGTAACAAGTCAAACAGCGGCGCGCAGGCCACTTTTGGTGGGGGACGTTTCTTCCGCGACGACAAAACGGACACGTTCGTGAGGGAAGAGGACGAAATCAACCTTACCAGCATCGCTGCCGGTCCTCCCGATCATAGAACCTACTCAGCAGGCGGATCGCTCGAGGAGGGCCTGCCGGAACACGGTATAGTGGCGACGACGCGGATAGAGCACCAGGTTACTTAATTGCAAGATACCCCTAAAGCCTCGAGGCAGCACAGCTACTCGGGACTTCAATCATTTCTTTTGTAAACTCGAAAGTCTCCGAAAAAGCAGGCACGGCTTTGTTGGCATTTTAAATCTGTTTTTACACATTCTGGTTTTCGACTGATTACTTATGGATCAGGCATTGCCTGGAATTGCTTGGAGAATACCCCAAAGGCTATTTTGGACGACGCATTTAGCGATTTTGTCTTGGAGTTATCATTCGGTGCAGGCATGCAAAACATCATCTCTCGGAATTAGAACTGAACCATGATATCTCTTCAGGAATCAGAGGGATTGGAAGAAAAAAGTTTGGGATCATATTCCACCACTGGCGTACCAAAAGGTGACGGGTGTTCTGATGCAAGTTTGGCTGGTTCTTCTTGATTGTCGGCCGTATTATTATATCTATCCTGCCTATAACTTTCTGTACAGTGCTACTAAATCTTCTCTTTCTCGTTCTCTTCTTATACATCTATGTTTTATTCTATACACCACCAAGGCGTTTCCTGAATATGCATGGCCGATTATTGTTTAACATTTTGCCCAATCGCTTCTTTTGCGTACTATAATTGTCCAGATTTTCGTGTCCGATTGCACGGCATCGTGATGTCACTGTACAGCTCAGTCGTGAATGACCGATTTACCCACACATAAAAGCTTACACTTGCTACTCTCATGGTCATTCTTTTTGCCAGTGGCACGTCACATGCAGACATATCTCCCTTTCGCAGGACAGACTACACTGACATTGCCAAAGTCGCTGCTCTGCAGTTCATGATAGCACCTTGGACAGTAGTTTCTTCCCATGCTAGAATACCAATAATCTCCGCAGCCGCAACCGGCCGCCTTCTTGCCAGTGTTCCACTTAATACCAACCAAGTTGCAATCACAGCAGTAATGCCTTCCATTCCGGGATACTTTTGACTCAGTATAAAGTCTGTGCACCGGAAGCACATGAATTAGGGGGCAGTAAATGCCTCAGAGCCATAGAAGGGTATATTGGAAGCAAGTCAAGAGATCAACCGATGTTCCACAAATCATCAATGCCTCTTACAAAGTCCTGGCCTTGGGCAAAATAGCTCTGTGCCAGCACAGCCATCTCCTGATCGTCGCCAGCCAACCCAAACTGTCCCAACAACTCCGCCGAGGCAAAGGGGTCCGCCGTCACATCCCGCCTTTTGGACCTGTTGATAGCTACTCCATCGCCGACGGGTGTAGGGTCGGGCAGCAGGCGCGTGCTGACGACTTCACTGGCGCCGGCCACGTATGCTCGGCGGTGAGGCCATAGCGAGGACCCGAAAAGTGAGCCGGAAGCGTCTGCGGACTCGGAGGTCAGGACCGACTCGAGTATTTCCCAGAACAAGGTCAGGTCGATAAAGACGGATTGTTGTGGAGTATTGGAGTTTGGCGTTGCTGCAGAGTCGCGATGCGAAGCGGCAACCGTTTCTTCAAACTGTTCGAGCTTGCGGGCCTAGACATAAGTCGTTACACTGCGTTCTCAGTGGTATATGTACAGCAGAATGCAACTTACTATGATTTGTATGTGAGGCCATTTCTCGCCCATTTTGCGTAGAAATGTGAGGCACTTGATGAAATCCTCCCGCTTCGATTTACGCACTTCATCGTCATCTGTGAAGCATTTTTGGAGGAATATCGTTCCAACAATAGCGACGCAGTGCCCCAGGAAAGGGTCAGAGGCATCAAATGATTTGGTATTTAGAAGGTCGATAAAATGAGCAATCCAGTCTGAATGTGTTGTTATCAAGAACGCGGTGTGCTGGAGAAAAATCTCAGGGATAACGCCGCGGAAGTTGCGGAGACGGAGCGAGAGCAGTAACGGATGATTCAGCAGGCAAATGACCGCGTGGTAAATTATTTGCTGGAGCAGCCAAGGAGCCCAGTAGCCACGATTTGCTTGAAGGTCTTCAGGGGAGTAGTCGCCGAACCTCGCTGGCCTAAATCGATGCTTGTAAGGCATGCGTGCTTCGAAGTCCATCAACTCGACTTTGATTTTGGAGTATTCGGATCGGGCTGACCAAGGCGGATGCGTGCCTGGATTGGCTCTTCTACGCGCATACCGAACCGCTTTGCACCAGAAGTCGCTCAGTGAGACACAATAAGCTAATATCCCCATATCAACAGGGGTGTCTGCTGGAGTTCTCGCGCCCGCCGCTGGCGATGGTGAACTTTCACTGGAAGAAATTGCAGGCCTTTCTGGACTCGAGGGATATTGTGGTACTTGTTCGTCTGCTGCTAGTAGAGTCGCGCTTCCGTGAAGTCGCTTCAGGAGACAGATACTCCAAAAGCATCGCCTTCTTTCTTCGTGTACTGGGTCATGTAGAGGGGCATGACATTCGGTGGCCATACCGGCACATTGGGCCAAGTCCTGTGCAAGAGTACTGTAGATACTTGCTCGGTGAGTGTTGCCATCTGCAGCTTTATTAGCTTTCTGAGTTTGAAGAGGAGCCAGGAAGGGAGTAGAGCCTACTACTGAAGTCCACTAGGCTCAAAATACATAGTGATTGCAACGTCGAAAGCTCGACGGGACCCTGGGAGACTCTCCGCATGACCACATCTCTTGCCGTATCAGCGAATCCATTGATGACACTGTCTCGGTTTCTTTGAAATATAGGTTCGTCGGAGAAGCGTCCAGCCAAGGCCAAAACTGAGAAGAGTAGCTCCGGATCTCTTCCGCTCAGACTGGATAAGAAATGGCCCTGGTCGAACAAAGGGAGCGGCTGGCAGTTGCAGTACGTAAGGTACGATTCTGCTACAACTATTACAGATTCCCAAGGCGGAAGAAGACTGTTCGAGGTGGTTATCGGTTTCAGTTCGTGTAAATTGATATTGGATATTCTAACCTATTCGCAGCCTGTGGAGATCGCTCGAGTACATTCCGCGCGGAAGTCACGTTACTCGAAGGACTGGGTGAAGGTAGACTCGCACTGAAAGGTATCCGGCTGACTACAAGTTAGTTTTCGGATCTGTCTTATAGACTGTAGCTGCACCTGCTTCAGAACTCCCAAGACCTCGGCAACTTTGCCCTCCAGACTACTCAAACGGTCACCCTGTAGGCCAGTACTATCAACGCCACATGTTGCAAACGGTAGGCTAAGGAACACTAGTAACGTACCCACTGCCCTTCCGTAAAGCTTGCCTCGTTTGGCAACCCTGTACTGCCACGATGCGCTACATTAACCTCGGTTGTTTCGGAATAACGGCGATCATTCACAGGATGGTCATTCGAATAACCATTCGAATATATGCACTGTTGGCCCAATCGTAGGCAATGCGAGCATGCAGGCTTCTCTCCAGGGCATTTTGATTTCTTCCGGCTGCAGAGCTAATTAGCAACACAGCCAACGTTACGCAGCGCACGTGGTAAAGGAGCTCACCGACACGGTTCACATGCCTGGCGGACCCTTTTGGCAGGACGTTCAGGGGACATGAAAGTAGACATTGTTATTTGCTACTCGGAGGCTCCGGCGGAATATTTAGAGGGAGAGTAGAGATAACTAGGTGGAGTCGGCTCTTGTCATCGATTCTCCGGGTTGAGAGCCTCGGATCCAGATAAGACCCCGGATTTCGACCCCACTTCTCGCTTACGTAGTACGTGTTTCTTAGCGCAACGCCGCACCGCAGAAATCGTCATCTCCGCACCCGCGATACGCACGGCCTGACCAGCGATTGAACCTATACAACAATGAATCCGGATAGCGGTCCTTAGTAACACTGATATGGCTATAGTTTGGCAGAGGCTTAACGGGCGGTAGACGATGCCGTCGGCAGCTCCGCAGCTCAACAACACAACAACCCATCCAATATCCATTAACCTACGGCATTAATGTCATTACTGTCTACTGCTATTCCTATTGATCGAGTTACTATAGCTGTCCCCATTCCTTTCGCTCGGTTCCCTTCCACTTAACGTCAAACTATACCTCAATCAAACTGTCCCTTCCATCATCAATGCCTAAAGACCGAGCGCGCCCTTGAAGATCCTCACAAAACTCCAAACCTCATGGAAGGTATTGTACAGCGGCGCAGGAGCAACTCTGACCACTCCCGGCTCGCGCTTATCCACAATGACCGCCTGTTCAGACAAGGCGTTTGCGACCGAAGCAAGCAATCCCGGTTTCAAAAGAAGACTCAGTTGAGCACCGCGTTTAGTTGGATCCAGCGGTGTGATGATACGGAAAGGCCGCTCGGAGTCATCTGCAGAAGTGTCTTTGAGAAGAAGGTGCTGGAGATAGCCTGTCAGATGCAACGACTTCTCGCGCAGTTCTGAGATGGATGTCTCGTCGAACACAGACAACGACGCGCTTAGCGAAGTTAGGTCGATGGCCGAGGGATTCGAGACTTGGAAGCCTCCCGCTCCCCGAATCGGAAGGAAATCTGGTCCGCGGTTAGATTAAAACCTGACGACATAGTTACGCTGGTGGCCACTACTTACTGTTATCCATCTTGAAGCGCACCGACCGATCCCCTCCGTACCAGCCGGTAAGACGGGGCCTGAAGGTGGGCTTGCCATCCTTGAAGTCTACACTTCCATGTTTCTCGTGGATGAAAGCACCACCGATACCTCCGGGTCCGGAGTTCATGTACTTGTAAGTACACCAGGCCGCGAAATCGACATCCCAGTCGTGGAGCTTCAAGGGCACGTTTCCTGCCGCATGCGCCAGATCCCATCCAATAGTCAAGCCCTTGGAATGAGCGTGCTTGGTGATGGTTGGTATATCAAGAAACTGGCCGCTATAGTACTGGATGCCTGGCAGAAGCACAAGAGCTATCTCATCTGCATGTTGGTCAATGGTCGACAGAATCTTTTCCGTCGAGATGAGATGATCATTATCCGGTTCAAGCAGGATCATGCTTTCCTTGGGGTCAAAACCATGCATTTGAATCTGAGATTCGATTGCATACTGTTCGACGATCAGAATCAGACCATCGATACCAGCAGCACTGACAGCTGCGCACTTACGTGATCGCTTGGGAATGCCTTGCGCTCGAGAAGGATTTTATTTTTGGATGCCGTAGGTAGGTAAAAGCTTGCCATTAGCAAGTGGAGGTTCACCGTCAGCGTACTGGAGAAAGTCAGTCATGCGCCACGTTCGGGGTCATACAGCGGCAATACTTCATGACGGCCACCTCTTCAGGAAGAGCGCCAACGATTTTTGATGCCTTCTCTGCGGCAGTTTCGGCCATCAGTTGCCATGGCTTCAACGGAGAATCTTCTAGCTCGACGAAATGGCCGCCCACGGCAATCGAAGACCAGGTGTTCAGCTGAGCTTCAAGGTACTTTGCAGTTGCTTTTGGCTGCAAGCCGAGAGAGTTGCCGCAAAAATAGATGCCCCGCTCGGACGACACGTCTGACCGACTGTCAGACAAGCATGGACATCAACAAACACCCAGGACAGCAACATACCAGGCTTTGCCAGAGATTTGCTTTTCAAGCTCTCTTTTGAGGGGATAATGAATTTGTCGCGAAAAGAGCGCAGAGGATCTTCGGCATCGAGGCTCCGGGCATATTCCTCGGTGTCTGCATTCGAGGGAAACTTGAAGGATGACATGGCTGCCTAGCACTCTGGTAAAGCGTTGTGGGGATAACCGGGGACTTTCGATGATGGAGTCAGGGAGGTTTCGGATGGAGCTTTAAATCGTCAGGGTTGGGATCTGGGGTACTTTGCTGCTAATCAAGGTCCGAGATCTTAGCAGGGCAGCATCCGCTTCCGGGTCCGGATCCGGATCCGCTACCGCTTCCGCTTCCGCCTCCGCCACCGTACCAGCTCCCTCGGCACAACGGAGCATGCCTATCAATAAAGCCATTATGAGAAGTCGCTCGGACTGTCCAAGCTGGCGTCTGAGATAATCGCGTGAGATCGCGGACGCAGCCTAGCGATGATCAAGGATATGAGTAACATATTAACCGTCTCTCCTTTCCGGCTCTCCTTTACTACTAACCTTCTCCAACGCTCCACAAACCATAATGCTCCCTTCGCTCGAATTCGATCTTGAGGCTTACGCTATCTCTCCTCGTAACGGCTTCTTGCCGGGTAGTCCGCCGCTGCAGCGGTTGACGGACCCATACTACAAGCCGTGGGAAGCGATCGTCGGCAAGCTTCCAGAGCTCCTGCGCAGTGGCCAACTGGTCGCGGAGGTGTACAAACTGCCGGTGCTAGAAACGTCGAACCTTAAAGATGAACGTGAATGGAGAAGAGCTTATTCTGTGCTTGGCTTTCTCACGCATGCGTTTATATGGGGAGCTGCAAGTCCATCAGAGGTTAGTAAACCCTACTTAGCGCCACGTGAGTTCTACTCACCACTAATAAAGGTCCTTCCTGTCCCTATCGCTCGCCCGTTTATCGATGTGGCAAATCACCTCGGTCTCCCGCCTACTGCCACATACGCGGGGCTCAATCTGTGGAACTGGTCGGCGCAACCCGGCAGTTCCCTCTCCGACCCAGCTACCTTGAGCGTGATACAAACCCTCACAGGCACCGACGATGAATCATGGTTCTATCTAATATCCGTATCGATGGAAGCAGTGGGTGCGCGCACAGTACCCAGCATGCTGCAAGCGATCGAGGCGGCGCGGAAAAACGACCACTGGAAAGTCGTGCACGGCCTCAACTCGATGCGGTTCTGCATTCAAGAGCTTGGGTTGCTTTTGGAGAGGATGTACGAACGGTGCGACCCCGCCGTCTTCTACCACCAGATCCGGCCGCTTCTCGCAGGGAGCAAAGGCATGGCTGCGGCAGGCCTGCCTCGAGGCGTATTTTACAGTGAAGGAGACGGCAAGGGCCAGTGGCGCGAGTACAGTGGCGGAAGTAATGCGCAGAGCTCGCTTATCCAGTTCTTGGATGTCGTATTGGGCGTACAACACTACTCCGCGGGTGGCGTCTCCAAGGAAAGCTACATACAAGTAAGCAGCTATTCGATTCCTTGCTTTGCAAACATACTGACAATCGAAACAGGACATGAGAAACTACATGCCTGGCCCCCACAGACGCTTCCTCCAAAACCTCACCCGCACAACCAATATCCGGGAGTACGCCCTAAACCCAACCACAGACCCAACGGTACTGGCCGCGTACAACGCGACAGTGGAAGCGCTTGCCGCATTCCGGGACATCCATATCCGGCTCGTGACGAGATACATTATTGCGCCGTCACGGAAGCCGGCGCGGCCACAAGACGCCAATATGACGAACTTGGCGACGATTTCGCATGTGAAGGATGAGGAGAAAACGACTGAGCCTCACGTGCTCTATGGCACGGGTGGCACGGCGCTGATTCCGTTTCTGAAGCGCACGAGAGATGAAACTAAGGCTGCGGCGAGTGAGGGTTAAGGCGTTTGGGTGTTTGGGTTGAAGGTTTATTCCCCTTGAGTCGATGTTTGGCTCTCTGTACGTCGGATTATTTGAACTTTTTGGGAAAGACATTGTCATATACGCAAGTGGCTGAGATAACAAAAACGAGGAGGTAGCAATTGAAACTGTTTTTGATGTGCCAAACATACATGGTTGTTATACTATGCCTTCCACGGCTTCATCCGCTAGCACTTGGGAGCGCACTTTCAGTTCTCAATTCCTGTGGATAAAGGCAAATAGGGCGCTGGCGATCGACACCATCCTTAGGGCTATCATTCTTGCATTTAGTGGCAATTATCAAGTCCGGAACAGTGCCGTTTTCGACCCAAGCCATGACAGCCAGAAGGGCATCGTGCTGCGGTCCACGAAGTTTTGTGCCGAGTGCATGCCGGTGTCGATGCTGCCGGCCCCGTTTCCTCCGGTAATTTACCAGCGAGCGCTCATGATGTCGGGGATGCCGGTGCAGTGGTTGGTGTTTCGAGGTGGACGCGTAGGGTGCTGAACGTTGTAATTGGAGACATAATTCATGCCAGGGAAGAGAAAGAAGCGGTAGAAGTTATCAAGACAATACCCTTAGGAGCAAGAGTCTACAAGACGTGGTTGTAGTAGTACATGGAGCTGCCGGTTGGAATAGCGTCGTCGGTCCAGCCGTGGAAGTAGATGAGTTTGCCGCCCTTCAAGAAGACAGGTCGAAGTCATCAACAGTCGCATCCCCAGGGCTATTTGCGTCAGAGAGGGCAACGGTGTCCCAGTCTAGGTCCCTCCAAGTCCAAGAGTCTCTTTAGCCAAGAAATCCTTAAACATAATAAATGGACATTCTCTTATCAAAAGAGTGACGGAAAGAGCGGATGTTTCATAGCCTGTCTTAAAGAGAAAACATGGTGATGAAGGCTGCTTAAGAGAACCAAAGGAGCGATAACAGTCTTGCCGCGGATGTATATATCTTCCTGAAAGAGAAAGTCTATATTATGCAGACAGACAGGTCTTTGATGTATACGTACGCGCCATAGTTGGGCCAAAGGAAGCCAGTGTCGTCGATCTACTAAATGCTGTTCTTTCATCACTACAACGATAGTGATTTCGCTGCTCAGCCCGGTCCATGTAAGATTCTGCTTCTGCAGGATGGGTCGTTGATTATAGTTCGAGCGTCCGTCGAACGACACTGCACGCTTCGTGGCGTGTGCGAAGCCTAGCAGCCTGTTCTAGAACGACGACGTAAATCGTTCAGACTCCAACGGTCTGGAAAGGAGAATTAGGCGTGTTGTCGGAGCGTTCCGGCTAGTAGGCCGAGAAGGAGAAGGAGAGCCCGGCCTCCGATACGCTCGGCCTTAAGTAGGTAGGTAGGTGAGAGTTTTCTTTCTGTGCCGACTGCCGACGTCAGATACGTATATGTACGCACTGAGCGAAAGCAGACCAAGAACCGTGAACAAGCCCGGATAAACGTACGCATGCGTACGTCCGTGGAACGATTACGAATAAGTACTGATTAGAGGTTGTTTCGTTCTTATGACCAACTGCTTAAAGCAGTGTCGATTGTCGAGAAGGCCCTTAGTAAAACTGAAAGCTGGAACATGGACTGTACCGAATCTAATAACATACCTGGAGGTATCTTGACGTGCCATTGCTAGACCCAACGAATTCGATTGTCTTCCACAATGATAAAACGTTACGGCGACCCAATAAAAGGCATACCAAAAGCTCAGGATCCAATCTCTCGTTTCATCAAAGCGTCTGACAGTGAACGAATTTCTCCATTCCGCTGTGGCTGGAAGCAACAACACGGCAGCGTAGGCAGTGAGCGCCCAAGATGCGATATCCCTCTTGAGACAAACATTAGTTAATCCATCTGATGGAAAAAGACGTGCCACACACACGTGGACCGGAAAATCTTGGATCTTTGCAAGTCTTTCTTCTTGCATGTACAGTGACCTACATTGCTTTTGCTTGTGATTGTCTAGCGCATTGTCGAATGTACGATGGTTACGCAAAGGGTTACTTACGGTGCATAGCGAAGGCAAACAGGGACACATGATCTCTACTCTCAAGAACACCTGTCTCTGCAGCCCAGGTTCCACCTTGTCGGAACGAGGAGGATAAGAGCAAGGGTCGCTGGTTTAGATGCATGATCTATCGAGTATTGGCGATGACTAGCAAGCAGAACCAACCTCGCAGCACTTCCTGCCACGGAGGTTAGACGACCAAAAGCCAAAACGAGGTATGAGACAAGTGCATCCTCGGGGCCAGCCCAAAGCGCGCCCATCTCCATCTGTGGCTGTCCGGATCCTCAAGTTGCAGCCATAGCCAGTGGCAAGATGAGCACTAGAGTAGCGCATGCATCCCTACCTCGCAAGGATGTAGCAGGGGGCCCCCAAAAAGCCTAGGGGTGTTGGTGTGGAGGGTGGCTTTTGTGTCAGAAATAACAGCCCACTCAACCACGCCGCCACACGCATCGCGGCTCTCTTTGCCTGCCAGATTGCTCGGGCACCCACAGCTGCGTGATGTTTCTTCAGCCGTTCCCGCAGCCTCGCGTAAGACTGCCGCGGGGCTAGCCGATGCATGCATGCAGCCTGCCATGTGAAAGGGCGGGTAACAAGCCTACATGCATGCACGCACGGCAAGGGTAGAAACAGCCGTTCCGTAGGGCTCATCGCTGTGCTAGTTACACCTGCGTCTGTCAGTTTTCTCTCTTTCTCTCTGGGACACTTACGGACTAACCTATCGCTTTCTTCACGCGCGGCCACTGAGGTTTTCCACGCTCGCTGACACTGCCTGCGCGCCCTTCAGCCAACCACACGCCATCGCTTGCTTGCTGCTGCCCCGCCCCGCGCTGCTGCTATGTATCCATGTACAGTACCTAGATAGGTAGGTGCGTGGGAGCATGTCACTGCCAGCCAACCAGCCAGCAGCTCGCACGCGTGCGCCCACACACAGACACACGGCTCCCGTCTATCGCGGTCGACTGGCTGGCTGGCCGTCGCACCCGCGTGTCGACCTCTTCTCTGCCCTCAGCTGACATCTGAGTCTCCGCTGAGTCGCACACGCCGTCGCTGACGGCAGCTCATGCCGTGTTCAGCTCGGCGCCACCGCGCCACGAGCTCGCCCATGCGCTATTACCACATCCGCGGGCGATATCCGTCTGCCATCTGCTGGCTTGCAAGAGCCGCAGCGTTGCGTTGCGTTGCGCGCCCCGTCCAGGTTTCTGTTGCTGCCCCGTGGTGCGCTGCGCGGTGTATTAATTCGTTTTTGGCCGCGGTGGGGGTGGGCCTTTGCGCCTCGCCGTCTGTCTTTCGTCTCTACATACAATCCCCATGATGCTCGCGGCTTGGGCTACGCTGTCGTTTTGCGCGCTCGCTGTGCCCGCTGCAGCTGCTGCTAATGCCTCTATGGCTGCGAATGCGTCGGCGACTTCCTCCGCCCTGTATCCTGTCGACACTGTCAACTCCACATGCGGCACCGACGCTGGCTTTATGTGTCTTAAGGACGGCGTTTCGCCTTGTTGCAGGCAAGTCCGCCTTCACGCATGGAATGGGTTGATCTACTATACTAACAAATCCCCAGTCAATATGGGTAAACCTTCTTACCATTGCTGCTTACCTACTACTACGTGTGCTGACGGAGCAATAGCCAATGCGGAGGAACCCCCGAGTTCTGCGACCTGACACAGAACTGTCAGCCGGAGTTTGGAAGGTGTTCTCGACCGAATGCCACGCTTGGCAACCCGGCCTGCTCGTGGGCGGGAGTAGGCACTAGCCCGCGCTGCGACGGAAGATGCGGGAAAGAGTTCAATAATTCCGTTTGCAGCTCTAACGTCAGTGCGGACGCGTTTGCCATGTACGGCGTCTACAACTACGGCGCTTGCTGTAGGTGCGTTTGCTGTGCGTGCGTGGACTATCCTAAAGCGCGTCGCTGACATGCTCTTTGCGCAGTTCGGGCGGGTGCGTTTCTGCCGACTTAGCTATTGTAGCAAGCCGCGCTTTTGCTAACTACATACATACAGGTTCTGCGGTGGTACTTCCGAGCACTGCGAGGCCGCCCAAGGATGCCAAAACGGGTGTCGCGGAGCTGCAGCCTCAGCGTCAAAAGCCAGTGCCGCGACGACCGTCACGGTCGTGTCAACCGCATCGGCAGCCAGCAGCACCGCGACTTCTAGCGGCCTGGCCGACCATTCTGCCAACGAGAGTTTCGGCGGTTTCCTTGCTCTTGTCGTCTCGATAGCTGGCGCTCTTTTCGTGCTCTGAGAACCTGCCGTTTTTGGAAGAAATAAGCAACGGCCGTATACATCCCGGTCTTTTCCCTGATCTGGCTGGATATTTATAACGAAAGAATTTAATGACATCAGCGCTACTCGCTTTCTCCATTCCCTTCTTCTGATATCGGCGGCGGATGCGACGGCGACGGCTTGGCTGCCTGGACTGCCGTTCCTTTTTCTGGGTAAGGGGAGCGCGGCGTCCGCGGTGTAGAAGGTGCGGAAACAGTGCCCTCGGACACGGTGATCTCGTCGCCGTTCTCGGACTGGAAAGTAGAAGAGAGCGGCGACGATTTGGATGAGGCTCGCGAGTGCATGATTCCTAGACCTAACGCGTGCTTTTTTCTGCCCTGGAGCTTGCTTTCGCCCGAGTGTCGTCGCGGGCTTTTGGGCGAAGTTGACGGGATGCTGCCTTCCAGTTCCACGGGCGGCAGCATTTCGTCTCCGGCGAGCTCGGATGGCGCCCGCGCTTTTATCGACTGGTCTTCGAGCTCCATGGGGCGGTCGCTGAGCGCTGAATACCGCGGTGGTGGATGTCCGTCTGTAGAAATCGGTCAGTGATTCTAGTTAATCTTGCATATCGAGGAGTGGATTTTTACGCTTTATTCGAACTGAAGGCCCCGAAGAAAGCTCTGCTTTTATTCCTTGCGGTGGCGGCGATTTGTCCCGTTGCGTTGTGGGGATTTCGTGCGCAGAGGCTTTTTTCTTAAGTCGCCGTATGTAGATGAATAGGCCTGCTAAGAAGGCAAGAAGAGCTATTCCGCCTACTACGCCTCCGACTATCGCGCCGATTGGCACACTGCTTCCAGAGCTTCCAGTAGACGTAGCTTTTGCGGACGAAGTTGCGGATGCCGTCGGCGTCGAAGAAAGAGTTGCGCCATACTGGCTTGCTACGACGGGGTCATCGGACAGCTTTGCTCTAGCGAGGTCTGCTTTCGGGCAGCCATCCGGCTGGCAAGGATTGCTTTTACAGCAACCGATGAAAGGAGGGTTCGAGTTTGTGCAAGTATAAAACAGCCCATCGCTGCATTCGGCGTCGGCGAACTCCCCATATTTGCTGGCGTCGAAACTCGCGGGCTCCAGATTCCCGAACGAGCATCCTGTCGCGCTGCAAGCTGGCTCCCGGCAACAGCCGACGAATCTGCTGTTGTTCCCGCATGCGTACCAGGTTCCTCCACTGGGGCAGCTGAACCCAAAAGCCTGGGCCTGGCGGGGTTGGTGTAGAAACATTAGAAACTAGGAATGTATATATGTGTTATACAAGGATGCGTGCAGCAGCGCATGTATGTAGGGGAGTGAAGTGAAGTTTCAAAAAAGAAGCGAAGTTTCAGGAAAGCAAGAAGGAAAAGCGCGGCGCAGGGTGAGACGTCGCGCGTTATAGCCCGAGGCTCCGCGGAGTGTGCTTACCTACAATTCGTATAAGCAGCGGACAGCGGGCTTAGGCGTCAGCAGCTCGTCGTGGCCAACAAGTCTTGGGGGTGGCGAGAGGTGAGAGCCGCTACCCAACCGATGGCAGCTTCCTAACGTCTTCGTTCTAGCCCACCCATGGCACGAGGCTATGCTGCTCACGCTGCATGGCGCGGGCTGAGCTACGGCCTGCTGGCTGATGACGCACGCTGTCCGCCTGCGCGGTCCAAGGGTCTGACAAACGCTAGTCGTGAGACGTGAAGGTCGAGGACGTTCGACGACCGGGGCGCTGCGTCTTGGTGTCAGACGCAACCTTGTCCTAGCGTATTGCGGGGAGGCGTTCGCCGGTAACCTTCCCGGAGTCTGCGATAGGTCTGTTAAGCGAAACCGTGTTTGTTTAAAAGCCCCTTCCACCCTGGACCCCTCCATACCACTGGTATAACTCCGTCCGCGTACGACAACATCCCCGCTAGGTGCGGACGTCCCAATCGCCTTGCACCCTACCACTTTATAGCCTATCGGGGGCAAGCGGCTCATCCTACGCTCTCTGTTGCGGCAATTCAGTTCCCCCGTGTATCTGTCCTCGTGGGTGCACGAAAAGTCAAATACTGAGGGAAAGACGTTCTACAAGTCAAGGTTACTCCGAACATCCTTCCGGTGACTGTATACGTCGGCAAGTAAGAAGGTAAACAATAACTCAGAGGTATAGTACCTCAAAGTATTACAAACCAGTCACTGCTATACATCCGGGATCTTAACGCGAGCTCGATGATCTTGAAGGGCTCGTGATACTCATTGTGCTCAGGGGTTTTCAAAGCTAAAACAAATTGTATTCAAAATCGCACTATTCACCGCTACCTAGGAAATAAACCGACTCGCAGAAGGAAATTCTATTTGAAAACGAAAAATCAAAAAAGAAAAACGAAAAATGAAAACCTAACCGCTATAATAATACAAGAGCTAGAAGCAAACCTTCAAACTGTCAACACGACTCCGAAATTGTTTTTTTAGGGGAATGCACCGAAAGCCAATCCCTTCAAAGACCAAACCGCAACCTCACAGAACCATCAGGGCAAGCGCCGCGACCAGAAGCCCAGCGGAAGCGCAAGTGTACTGCTTAGTAGCAGCGGCAGTGAACTCGCCCGTCACGCTAGCAGCTTTAGCTGAAGGCGCAGCAATGTCAGATTTGGAAGTGGAAGACTCAGCGTTAGCGCTGCCACCATTTCCGGCACCAGCACTGTAGCTAGGGGAAGGGGTGGAGACGCCTGCCGAGGGAGTGCCATAGTTAGGAGTAGAGACACTGAAGCTTTCCGTAGGGGTACTGTAGCCAGAAGTCGATGAACTATAGCCAGTAAATGAGCTGTAGATTGGCGTAGGAGTGCTGTAGACAGGAGTGCTGTAGACAGGAGTGATGTAGGCAGAAGAGCTATAGGCAGGAGTGCTGTAGGAAGAAGAGCTGTAGACAGGCGTGCTATAGGCAGGAGTCGATGCGCTGTAGCTGGAAACGGGGGTACTGTAGCTGGAAGCGGGCGAGCTGTAACCGGAAGCGGATGAACTATAACCGGAAGCAGACGAACCGTAACCGGAAGCAGACACGGAAGAGACAGGGGTTTGAGCGCCGTGGCCGTTACCGTAGGCCTCAGGGGTGGTGGTGGTAGTGCTGGTGGCAAAGGCAGTGGCGGTGCGAGTGACGGAGGAATAAGGCGTGTTGAGTCCAGCACCCGCATTAGCACCTCCATGGTTGGCAGCCCAGGTAGCAGCAGCCTTGAAGGCCTCCTCGTTACCGGCCCCGCTGGAAAAAGCATTGGCACCACCTTGGTTGTTGTCAACCCATTTGCCAACTTCATTGGCAGCTTCATTGCCAGCAGCCTCGTTGCCAGCCCAGTATGCAGCAGCTTCGCTGGCAGCAGCTTTGTAGGAAGCAACATCGCCGGTGGGGAACGCGCTAGGGGCAACAGTCAAAGTGCCGAAATCAGCGGGAGCTGTGCCAGAGCCTTTAGCCCAGGGGTTCAGGGCAGAAAAGAAACCAGCAAAGGGGCCATGGCCGAAGCGAGCAGGGATAACACCTGTGGGAGTGGCAAAGCCAGTGAAAGTGGCAGAAGCGTCACCATATACGGCACCAAATCTGAATTTAGGGTGAACAGTAGTGCTAGCACGAGCACCGTTGTCGTTGTCTTGAGCGCCCTTGTTGTTGTTGTTGTTGTTGTTGTTGTCGTTGTCGTCGTCATCCCCTTGGGCACCGTGTCCGTTTTGAGCACCGTTGTCGTTGTCCTTGCCTTGAGCGCCTTGTTCGCCGCCCTGAGCGCCCTTGTTGTTGTTGTTGTTGTCATTGCCTTCGGCACCATGTTCGTTCTTCTGAACGCCATTGTCGTTGCCCTGAGCGCCAGATTTGCCCTGAGCGCCGTTGCCATTGCCTTTAGCGTTGTTCTGAGCAGCGCCCTTGTTGTTGTTGTTTTCGCCGCCTTGGTTTTTGCCCTGGGCGCCCTGTTCGTTGCCCTGAGCGCCAGATTTGCCTTGAGCGCCTTGATCGTTGTTCTTCTGAGCGCCCTGGCCATTGCCCTCGTTGTTGTTCTTAGCGCCCTGCTCGTTGTTGTTTTGAACGTCCCAGTCATTGCCTTCAGCGCCCTCGTCATCACCTTGAGCGCCCCAGTTGTTGCCTTGAGCGCCCTGGTCGTTGTTCCCTTCAGCGCTCCAGTCATTGCCTTGAGCGCCCTGGTCGTTGTTCTCTTGAACGCTCCAGTCATTGCCTTGAGCGCCTTGATCGTTGTTCTTCTGAGCTCCCTGATCATTGTTCTTCTGAGCGCCCTGGCCATTGCCCTCGTTGTTGTTCTTAGCGCCCTGGTTGTTGTTCTCTTGAGCGGCCCAGTCATCACCTTGAGCGCCCTGGTCATTGTTCTTCTGAGCACCCTGGTCATTGTTCTTTTGAGCACCCTCGCCATTGCCTTGAGCGCCCTGGTCGTTGTTCTTCTCAGCACCCTCGTCGTTGTTTTGAACGTCCCAGTCGTTGCCTTGAGCGCCCTCGTCATCACCTTGAGCGCCCCAGTTGTTGCCTTGACCATCGTGGGCGTTGCCTTGACCGCCATAGCCCTTGAATTGAGCGCCGTAATAATTACCTTGGCCGCCATAGCCATTGAATTGAGCGCCCCAGTCATTGCCTTGACCGCCCTGGTCGTCGTTTTGAACGTCCCAGTCATTGCCTTGAGCGCCCTGGCCATCACCTTGAGCGCCCTGGTCGTTGTTCTTTTGAGCACCCTGGTCGCCGTTTTGAGCGCCCTTGTTGTCGTCTTGAGCGCCAGAGTCCCCATCAGCGCCATCGTCACCACCATCGCCGCGAGGAATCAAAGGACCATGAGGACGAGCTCCGCGACCGGCACTAGCCGTAGCAGCAGCAGTAGCATTGCGCTGAGACGCCGGATCAGTTCCGGTGTACTGCGGGACGATAATAGTGCTGCTACCGCGGAGGGTCAGGGTGACGGAGCCATTGGGAACGCGAGCGAAAGTCGAGAAGGGCGGAGCGGGAGACAAGCGATGCTTCGATGGGGGAGCAGAAGCCGCGAAAGCCGACGGCGGGCCAACCGTAATCGTCGTTTCCGCGAGCAAAACCGTTTTGGTGCTCGGCTGCTGGGGAGCCGGGACGACGGCGGCCAGGACGGCCGAGAGTTGAGCGGCCGTGGCCAGAACAGCTGGGGACTTCATGGCGGTAGCCTTTGAAGGTCGGGACGCAGGAGCTGGTCCTTTTCCTTTTTTCTTTTTTCTTTTTCAGGTGGTGGTTGTGGCTCTTCAGCGAAGGTTGTTGGTGCCTCTTCAGCGAAGGTTGTTGGGAAGGAGTGAGGTGTGGATGAGAAGCCTGAATGCTGCGGGCCGCTGCCTCTTCAAGTACTTGCTCATGGTTGCCAGTGTTGCGCCGTTTGCGATTTCGTCTTTGCCTTTGGTTGTCATTCTGGATGATTGAGGTGCGGTGTTGTGGTTGGTACCTTGGAGTGATGGTGTCGAGAGCGGGACAAGCGACGTCGAGAGGTGCGGCATTTCGCTTCGGGCACATGCGCCAACGGTCAAGGGTCAACACCAAACCATCTTTGGATCGATTCGCCCATCAAAAGTCCCAAAAGGGAATCTAAGTCGCCGGTTTAGTGGCCGTTGAGGCTTGGAGCTCGAGATGATCGCCCGAAGAGTCAACTCCGGCCGCCGGGTACCATCGTTCAGAAAGGCACCATCCGTGTTCGAGATCAATCACGCGGGAAAGTAAATCATCAAAAGCGGAAGTTGTCCTTCAGTACGTGTGCTCAAACTGTCGAAGATGTTCCAGTTTGGATTTCTGTCTACGACTAGAAAAGCAAAGAGCACCTTGGCTGAGGGTAAACCTTACCGCAAAAGGGCTGAACGCGTGGAAGCCACACCCGCGTCGGGGCTCAAAGACCTTCTTCGGTTCCTCTATCCCATATTCGTCTGACATGAGCATGGCTTTCCCGAACCTGTCTCCGGAGCTATGCCACATTGTTCGTACACGTTGAGAGAAAAGGTTATATCAACCTCTGGTCGAGACATTGCCTTATTGTATCCATAGTTGAAAAGCATTCAAGCTTTGTAAGGGCCACGAGACTCAATAACGCGACTTTGGATACGGATTGCATATGGGAATCTGAAATTGATGACGAATTTGCCCATTGAGCCACGATACTTTCGACTGCGTTCACTAATCAAGGCACATTAGAGTTTCGGATAGCACAAGCTCCAGAGATTGTAATGGCCGGCATCTTCGAAAGAGGGCCTGGACCTGCTCCTAACAATCCGTAGGCAGCCATCTACAGAGTTAACACATTGGTACCAGACAAATTAAAAAAAATATTTCTTGAATCAATATGGAAATGAACAACACTCATACATTGTCTAGACTTCAACCCCCGAGATCGACCCAATCCAAACAGCAAGTTCCCAGGAGACGCAGGAAGCTTACCTTCACCCAGCACACACACAACAAAAAAAAAAAAAAAAAAAAAAAAAAAAAAAAAAAAAAAGCTTCCACACAAAGCGACAGACTCTTGCTTTCAACATTAAGTGTGTCCACACCAGCAAACAAACTCCAATCCCAAGCCGCCACCACAACTCCGAACCACTAGGTAATTAGCGAACAAACATAAATACAAACACAAACAAGTAAACAAACAAACTAACAACCTAACCCAACACACCAAACCCTCCCCTCGGCCTCGCATCCCCACCACCCGCACCCTTACCCGCACTCGCACCCCACGCGCGCTAAGCTCGCGCCGACCCGCCAGTCCGCGCACGCCTCGCCGCTGCGCCACGGTTCACCACCACCACGCCGTACCTAAGTCTGTAAACTTTTCGCTTGGTGCGAAAAAAAGGGAAAGGAGGGACAGCACACGCCCGCTACGCTACGCACGTACGCACACGCGTGAGTTCGTCCGTTCCGGTGGCGACGTAGGCGGCTTACGTACCTTATGGCGTGGTGCGCACGAGGAGGGGATGCGTGCGTGGGCGGGCGTGTGTGAGTGCATGCGGCTGAGGTGGCGCTACCTAGTTAGTTGAGGTGTTGGCGGTGCGCTGTCTCGCCTCCGCGCGATACGGGGTCCAAACTGGTGGGATCGAGTCGATAGAGCTCTCAAGGATAGAGGAGGGGGGCTCTCTCTGATGGAAGTGAACTACAGTACGACTCTGCCGTAACACGCGCTGGACCGCAATGTAAAAACTAAAATCTTGGTATTCTACAGCGCAAATCTACACGCCACTCTTGCGCGCTCTTACATACAGCAACAACACAACCTACAACAGATCCAGGCCCACAGCCACCGTCTACGCAGCGTAGTGCCTCGAGAGAATCTCCTCAACCTTCTCCCTCACGCCCACCTTGTTGTTCGTCTCCTGCAAGAAGTGTCGCACCGTTTGCTTGTTGTTCTCCAGGTTAACGCGGGTCTTGAGGACGTCAGCTTCGCGCGGAAGGCCAATCCACGCGTGCGGGTATTTTTTGTAATTGGCCTCGGAGGCCGTGTTCAGCAGCTCGAGCGACGACGTGCTGGTGAAGAACTTCTCAATGTCCGGGACGCTGAGGTCCTCGAATGCGCCGGGTTGCCAATTGGGGCGCTCCTTTTGCTTGCGCACCAGGCGCGCCGTGACGCCCTCGACAAAGTCGGGGTGCTCCATGAACTTGGACGCAATGGCGTGCTCGCGCTGGAACGCCTCCGAGATGCTCCACTCCTCTCCGATGCGCATCTGCTTCAGTGCAACAAGAACCGACGTCGGCGAACGCTGCTGCATCGTGTTGATGGTCTTCTCAGCCCATTCGCCCAGCAGCGGGTTGCCAGACTCCTTGACCATGTTCAGCGCACCGATTATGTCGCCGATAGACTGCCTGTGGGGCCCGAAGCACTCGTCAATGGCCATGCGGAGTGGTCCCGAGATGGCAGGTCTCGATTCGGGCAAGCCCGTGACGTATTCCTCAATGGTGGCATTGATTACGTGGTAGCGTTCCTGCAGAGAATCGTAATCCTTGAAGGTGAGTTCGGCAAGACGAGCCTCGAGGTCGGGGAGAGACGAGGAGTGGATGAAATGGGTTGCGATGCCGTGGTAGCTGGGAACGCAGTTAGAACTATAACCGAAGACGACAGTGTCTAGAGCTTCTTACAAAGCATCCACGCCCCTCAGCTGCTCACTTGTCAGGGCCAAGTACGTGCCCATCTGTCCGTCCATCCTCGGGAGGAAGAAACTAGCGCCGACATCCGGGAAGAAGCCAATGGTAGTCTCGGGCATAGCAAAGATCGTGTTCTCGGTAGCTATCCTGAACGGGGCATGCACGCTCAGGCCAACACCACCACCCATGGTGATTCCGTCCATGAAGGAGATGAAAGGCTTGGTGTAGGTAGCAATGAGGTGGTCGAGCTTGTATTCGAGGGCAAAGTAGTCTTTCGACTGCTGCTGGCCTTCGGGGCCTTCCTGGTTCAGCTTGGCCAGGGCCGCGACATCTCCACCGGCGCAGAGCGCGCGGCCAGCACCCTTGACGATGACAACGTTGGCGAGTTGCGAGTTTGACCATTCCTGCACATATCGTCATCAGCAGTGGCTCCAGTGGGTTGGAGCGGGGACCGCACTTGTAGCCTGGGTATTATTTTACGCGCCATGGAGCCATTGAGGGAGTTGAGCTTCTTGGGCCTGTTGAGCTGGATGGTGCGCACGCCGTAGATGCGATCGAAGAGGACATCGTCGGGCTCGTCGCCGGGTTGCTCCTTAATGGCCACGCTATCCATCGAGTACTGTTTGGTGGGCGTTAGCGGTACCGGACGACGGGCATTGAAATGTGGGGATTAGGTACAGACCTGGCGGAAGGCGGGCTGGGTGATCTTGGCTCTCAGCGGCATGGCGGGGCTGCAGGAAAGCGACCGTGAGCTGAAGCTCGACGGGAAAGCTGCGCGTCTGGTGCAGGCGCGGAGGAGCATGTTGGGCGGGCTGCGAATGCGATGACGAAAATGGAGCTGGCGGACCTCGGTAGTGGGAGGAGCTCTAAGGTGGGATCAACGCGAGAGGAGCGAGAGGGAACGAGGCAAGAGAAAGAAAGAGAGGGGGGTGCGGAGGCGTCAATCAAGAGCTCCGGCTGGTGATTTTTCAACGTCGTCCCTCTTGGACTTGCACGCACCTTTTCTCCGCATCGACTTCCGCCGCAGAGCTCCCGCACGGCCGTCACGTGCGCCGGGCGTTGCGGCGCGCGAGCTCAGAAATTGTTCCGCTCGCCGCCAACCTCGAGCACTTCGCCCTCCTCCCTCCATCCATCGCCCCAACCCCTCATTTCCTCTTTCCTTCTTCTTTCGTTCCGTCGTAGGGTGCTGCCAACCATGTCTGCCTTTACTCGCGCTTTCCTGCGCACTTCCCGCGCGGCTTTCCGCCAGCGCTCCGGCGCCAACCCGCTGCAGCAGACTCTGGGCCTCCAGGGCTCTGCTCAGTACATGGGTGCCGTCCGCAACTACGCCGCTGCCTTTGAGCGTAGCAAGCCCCACGTCAACATCGGTAAGCCCGCCATCTAGGTACGCGTCGCCAACGCGTTCGCTGACAATGGCCCAGGTACCATTGGTCACGTCGATCACGGCAAGGTAAAGCTCCAATTGCCACTGCTGCACGCGCATTCGTGCTGACCATTGTAGACCACCTTGACCGCCGCCATCACCAAGCGCCAGGCCGAGAAGGGCTACGCCAGCTTCCTCGAGTATGGTGCCATTGACAAGGCTCCCGAGGAGCGCAAGCGTGGTATCACCATTTCCACCGCCCACATCGAGTACCAGACCGACAACAGGCACTACGCCCACGTCGACTGCCCCGGTCACGCCGATTACATCAAGAACATGATTACGGGTGCTGCCAACATGGACGGTGCCATCATTGTCGTCGCTGCCTCGGACGGACAGATGCCCCAGACCCGTGAGCACTTGCTGCTCGCCCGCCAGGTCGGTGTCCAGAAGATTGTTGTCTTCGTCAACAAGGTCGACGCCGTTGACGATAAGGAAATGTTGGAGCTCGTCGAGATGGAGATGAGGGAGCTGCTCACCTCGTACGGCTTCGAGGGTGACGACACCCCCATCGTCATGGGCTCTGCCCTTTGCGCCCTTGAGAACAGGGAGAAGGAGATTGGTGTCGAGTCCATTGACAAGCTTCTCGAGGCCGTCGACACTTGGATTCCCACCCCCGAGCGCGCCCTTGACAAGCCCTTCCTCATGTCCGTCGAGGACGTCTTCTCCATCTCCGGTCGTGGTACCGTTGCTTCCGGCCGTGTCGAGCGCGGTATCCTGAAGAAGGATTCCGAAGTCGAGATTGTCGGCAAGAACCCCACTCCCATCAAGACCAAGGTCACCGACATCGAGACCTTCAAGAAGTCCTGCGACGAGTCCCGTGCCGGTGACAACTCCGGTCTGCTTCTCCGTGGTATCAAGCGTGAGGAAGTCAAGCGCGGTATGGTCATTGCCGCCCCCGGTACCTCCAAGGCGCACAGGAAGTTCCTGTGCTCCCTGTACGTCCTGAGCAAGGACGAGGGTGGCCGTCACACCGGTTTCCACAGCAACTACCGCCCCCAGGTCTTCCTCCGTACTGCCGGTAAGTGATCAATGCCTTTGTATTTAGTGCCACGAACTGAAGCTAACTGCTCCCCACAGATGAGGCTGCCTCTCTCACCTGGCCCACCGAGTTCGAGGAGCAGGACAAGATGGTCATGCCCGGTGACAACGTCGAGATGGTCTGCGAGATCCACCACCCCTCGCCCATTGAGATCGGTCAGCGCTTCAACGTCCGTGAGGGTGGCCGCACCGTCGCCACCGGTCTCGTCACCCGCATCATGGAGTAAATATGTCCATGTGACGACGACGAGCAGCCCCGTTCATATATCCCACCCTCACGCCGCGAACGACCCTCCAAAAGTTAAAAAGCCGGTTGCGCCCTTCTCGATGCCTCTCTCCACGGCCTGGATGTAAACAAATCTCCACGTAACGCATTCGCCACATGTACCATATAGCACGTGTTTTTCGCAGCGCGCGCTTACTTCTCTCCCCCGTCTACTCCCCGCTCTATCTGCTGTTCTTTTGCGCGTTTGTAGCTTTTGTACTTTGGGTGGAGGGGCGTCGGTAGATAGGCGAGGCATGGGCATGGCATGCCTGGCATGCATCATCATCATGTAAGGCGTCATGTTGGTAGCAAACTACGTAATTCGAAAGTTTGACAAGGAAAAAAATTGGAAAAGATGGATTTCTTAAACATTTTTACTTGGGACTATGCTTGTGCTGCATGTGGTGAAGTGCACTGTATTGTTGCAGAGGACGGCAGCTCTGAACTACTCAGTCATGTACGTCCTAGAACATGTTCAAGAAAGCGAAAACATAGCCCACCATCGTTATCCCTTAACACTATATCCTAAGACTCTACACAAAGATCTAGCCTAACAAAACCCCACCTTACCCCTACCCCTAATCACATCAACACCTCTCAAGACCGACTACCGATAGAGACGAATTTACACACCATGATCAGACAACCCCGTATCCAGGCTAATATCTACAAAGTAACGCGGCTTTCTTGAAACAGATGAGGAAAACCGTAGATTTGGTTGTATAAACACATCAAACACACACAAACACACACAAGCTAAAACACCCACTCAGATACGCGATACCCAGATAGACATCTAGATAGGTAGGTAAGGTAGCTAGGAAGCGAATGCACTGCACTACACTACACACTATCCACTTCTCCTTCCCCGCTTTACTCCCTCGTCCATCGCCAGCAGAAGAAGAAGAAGAAGAAGAAGAAGAAGAAGAGGTGCAGACAAAAAGAAGAAGCTAGAAGAAAAACGAAAAAGACAAGGCAAGACAAACACAAGTCCGACGCTCGAGCGGCTAGGCTAGCATGGGCTAGGAAGCATAGCATAGCATAGCATCAGAAGGATACGATCAATAGGAAGGATGCCTAGACACAATACTCCCCGGCACAACCCTCGCCATCCACATACATACATACATACATACATACATACATACATACATACATAGACGCGGAGCAACAGAGTAATTGGGTAATTGAGTAGATAGATACCACATACGCACGTAGGTAGGTAGGTAAGTAGGTAAGTAGCTAGGTAAATAGGCGCAGCCGAGCCAAGCTGAGCTGAGCTGAGCCATGCCGTGCCATGCCGAGCCAGGGCCCTTCCTCTCCATCCATCCATCTGACTATCCGACTATCCAGCCATCCATCCATCCATCCATCCGTCGACCGCCGACGCTTTCCAATCCACATCCACCGGTAAGAAGCCCTTCCCCTTCACACATACATACAGTTATACAGTTCATCGAAGCCACGCCCGGCCCGTCCCGCCTCACCTAGGTTGCCTTATCAAAAGAGCGCGCGTACACGCACACCCCATCATCGTTGGCTTTTTTCCTTTCTCCTTCCACAACACAACACAACACACCACACCATACCACACCGCAACGCAGCAAAGCGTTCGTTCTCCCCCACCCCACCCATCCAAGTCCAGCCGCCGCGGCCCCTCTAGCGCCTAGTCAACAACCAAGCGTCCGTCTCGTCCCAGACCTGGCGATCCTTGACCGCCGAGCCCGCGACCTTGACGCCCGCATACACCGCGTCCCATAGCTCAAACGCGATGCGCAGATCCGAGCCTAGGTCGATGCTCTCCGGGAACCACTGTTGCGCGGCGCGGGCCTTGGTGCTGGCCTTGGCCTCGATCGACGTCGGCTCGGGTTGCATGTGCAGCTCGTCGAGGTACGACTTCACCGCGATGCCGAGCGCGCAGTCGTTGGGCAGGAGGAAGGGGAGCCTGTCGCTGGTTAGAGTCATGGGGATCTTGCTGTGCAGGGCAAGCATGGGTGACTTACTTGAGGGCGAGGTCCGTGAAGTCGTTCCGATCGCGGTCGGCGTCGCCGTTGAGCAACAGCGTCGTGAGACTGACCTCGGCGAGGTCGCGGAGACTATTCCGCACGGCCGAGATGATCGAGTGGTATCCAAGGAGGTGTCTGCTCAGCGGACCGGTGAAACCAATGGACTTGTGGCGCAGCTTGCCGAGACAGGCGACACGGGAGACGAGGAGGTTGTTGCGCTTGTCGGTTTCAGTGCCGCGAAGGGGTTGGCCGCCGTAGCTCGGGAACATGTTCTTGGAGTTAAGCAGGTTGAGGCGCACAAGCTCGATTGCGAGGAAAGCGGCCTCTTCGTGTTCGGCAGGGTGCTTCAACGCAGCAAGGGTGGTCTGCAGGGCCTTACCCCATTGGGTGAGGTTGTGATTTGAGTCAATGTATTCACGAAGCTGGAGGAACCGCCAGGTTGCGTTGTAGAGAATCTCGTCGTGGCTATAGAGAGCCTGCTGTCTATCAGCTTCATGCACAATACCTTCAGAGAATAGACGAACCTGTGTCGGGTCCTTCTTGCTAATTGTCTTCGAGACGAATTCGGCGTCCTTGAGGGAGAGGATCGCAAAACCGATGGCAGTATGCGGCTGTTGAAATCGATAAGTCATCTTCCTCCAAGACGAATCACATCGGGTGTAGTTACCTTTGTCTGCTTCACTTGCTCCTGAATGACGTTATCCTTGACGTTCCAAGTAGACAGTGATGGCCTGACATCCGGCGCGTCCCTCATGGAAAGCGTCTTGGTGTTTGCGCGGTCGAACCACGCCTGGAGGGTGACATCCTTGTGCTGATAGAAACGATGAAGTGGCTGAGAAAGCAAAGCGAGCGTTGCGGTCCGTAATGACGTGAGTTGTTCGCTGACGAGCTCACGATACTCTTGAGATTCGCCGCCATCCAGCGGGGCGACCTCTACAATCTCAGCCGAGGTACGGATGTTCAGAATCCTAGGACTGATAACACCCTTGGACAGGTAGAAATATATCTCATCCGGGAGACGTTGACCCATAAACTCGTGAATGTCGCCGGGAGCCTGCTCGATGCCGATTACTTCCACCTTTCCTTCTGCATTAAGGATGATGTGGTGCTGCAAGGCCAGGCGGGTGCGCATGAAACGGTCGGTGTAGTTCATCGAGCGAAGCTTGGGCTCGTCCTGGTAGTGCTGACATACCGAGATGCCGCTGCGACCAAATGACATCATCATCTCGACAGCGCTCTTGATCTTGGTCTTGCTCCGGCGAGGGGCGCTCTCCAGCAAGGGGAGAGGCGGAAGAAGATCCGAGCCTGAGAGCAGACAAGCGTCCAGGAACTGGTCGGCGGAAAGGTGACCAAAGTCCGCCATGCAGCGCATCCTCTTGAGCCAGACAATATCCCCATTTTCCCAATCCCAGTTTATGATGACTTGGTCGACGTCGAAGAGCATAAGTTCCGATGCGCCGGCGATTGCGTGGACGACCTGCTTCATGTTCTTGGACATGTATGCCAGCTGGCCTGTGTCAGCACCCATCCTGTTTAGTAGCGGAGAAACTGGAACTAACCTGACCCCAGGCGCTGTACGGCGCAACGAGGAAGTTGACGTTGGACTCGTGCAGCACCGCCTGGAAGCTGCGATATATCTCATCCGACCTGACAGGAGCTACCTTGACTATTAGTACGTCGATTTGTCCCGACAGAGCGTGCCAGGGAAGAGGTACGTACGCGCTTCTCCAAAGGTCGAGACCGCACGCTCGGCCTCAGACTGGTTGTAGAGCTCCCAGGCGTCTGAGGTGACGCGCACAGCCTCGTCCGACGCGCGAAACGGGTTGTCCTTCTTGCCAAAGTCAAGGCCATTGAAGACGAAGAAAGGAGTTATGTTGCGGGAGCGGAAACGGTTGACATCGTCCTGGATGAGGCGCTTCATGGCGAAGGGCAAGCCGCCGAGGGCGGGCAGCAGCGGCTCTTTCCATTGGGGGTCATTGAGCAGGCGGTTGAGATGGTCGGCGGCGTCAATGGCGACGGTGCATCCGGCGAGCTCGTCGATCTTGGAGGATTCGGTCAGACCGAGAGTCCAGTCGTCGTTGGGGGAAATCATGGTCAGGTCGGGGGTGAGAGCGGTGCGGTCGCGCGCGTCTGTGTCTCACTCAGTGTAGTAATGAACGAGAAAGCAATGGACCTATGCAAGCAGTCAAGTACTAGGAGGAGGAGGAATATGGAACGCCGGACGCCAAACGCCCCTTGGTGCAATGTGGGCGCGCTCGCAAATCTTTGGGGTTGCGGGGGAGTCGAGGGAGCTGTGGTAGGTGGTGGAAGCTTGGAGTGACCGCGGGCGCACTCGGCGCTAAGCCCGCATCCGGTATGGCGCGAATCAGCCCTATCATTTGGTCTTGGTCTTGTTGCTGCGCCGCCTCAACAGTCGAACATCCATCATCATGGCTGACATTCCTGTAATCGACATCGCCACTCCCACTCCGGCCGTCGCCAAGCAGCTGCTGGCCGCTGCCTCTGCTCACGGCTTCGTCTTTGTCCGCAACCATGACATCGGCCTGCCGCCAGAGGACATTCAGGCCATGTTTGCTCTGGTACATACATACATACATTACTCTATAATGCACACGATCTAATGCCGTCGCGTCAAGTCCCGCACCTTCTTTGAGTCCCCCTACCAAGTCAAGGCTGAATGCCCCTACGTGCCCGACAAGAACCAGGGCTGGGTCGGCATGCAGCGTGAGACTCTAGACCCCAAGACGCAAAAGGTGGGATGACATTTTGCCTAAACTTTCCATGGCGTGAGATGCATATATTCACTCAACTGCATATAAGTCTGACTATTGCCCCGTAGCGCGGTGATTTTAAAGAGTCAGTATCCACCCTCGGTCGTCCAAGGCATTGCATCCTCTGAGACACACATACACTAGAGCGTTCAACGTTGGCGAATATGTCGACGGAAGAGCCGCCCAGCCGCTCCCCAAGCCCTTTGCACCCCACGAAGCTCAGCTAGGCCGATTCGCCGACCAGTGCCATGGCCTCTGCAACAAGATCCTGCGCGTATTCGGCATGGCGTTCGAAGTGAGCAGACACCCACGCGAACGACCCAGCTCATCCACTCACATCAGTCAGATCGCAGAAGATGAGGGTGGGGCAGAATGGTTCGTGAAGCGGCACGACCGCAGCCAAGGCCCCTCTGGCAGCATCCTGCGCCTACTTTACGTATGAGATCTCCGCTTTAGAAGATTCGCAGCGGACCGCTAACGCGCAGCGCAGTATCCGTCGGTGCCGACCGAGAGCCATGACGAGACGGACATCCGTGCCGGCGCGCACAGCGACTACGGCTCCATCACGCTGCTCTTCCAGCTGCCGGGCCAGCCGGGCCTGGAGATCCTGACGCGGGAGAACGCTTGGGCTCCCGTGCCCGTCAACCCGCTCGACGACGCCGTGCCGCCCATCCTTGTCAACATCGGCGACCTGCTCAGTTACTGGACCGACGGCCTGCTACGCAGCACCGTGCATCGCGTCATCTTTCCTCAAGGCGAGCAGCATCGGGGCGCCGCGGACAGATACAGCATGGCGTACTTCTGCCATCCGTTGGACGAGGCGAGGCTGGTGCCGGTGCCCAGCGCGATAGTCAGGGAGCATGGGCGGGACAAAGGCGCTGGGGAGGCAGCCAAGGTGTTGACGGCAAAGGACCATTTGGTGGGCAGGCTGGCCGCGACGTACGGGAAATGACGGCAGTGATGCGCGTTGATGCGGGAGGGAGAATTATATCCGGACCCGCATGGACGGACGTTGGACGGGGCGTTGCAACTAACTTCGTAGTGGCCGTTACCGGGGCCCCGTCGAATTGCTTCTTCCTACAACGTCTATAGCAGAGCGAGAGAGAGTCAGGAGAGACTGTCGCAAGAGAGTGAAACAACGACGCAATCTCGTCGAAACCAGCGCAGGGCAGCAGCATGATAACGGAAGCGGCCCCCGCCCGCTCGCCTGCACCCGGAGACTTCCATGGAATGGATGATACAACGTAGCATGCCGCAGGACGCGCCACGACGAGGGCTTTGTTCACATGCAAAGCCCTCTCTTTGTCTGGTCTCACACCATAACGAAACGAAACGCAGTTCGTGTCAGGCACGCAAGGCGCAGACCAATGTCTGGAGCGATAAGGGATGGAGCACAGCGATCATAAAAAAGGTACGTGGTAGGTGTTACGTCGGGGTGGCAGACCGATCAGGTTCTCGAACGCCGAAAAAAGATCGCTATCAGGATTCAGGATTGCCAGGTGATGGCGTGAGCAGGGCCAGGCGGCTCATCAGCAATCAGCGCGTATCAACAGTCATCCACAACTGCAGGGCAGTGTTGCAGACCAGCCAGTCAGCCAGCCCCAAAGCCACAGCAGCGCAGTCGCACAGTCAAACAAGTCATCCAGTCAAGCGGGCCCGGGGGCGCCCAAGTAAGGATCGCCACGAAATTTATTCCCGCGCCGCTCCCGTTCCCGCAATCGAATCATCAGATCAAGATCAGCCCAGCAGGCGTCTGGCGTGACCCCCCGGCCTCACCGCCCGCGCACTGCAGCCAATGCCACGCCGCCACCCGCCCCAGCCCTACGCCAGGCCACGCTCGCTCCGCCGGCCGCGCCTCGCCTCCGACTGTCGCCCGAGTTTCTGCGCGAGGTGGCCTCCGTTATGTCCCGCGCCAGAGCGGGAATTCTTGGAAACCCTGGATTGCTGCGGCGACGGGGAGCTGTCAGGAGATATCACTTATAACTACTGCTGCTGCGCTGCTCTGCTCTGCATTCAATCAATTCAATCAATCCACACAGTTCGCTGTTGCTACTGCTACTGTCTGTCTCTACACAGAAAAAGACACTCCATTGAAGACCGACCATCATCCATCCGATCCGTTTTCGGCCACACATAAATTCACCACCACCATGTCGACAACTACCACCACAACCACGGCCCCCGCGCCCGCAATACAAACCATCACGCTGAAGCCATCTGCGCCCGCGCCCGCCCCAGCAGCCCCCCAAGAAGTCAACCAAGACTCGCCATTCCTACGCCTGCCCGCCGAGCTGCGCAACGAGATCTACAGCCTCCTCCTCACCTCGCCCACGATCCCCGCGCTGCAGCGCAAAGCAGCGCGCTGCACGACGTACAGCGCGGCGCGGGCCCTGCCGCGCGCAGACATCCACCCGGCAATCCTGCAGACCTGCCGGCAGATCCACGCGGAAGCCACGCCCATGCTCTACGGCCGCAACACCTTCGCGGCGCACCCATCCCTCCTCTCGGGGCTCCCGAACCTCGTGCAGCCCTCCCGCCCCGTCACCGCACCCTCCGTCGCGAACCTGATCCGCAACTGGCGCCTCGCGGTCCGGCTGGACACGGACGCGCGCTTCAGCGCCAAAGACGCGGCGCGCGCCTTCTCGGGCGCCGAGAGCCTCGACATCGAGGCGTGGCAGGCGCAGTTCGAGGCCGCCGACTACAGCGTCCTGCGCCTGTTCGAGGAGGTGCGCGGAGTTCGTCGCGTCCGCGTTCATGGCTCCGTCGAGCCCCGCTTTGCGCGGTGGTTGGAGCTGGTGATGATGAGTCCGGAGGAGAGCGAGGACGAGTGCATGGGCAGTGGCGCGAGCACGCCCGCTTATGTCGAGTTTGATGGGGAGGATGGAAGGCGCATGGGGCGCGGGCCGGGTGGCTTGCCGTTGTGGGCGCATTAGCTTGCGTCCGCCGTCCTGTCTGTCTTGCCTTTCTACCTGTCTGCTCGGAAAAAAAGATGAGCGCGTTGCTTTTGAATGGCGTTTGAGGGGCTTGGGTGTCGCGCTTGCATGAGATACCCTATTGGCGTTTTGTTTTTGTTTTGATAGATTTTTCGTCACCGGACGATGACGACTAGTATCTTGTAATTGGGAAAAGAGCCGATGTGTGGGGGATTGCGGCTTTGATTGAGCTTGGTAATAGACCCGATCCTGACATCGTCGGATCGTTTTGACACACCATTGTTTTGTTCACTGCTTCGATGTGATGTGCGCTGCTGTTATAGAGTTAGGAACATGACTTAAACTCGCGACTTGGCTTGCTTGCAAATAAGCTTGTCAATGGGTTTAGGAGCTGGCGATTGAGGTCGCGGCTCCGAATCTCGGTTTTGTGTTCTATCTGTCAGCAGTGTCGTTGTGAGATTGCTGGCTCCGTTGCAGATGCCAATTGGACCAAGTGGGAGTAAGGTTTCCTGAATTCGGCCGCGTCGCGCAGCGTCTATGTGGACAAAACCTCGTCGACAGTGGTGAACCCGCCCTTCTGATGCCCGTATACACTGTACAATCAAACCCCTCCGTTCGAGTAAATAAACGCCTCATGCGCCGTGTGTCATGCCAACGAAAAAATCGGGGCTAATTTTTTTCGTACTCTCCCTTCGCGCCCACCACCGAGAACAAAAAAAGAAGACACCAGACCGGGATCTGATTACTCCACGCCTGCCTGCGGTCTGTCTCTTCCCCATCTCCCTTCCCGTCAAAACAACAGATCCAAAGACTTCTTTCCGGCAATCTAGATCTTGACACCCTGCTGGGCCTTGAGCACCGCCTTGACCAAGCCGTCGTAGGCCTCCTTGTAGTCGGCCTCGTCCTCGCCCTTGCCGTCGCCCTTCTTGTTGCCGCGGTCCTTGCAGATCATGACGACCGACGTGGGGCGCTTGGTGTTGCCGGCGGCGCCCAGCTCGGCGCGCGACGCAACGAAGATGTACGGCACGTTGTGGTCCTCGCACAGCACCGGGATGTGCGAGATGACGTCCATGGGCGAGATGTCGGCGGCGATGACGACGACAGCCGTGGGGTCCGAGACGGCAGACGAGCTGGGCAGGTTGGTGCCCGACTTGCGGATGGCCTTGACGACTTCCTTGACGCCGCGCTTGAGCGTCTTGTTCTTGGCGGCTGCAGAAGAGTTTGTTAGGATTGGGAGGTCATATCATACGTGCATGGTGTGTGGACGTACCCTTCTTGACGCTCTTGAAAATCTTCTTGGTCGTCTTGTCGTCGGCCAGCGGGTTGGCAAAGGGCACCAGCGCGCCGCGGATGACCTGCTCGGTCTGCTCGTCGTCGCTGTCGTCGGCCTTGGGGCGACTGGCAATGGCGACGGCCTTGCTGGCCTCGGCGCCCGAGGCGGTGTCGCTCAGGCTGGCGAGAAGGGCCTCGGCGACATGCTCAGGCTGCTGCTTCTTCTCCTTCTTGTCCTTCTTGCTCTTCTTGACGCCGTCGGTCTCGGAGCGCTTCTCCTTCTTGTCCTTCTTGACCTTTACGTCCTTGTCCTTGGCCATTGTGGTGGTAGTGGTGGTGGTGGTGGTGGTGGTGAGTTTGTCGGTGTGCGTGGTAAAGCTCGACGTCGCGCGTTGGAGCTGTGCGGCGCGCAAAAAATCTCCAAGTCGCATTCCGCCTTAGTTCGTTTTGGGCTTAGGGTCTCGTTCCGCCAAGCCGCCCTCATCGACCTCGTTGCACCTCACCCACATGTTCATGAGATTATCATCCGTCTGTCGAATCTCTGTCTGTGTGATCGTCTTTCTTCCACATGAGCAACAGCAAAGCTCTACCTCTCACTCTCAACCGTCTTTCTCCCATTTTCCTAGCCAGTCAACCTCCATAAATAAAAAATCAGAAAACTTAGAAGACTCGCTCTAAAAGAAAATTTGCCACCTGCTGAAAGTATTAGTTTGGATACAAAGCAAAAATACCACAATAATGAAACTCACCCCACTCGCTCGCTTGCTGAACTCAAATGACTCCAGTCAAAAGAGCCACCATAGCTGTACAAAGAAGCAAGCCTTGCCATCTACTGAATGAGTTAGCAGTGAAAACACCACAGCAACAAACAGCAAAAAACTTAAACTGCTTCCACCCCACCACCACCTCACGCAAACAAATCATCATCACCATCAGCGTCCAACCCATTCGGCGGCGAGGTATTCTCCTTATCCGACGCCGGCTCCATATACATCTCCCAGCCCGCACGTCTACGGCGCGTCGCGGGCGACGGCGAGCGCGGCGGCTCCGGGTCCTCAAAGACATCGAACGGCGCGTGGGCAGCGGAGCTGCGGCGACGGCCAAGCTGGCGCTCACGGCCGCGCCCGCTGGACCACTCTACCAGCGACGACATCGACATGGAGCGGTCCGGTGATGCTGGCGGCGGCGATGACGCCGACGTGGTCCGAGAGAACTGGAAGGACGTTGATCGCTGCATTGGCGAGGACGCTGACGACGTTGCGCGCTGTGAGGGGGTTGGCTGCTGCTGCTGCTGTTGCTGCTGCTGGGTTGGCGAAGCCGGTGGCGACGATGACGGCTGTATCGGCGACGAAGGGGCACCGAAGCGCAGCGGCAGTGGCAGCGGCGCAAGCGGGTGACGCGGCTCCGCGGCCTCTTCTTCTTCTTCCATCTCCTCCCTCTCCGCTTTCTCTTCACCTTCATCATGCCGAGGTGAGTCAAAGACGCTACCACTGGGCGAGGCGCTGCGAGGCAGCTCGGCAGCGACCTCGTAGCGGCCGGCGGAGGGCGGAGTAGCGGGGCGGGGTGGGGCGACCTGCGATGGAGGCGTAGAGGGGGGAACAGTGCCAGGCTGGGAGCGGGCGACTTGGTTGAGCGGGGTAGTGGTTGTAGTGGCGGCGATGGAGTGAGAGCGCCGGGGCGCAGGCGTGATGGGCTGCTGTAGCAGGAGCGCTTGATGGGGCGAGCTGGTGGGTGAGGCTGGAGCAGAAGCGGCGGCGGCGGCCTTGCCGCTGGCCGCGGAGAGTTTGCTGGCGGGCATGCTGGTGGTTTATGGTAGTGGTTGTGGTGGGCGAGGGTTGGTTAGTGCTGTGGAGAGTTGAAGTGGGTGTGTGGAGGGTGGCTTTTCTAATTATCTGTGAAGTGTGTTAATGAATGCAAGTGAATTGAATGCTGCAGTCACACTACTTTGATGCCTGGCGTTGCTCTCAACTAAGCGGCGTCCAGTCACATGCTCTCATCTAGGATGCAAAGTGGCGGAAGAGGAAGAGACGGCGCTTGTTACTGAACAAACGACAACCATCAGCTTTGCGAAATGAACTCCAAACCAAGCACTTCCCAAACAGGAGCGTTAAAAAGCATGTGTACAAGCCTTTGTAGGCGGAGTGAAACATCCTGCAACATCCCGAGCAGGCCGGCCTAAACAGGCCAAGTGGATGTCTTATAGCGGATGAGGTTGAAAGCCTCACTAACACATATACAAACAAGGCAGGGAGAACACCAAAAAAGAAGCTTGGCTGCTTCAGTTTTCTCGACACAAACGACGTTGGTCAGCGCACATAATGGCAGTCATTCATTGCTCTGCCTTGTTCTGGAAGCATATATATACGTACAGTGAGTTTTTAATCTGTGCATATTGTGCAACAGAACAATGAAACTTCAAGCATGGATTGTTAGTTCCGTTAGTATTCATAGTTCTTCTCCCAATTAATATGTATACGGCACTCACTATACGCGTCTGCATACAGTATAGAGCCGGAAATGCATCCGCATCTGATGCAAATCTTCCACCACGTACATACATACAAATATACCAAACTTACATCAAAGGACACACTTTAACCGAAAGATATCTATTAAAGCAACGTGATTCCTCTCCAGCGAAAAAGACAAAGATCAATTTATCCCTCTTGTAGATAGAAGAAAGTTCTTGATACTGTGCGAAGCTGTTAAAGCGTACTGTGTATGCAATCTAACAACAACGCGAAAATCACTTCATTCTTTTGTGAGTGTCTCTGTTCAGAAAACTTTGAAATTATCCGTGCGGCTGCGAATATACTACCTTAAGTCGAGATATCTCGCGCAGTGGTTTGTGGGCTGTGGCACATGATAAGCCAAATATGATTGTATATCCCTGAGACGGTTTAAGCGGGTTGGGATTGAGATTGTCAACGTTGATGGAGCAGCTAAGCGTTCATATAGAGAAGTCATTTCTCCGAAAAAAGAAGCCAATCAACATGACAAAAAGCCAGAAGAATCCAAGCAAAGCAGAAACTCCTTCCAAAGCTCTCTAAAAAGCTCAACCAAATCAACCCCATCTACGCAAACAACTCTAACCACGCTCTTTACCTCTACATTCCAAAGCCCAATAACCCAGACCCAAGTCAACGCAACGAACTCACTCGCCGTTACCTATCCAGTCCATCCAGCTCTACCAGCCTCCTCACAACACCCACGACGTCACTTCCCGCGAGATCCATGCTCGGGTCATCGATCTTGCTCGCTAGCGCCTCATCCAGCATCATGCGCAGCCTGCTGACAAGGACACCGATGCGCGCCCAGCCGCGCAAGCGATGGTATCCGTCGACGACGATGCCGCGGCCCAGCGTGTCCAGCGTGATGGGGCCGGAGAAGAGGAGGAGCGTGTACGCATTAAACGCTGAATTGCACATTAGCCGCTATGCCAGACGGGATTAAGAGAGAGGGAGAGAGAGCAACTTACGCGTCAAGTCCCGAATGAAAATCTTGCTCGTCGCCATCTTGGTGAAATAGCTCATGAACGTCGCGCCGCTCGGGAAGCCCTGCGCGTCGAACAGCGTGCTCGACGGATGTACAAACACGCGCCCGTTCTCCTGGTTGAAGTACTTGATCGTGCGAGCCTCTGGGTCCAGCTCCACCGCGCCAGACACCGACGCCGCGAACTTCTTGTCCGGGAAGTCTATGCGCGCGATTTGAGGGTTGAACGAGCCGGCCACGAGCGCGCGCAGCAGCGCGTCGTTCGTATTGTGACGATTCAGGTTCGCGCTCTGCTGCTGCTGCTGCTGCTGCTGTGCGGAGTAGGATGAGTATCTTAACGGAATGAAGCCTGTTTCCTGCAGCGAAGACAGGTATTGTCGCCGGTTGCTGCTGATGTCGTTGAGCGTGTTTACGCTGAGGAAGTTCTCCTCGCACCAGAAGCGCACGTCGCGCGCGCCAACGCCCTTCTCCCGCACTGCGATCCAGCTCTCGTACGCGCGTAGATCGGCAATTAAGTCGCCCTGGCCCTTGCCGAAGGACGAGCGGGCAGCTTTGGACTCTTCGCGTTTAGCCTGGGGCGAGACGAAGGGGCTGCGAATGGTGAGGATCGCGGCAATCGTAAGACAGGCCTCCAAGCAACCGAACGTTGCGCCATAGATCATGAGTTTCGCGCAACGCAGATCGGCGGGCACGACGGCCAGGTGTCTTCCGAGCGCGGTCATTTCTTCGCCATCGATAGCGCCGATGCGGCCAAGCAGGTCGACGGCGCCTTCGACCGCGATGCTGTCTGGCGGCGTGAGCGCGCCAGCGAGGAAGCTTGCAACATCCTTGACACCCATTGCCTTGACTGAGAGACACAGCTGCTCTAGCGGCACGCGTCGGATCTCCGGGTCTGGACGTTCCATCATCTGGCTCTGTTCGGCATTACGTGTATACAGCTTGTAGCATTTGCCCGCCCGGACACGTCCTGCACGACCGCGACGCTGCTTGCACGCTGCACGCGACGCCCAAGTCTCAGCCAGCTTGACCATGTTGTTCGAAGGGTCGAAGCTGGTTTCCTTGACGCGACCCGTATCAATAACAGCTACCACATCCTCGATGGTGATAGAAGTCTCGGCAACGTTCGTGCTGGCGATGACTTTTCTCATTCCCTTGGGTGCTGGAGGGAAAACGCGACGTTGTTCTGCTGGGAGAAGAGATGCGTGTAAGGGAAGGCCAAGAACGTTTGGCATCGAACGCAAAGCCTGCATTCATTGTTAGTCCGTCATCGAACTAGATACCTGTTGGAACTGGCGAAGATAGTCCAGAAAACACATACCTGTAGCGTCTTGTCGATCTCCATGGTTCCAGGCAAGAAGATCAAAATTGCGCCATCCTGGGTCCCCAACTCCGAGTCTATATGCCGTACAGTCTTCGCAATCAGGTCGTAGTTGATACCCATGCCGATACTTCTCAGCGTATCACTAATTCCCTTTTGCGCAGACCCATCGTCCCAGTCTTCATCCGTGGTGTGCCCATTGAAGCCTGTCATGCGGACCACGTCGTCGACGTAGAAGTCAGTCACAGGATGAGTGCGGCCTTGGATCTCAATCATCCCAACTGCACCGACTGCCGGCTTGAAGTAGTTTGCGAACATGTCCGCGTCAAGCGTGGCACTCATGAGAATGACTCTAAGGTCCTTGCGCTGCTTGAGGACGTCCCGAAGCAGGACGAGAAGGAAATCGGTATCGAGACTACGCTCGTGAACTTCGTCGACAACGACGTGAGTGATGTCTGCCAAAGAAGCCACAACATCCTCAGGACGACCACCAGAGGTCTGCAATCGGCGGAGCAGAACACCGGTCGTCATGAAGGTAAGCTTTGTGACGCCGTGCTTGTATCTCGACTCGCCGCGGATAGAGTATCCGACTTCGTCACCGACAGCACCACATCGCTCGTCAGCCACCCTGTCTGCTAGACCCAGCGCGGAGATACGTCGTGGTTGAGTGCAAACGATGTTCGCTGCTTCGCCGAGTTGACGTCGATACAGATCGTCCAGCACAAATTGTACGGACTGAGTCGACTTTCCGGATCCTGTCTCTCCCGAAATGATAACAACTTGGTGCTTATTCACGGCCTCTACAATAGCCTCTTCTAACTGCCACGCAGGAAGATTTTGACGAGCGCGTAACATACGCTGACCAGCTGAGCTATTAAGCCTCGACTGCCACCCTTCAAGTATACGCAAGCTGCTTGGAGTACCGGGCCGCCAGTCAACACGCCTTGGGCGGCGTTGACGACCCTCCTTCTTTTGGACTTCTTTCGTGTGCGCGCCGGTATCGGCGGCAGCAATTGCAGAGGAAACATCAGTGAGACGACCTGGATTTTCGATGACGCCGGGTATCTCATGCTCTAGCCAGTCCACAATGTTGAAGATCATTTGTTCTCCGAGGAAGCTTTCTTGTGCCTGTGCTAATACCTGTTTAATTATGCTGAGGCGTATATAAGCTGGAATCTTCGCTTGGATCGAGATGATAGGGAGGACATTCGGGTATGGACCATAAGGCTTCCGAACATGCAAGGAGAAGTCCGTTTTGTTGTCCCCAGTGACCTCAAGCCGGATCTGGCACTGATCGGGACTGCTTAAATTATACTTCTCGTCATAAATGGCCGACAGAGTAGTCTGCTCTTCAGCCCACGGGTCATCCATTTTCTCATAGGTTTCGTTGGACTCGCTCATATCCAAGCTTGAGAGTTGCTCTGCAAGCTGATCATCGCCAAGCAAACGAGCTTGTAGCAGGCCAGCTGCCTTGGCTTCATCTCCACGAAAGGCATCCAACGCCTCTTCGCAAAGTTCCACGGCATAACCGGTAGCGGCTAGGCGTTTAATGGCAGCTTCTCGTTTGAGGTTTCCACTAGCCATACTGATCCCTGCGGTATATCCCTCCGGTAAACTCCAGCTGGGGAGATCGTCCTCGGGAACATGAATAAGGAGCCATTCCAGTATTTCCTCGCGATCCTTGCAAACTTCTGCCGCTTCCTCAACATGGCTCTTGCGGAAACCAAGCTCGGTGATTTCCTTTATGACACGAGCACGCTGGTCCTTTGGCATTTGAACATTGTGCGGATTCCACACAGCATCACGTCTGATGAGGCTTTCAATTTCCGTCCTGATTCTCTTACCCATGTCGATCTTTGGTACCCGAGTCCAGCCCCGCATGAGGTTACTGTTACTGCTAGCCTGGCCTGGGCCCTTGGGCTGGTTTTGTTCCTTATCCTTTTGTTTGGCAGTCTCCTCGCGCCTCTTAGCGGCTTCGGCTTTGACAGCCTCCCGCTCCTTGAATGCCACGAAAGGATCAGCCTCGTACATCCATCCTTTCCCTTCCTTTGTGTCCGTTTTCTTCATATCCGTAAATGGTCCTTTCCAAAGGTCGCGGTAGGTGGGCGGCATCATCATGTGGATGTTCTTCATGTTGGCTACCCGGAAGAGAGTATAGGCTGCGGCAAAATGACGCGCTTCCAGGGCAGTAGGTTGGACCCCGAGATCTTGTTGTTCCACAGGAAGCCTTACTGGGGGAACTGTTGTCGTCTCCCGTGTCTTGGGGTTAGTGTACTTGAGGTTAACGTGCGCGACGAAGCCGTTCTTGACTTTGTTCTGGACTTTGGTTAGCTTGACAATACAGCCACTCTCGCCGCATATTTACAAACCATAGTGTAATCGGGCTTCTCCCATTTCTGCTTCTGACAGTGTTCAGAGAGCATGTTGACCGGGAGCTTGCCAGTCCATGATGCGCCGCCGATTATGGTGCGGGTGTCGGGCTTTGGAGGACCGGCCTCGTGCAGCTCAACAGCACTCTTTCCTTTGGCCTTGCCCTTGCTATTGTCGGAGGCTCCTTGCGCGGCATCGCTCTTGTTCTTGTTCTTCTTCGAGTCGCCCTTCGCATTGGAGAAGACTATGTAACTCGTGTCCTCGGCGTTAGCGGGAGACGGGGCGGACTTTTTGGAACCACCGCCGCCGCGCGGGGGGTGCGGGTTCTTCGGCATCCTCGTACGGGTCGAAGTGGCGAGAGTGAATGGTGTTGGGGTAGGGAATCCATCGAGATGAGTGCGCTTGGCGGGGAAGATTCGCGGGGGTGGACGAAATTCTGCCGTAGGGCTGAAATACGCAAGCTGCAAGGGTCGACGGCGACGGCATGACGCATCCACGGTACTTCCTTCCGACGACGGGCACTTCTCGAACAATCCGGTTGTGCCTGTCAACTTCGTTTGCACCCTCCAAGATTCCCTATTCGTATAGACTCTCAGCGAATAAATCTCTAGTCCGGAACATGGCCGACAGCGGCAAACACGCACAAGATGCCATCACTGAAGAGGAGATGACTGGGGAAGCCGTCTCGGCACCGGATCCGTCAACGAACAAGCGCTCCAATGCATGTGCGTAATGCGAATTCACTGCGGGTAAGGAGACCAGACTGAAGATTGACAGTTACAGAGCTCATGATGCGCAAACGGCCAAATACAACCAAGCAAAGCTACAAATCCACCTCCGTCCCAGGCGCCACCACCACCTTCTTCGGTAGAGATGGCTTAGGAGCTTACATTGCTCATCCGGAGGCATTTGGCCCGGAGCGTGTCATCTCGTACACGGATGACTGGGTTGTCATCAACGACATGTACCCAAAATCTGTCATTCATCTCCTGCTGCTGCCGCGCGACCCGGCCAAGACGCTCTTACATCCATATGATGCATTCGAGGACGCCAAGTTTCTTGAAGCCTGCAAGGCCGAGCTCGAAAAGGTCAAGCAGATTGTTGCCAGCGAACTACGACGCAGATACGGCCGAGGCTCGAAGCAGGACCAAGCACGCAATGAAGCCATGGACTCGGATGACACTCCCGGTCCGGATGAGCTTCCAGAGGGCCGTGATTGGTCGCAAGGCCTGCTCACTGGCATCCACGCATACCCCTCCATGAGCAACTTGCACATCCATTGCCTCTCGCCGGACAGAAACTCGCCCTGCTTGAAGCACCGGAAGCATTACAATAGCTTCTCGACTCCGTTCCTCGTACCTCTTGAAGCTTTCCCGCTTCCGCAGGACGACCCGCGCAGGCATCCAGGACGCGCGGGCTACATGAACCGCGAGTTCGTTTGCTGGAGATGTCAGCGCAACTTTGGGAAGAGTTTTGCAAAGTTAAAAGAGCACCTGGGAGAGGAGTTCGACGAATGGAAGACAGAGTAGATACGCAGCTAACAGGGCATAACAGGCCGGCTTATGGGTACGGATAGAACCTCGTGCAGATGAATGTACTCGTACAAAAAGCGTATTTTGTACTGCGGTGACACACTCCCTTGCATAGAACCGACGTGTAGTCCGGGTAGTGAAGGAGTGACTTGTCGACTTTCACACTTGGGTCAAATGACCAGCGCCAGAGTGCCAGCTAGAGTCTTTGACCTGCCTGATCGGAGTGAGCGCGTCGAAGGACGAAGCGTGTCTGACCCGAAGCGGCAGAGCGGCGGCGGCGACGTCGAGTCCCGTGACGGAGCGGCTGACGATATGGCTTCTCGAGTCACCCTCCCGTTATCGCCACAAAGCTGCCTCTACGCCCTCGGATGCAAAACCGTGCAACACCTACCCTCGCGCAGAAGCCTCAATGCCCCGGCGCATCTGTAGATTGGCCCCCCACACTGCCCTCGGACTCGCGTGCGGTTGATCGCCGCTTGGACAGCCCGGACCCCTCGCTCTTATCTTGAACCGCTGCAAACCGAGCAAAACCAGCCATGGACGCGACCACCATGGCCAACGCGACGCCCTCAGACTCGCATGCTGCTCTTAGCACCTCACCGCCGGCCAAGTCTCTCTCCCAGTCGCAACAGCACACCAGGACTTACCAGGCATGCATACCCTGCCGCCGCCGGAAGGTCCGATGTGACCTCGGCCCCGTCGACAATCCCCACGAGCCGCCGTGCGTCAGATGCCGCCGCGAGAGCAAGGAATGCTTCTTCTCCGCGACCAGGCGGAAGCGCAAGCCTCAGGACGGCGGCGAGGGCATCGACGACGATGGCCCCTCCGACTACGAGGTCCGCAATGGTCGCAAGCGGCTCAGAGATAGCATCGACAGTACCCCGCGACACCCCGCCTTGCCCACCATCAACGCCAACGAGGCCGCTGCCTACGATGCCGCCGGTACCGACCAACCTCTGACTCCGGGAGGCTCCGTCGGCCGATACCAGCCTTTGCGCCGCCCTACCGATCCCCAGTTGTCGACGCAGGACGATGCGCAGAAGGTCAACAACGAGACTACGGCGATACTACAATCCAAGGAAGTCTTCAGTGGACACGACGCCCTGAACCTGCTATTTGAGGCCGCTGGGCGGACTGGTGACATGGATCACGACGCGCATGGGAGCACGACCAGCCAGCAGCGGCCCATGTCCGTCAGCGGCAACACCCCAGGGTCACAGGCGAACCTGACGAGCCCCGCGACGGTAGGAGCGCGACCTTACACTAGTCCCACGATGGCGCGGTCTACAGTTGAGCCTGTAGTGGATCCGGCGATTTCACAATCATATACCAATGAAGACGGTTTCGACGAGGCGGGGTATCAGTCGGCTATTAGAGCTTGGTCAAAGTTCCGCTTCGTGCGCGCTGGGTGGTTCACAGCCAAGGAGGCTCTTGCCTACATGGACTACTTCTACAAGTACCTCTCGCCATTGACGCCGATTGTGGTCCCGAATTTCGAGCGCTATGAGAGCCACATCACTCTGCTCACAGAGGAACCGATGCTCGTGGTTACACTGCTAACAGTGTCCTCTCGCTACATGACTCTCACCGGGCCGGGGTCGAGTTCACGGCCTTTCGCAATCCACGAGAAGCTCTGGAATTACCTCCAGGGCATGATTGACCGGATGATCTGGGGTCAAGAACAATTTGGTGGTGGTTTCTGCGGAGCTGGCGCCCAGCAAAGCTGCGATGTAAATCCTCTGTCCCGTAAAGGACTCCGTGCACTTGGAACCGTGGAAAGCCTTATGCTGTTAACGGAGTGGCACCCACGTGCCTTGCACTTCCCTCCGGGGGACGATGATGATGAACTCATGGCCCGTGAAGAGCCAGTCTCTTTTGCGGAAACCAACAGCAACGAGCAATACAGGGGTATTGGGGGGCAACGCATCGACAGCTGGTTAGAACCTTGCTGGCGTAGCGACCGGATGTGCTGGATGCTCCTTGGTAACGCACTGGCGCTGGCCTACGAGATTGGTGTCTTTGACGAGACGAGCGAGGCAGAGTTTCAGGAAGAGAACAAGAACCTGCCACCGGCCAAAGTGGAAGCATATTTCCGCAGGAAAAACCACCTTAAAGAACTCCTCTTGATTTACATCACCCAGACCAGTGGCAGGGTCGGCCTTACCTCAATGCTGCCCCGATCTCAGAGGGATGCATCATTCCTCAAGAGCCCTGACGAGCGTCTGCATGAACGGTTCGAGGTTCTAAAGAGAACGGGGCGAATCATACGCGAGCAGTCCGGAACCTCACCCGGTAGGGAGCGGAGAATCAACAGCCAAGAAATGGTTCTGTATTTCTGGATGGAGATTGCTGCCATTATGGAGCGGGGCAATCAGCAGATGTTTGGTAACCGCCGGCATACCAGGGAACTAATCAAGTCTGAGGAGTACAAGAAGCTACTTGCTGAATTTCAACCAATGCTTCGGAGCTTCAGGGAGCATTTGGACAGATACCGCCATCTCAGTAAGTTGAACACTCCAATACCGTAGGATTTCATTGTTGTTAACGAGACATAGTACCCCCGTTGATGTGTGACGTCTTGACGATCGAATACGAATATAGCCGTGTGTACCTCAACTCTCTCGCTCTACAAGCTGTTGTAGAGCGATGCATACATAACCCTCTACAAAACAATGTCGGTGCACCGCCCAATGGGACCCCCCTTGGCTCTCTCCCTTCTGCCAAGGACCCTGGTGCCATACCCGCAGCGTTGTTAATGAGGATGTATGGCAACGATCGGTTTTTCATCCGGGAAGTCATTGACGGCTGCCGCAATGTCTTGACAGTTGTTGTCAAAGGACTGGAGCCAGGCGGCTACCTCAAGCATGCACCTGTCAGGACCTTCTTCCGGATCATCTCCGTCGCCATCATCCTACTTAAGACGTTCGCGCTTGGAGCGACTGAAGACGACGTTGCCATCTCGCTTGGACTGATGGAAGAAGCAGTCTCAGCGCTGCGCGGCTGCATCGTCGACGATGTGCACGTCGGCAACCGCTTCGCCGACCTCCTCATGACGCTCATAACATGCATCAAGTCGCGGTTTGTGCGCATGACCACCGGCGGCTCAGGGCGAGCCTCGATGCAAGCCTCGCGTGCCACGAGCCAGAGCCCTAATCCCCCGGGCATGCCAGGCGTAGCCTCGCAACAAGCGCCAGACGGTTTAGGGCGGCCACCGCAATTCATGCCACCACCAGGCCAGGGCTACCCCCACGTGGGCAACAACGCCAACGGCGCGGCGCCGCAGTGGCCTGCCTACGGCAGCAGCAATAGCGGCCTCGCGACCCCCGACGGCACCGGCACCGGCACACGCACCCCCAGCCTCTCCCAGAATCACCCCCTCTGGGGCATCAGCACCGAGACGTACGACCCCTCGGCTAATAATATTAGCATCATGCCCCCGCCGTCGTTCGGCATGGGCAGCCCTTACCAACCGCACAACCACATGCTCGACGGCCACAACGGACCGCACTTCGGCGGTAACGGCAACAACGGCGGCGGCGGTGGCGGCGCCAACGGTCTCGGCGACGGGAACGCCTACGGCACGTCTCCTTCGGGGGGCGGCGGGCCGAATTCCAGCCACGCTGGCAACGGCGCCCCTGGTGGTGGCGGGCCGGGCGGGCCGGACTGGCTCGCGCTGCCGCTTGATCCGCTGCTGAATGGGTTTGGGCCTGTGGACGTTAATGCTACGACGTTCGGGCCGGATGTCGGTGGGTATGATCTCTTGGATGTACTGCTGAACGGGTCTGGGCTAGATGGGTTAGGTGGGAATGGCGGGGGTGGGGGAGGAGGCGGGCCTGTTGGGCATGCGGCGTAGGGCGTGGTGAGGGCGTGGAAGGGGATTGTGCTGTGTGGTTGGTGTGGAATTTATGGTGTGGTGTGGCAGGCGCGGCGTTGGTGTGGGTGGAGTTTCTTTTATGTGGGATGCATGGCGGGTGTTGGAAAGGAGGGAGGCTGTTGTCGTCCATTGCGTTTTGTCACTGGCATGCCACCACCACCGCCGCCACCACTATCACGGCCAATGACACCGCCATGAGCACTATCGCTCGTATTTGACTCAAGAGGCAGGCACTGCCTGCTTGGGGGATACGCGCTGTTGTCTTCTCACCTGGCCATCGATCACCCTCCTCACGGACTCACACACACACACACACACACACACACACCGGCAACAGGCACAGCCCACGCACCTGCATGCGCAAGCACGCATTTCTCACCCACCTACTCCAGCGTTCTCTTCTTGTCGTATACTTTTTTCTGACCTTCTTTCTCATTACCTTAGTTCGCTGGCGGCTGCTCCTGCCGCAGCTGCTGCTTTTGCTAGATACCCCCGACAAACGGACAGGAGGGCGGCGGTGGGTTGTAACGCTGCTACTGTTGCTGCTGCTGCTTCGTTCGTTGTCGGAACTACATTTTATGGACGGTCCTTTCCTGTGAATATCCCTTTTCCTCTTTTTGCTTTTTCCGTTGTAGCTGGCTTCTTGGTTCGTTCGTTCGTTCGGCTGCTTGCTTGTTTGGTGCCTGCTTGCGTGCGTGCGAGTGCGCTTGCGCGGCGCTTGCTGGCGCGGATATATGCCAACGCACGGCTTGCGCGGTGAGTATCTGGTTGGATGGATGGTTGGTTGAGCGGCTGAATGGTCGTGGAGTGTTGAACTGGTATGCTTGCTTCGCGTGACTGCGCTGCACTGCGCTGCGCAGTGCTTCTGTGCACCTGTGCGGCTCGCAGCGGGTTTGGAGTTGCGGGTTACGCGGTAGGGTTGGGTGAGATGGGATACATATACGCTGCCCGGTGAGATGGGTACGGCTGAAGCAGGTGGGTGCTTAGGTGGGCGAGTGCGCCTGTGTACGTTATGGTACTGTACTATGCCCTTCTGCTGCTGCTGCTGCTGCTGCTGCTTTGCTGCTTTGTGTTGTGTGCGCGTGTCTATGGTTTTTGCTTGATTGCTTGCCTGTCTAGGTGCTTGCCTGTTTGTTTGTCTGTCTGCTGGTTTACGTGTTTGGGCAGCTGTGTATGTGTGGTGTTTGTTGCTTGTAGGATGGTTGGGTGAAGGTTAGATGTGGGACGAGGGTTAGGGTAGTTGGTGCTAAGCTTTTAATTGTTTTGGTAGGATTAAGTGAGCTAGAATGGCGGGTGTGGTTGCTACAGTGGTGGATTGCCTTTTGGTGAGCAGTCTCGCTAGGGGTGATGTGCTTTGATATCTAGGGCGGAACGGGTGTGTTATGCGGTAGAAAAGGGTCAGTTAGGAATCTATACTATAGGTTGCGTTTAGTAATTACTAGTGTATATTAATTATTATACGTATATATAGGTAGATATAAACATGACAAAGATACTATAGCAGGGAATAATAGCACTATAAAAAGAGGCGAAAGATAATACCAATAGCTAAACAAATGCCAATATAAAAACCTCTCTATACACTACACTCTTCCCTCTTCATCCCACCACCCAAACCCCCCAACCCAACCCAACTCAGTCCTACACCTCCCCTCTCCTCCCTCAGCAAACACTCACCCATCCACCGCATCCTACACACACACCCACCAACCCAGCCCATCCAAACCCCACCAGCTTGCCATGTCCAGACGTCCAGACCCAGGCCCAGCCTAGACCGCCATATATGCCGTGCGTAAGACGTCAACGCCAACGCCAGCGCCAGCGCCAGCGCCAACATTGCCACCGCCACCAAAAGCCGCGCTGGCACGACCGGAAGGGCAGGCAGGGCTGGGCTACGCCTTGTGACCTCTACTACATACTCTACGTGTAGCCATGCCATAGCATGCCAGGTCAGCCGAGCCGAGCCGAGCCGCGCCGTGCCGTGTCTGTGTACGCGTACGTGTACGTGTGCCGCACACGGCGGAGCAGGTGGTGGTGGTGAGGTGTGTGTGGGCTGGGCTGGGCTGGGCTGTGCGGCGTGAGCTGCGCTGGGGCGTGTGTGGTGTGTGAGAGCTACCACGATGTGGTGTGGTGTGTATGGTTACGGGCAGGACAGACAAGACAAGGCAGGGCAAGGCAACCCGCTCAGCAAGCAAGTTAGTTAGTTAGTTAGTTGTTGGCAAGTTGGATGTTGGGATGATGGCAGCAAGGAAAGAAGGCTGATAGGTACCCAGCTGGATGAGTGTGGTAGACGCAGCAACAATGATGATGGCACGGCCACTCCCACCTAGCTGGCCAGCAAGACCGCGCGCACCCGTCCGTACTCGTGCACCACCACCATCCACCACCACCACCACCATCATCATCGTGCATCTCAGCACGCGCATGTGTCCGCGCACAAAAAACAAAAAACAAAAAACAAAAACCCAAAGATCCCAGACCCCAGACTCAAGGCCCAGGCCCAGACCCGTAACTATAGATTCCGCGACATCTAGAGCACGGAAACTAGGAGTAACTTTATGTGCAGAAAAGCAAAAAAACAAAAAACAAAAAAAGAAAAAAAAAGCAACACCACCGGCCCCGCTACATATGAGCCTACTCCAGTGCCAAAAAGCCCGCGCTATCGTGTGTGTATTGTACCTCGTAGCACGCAAGCAATAAAGCAGACAAAGCAAACATCAAAGTAGATTAAAGCCATCGTTCGGTTTTCGCAGCTCCTGATGCGCGCTCTGCTGCGCTGCCGCGCTGCACCACTACTCCACCACTGCTTGCTTGCTGCCATCTCCGTCGTCTATCTATCTATCCATATGACACCGCAGTCAATCTATCCAGCCGCAGCTACAACCCGTATTTCCAACCCAAGCCCACAAAGCAAGATTGCGCCGCGCGCTGCTGCGCTGCGCCTGCGGCCCGTCGTACACCACCACGAGCCAGGCAGCCAGCCCTAAAGCTAACACATGCAAAAAAGCACGTAGCGCTTACATGCCCTACCCTGACTCACGCCCTCAACTCTCACTTCACCCCTCCCCTCCGCTTCCGCTACCAAAAAAGCCAACAGAACCCATGGCCTGCCCGGACCGAAGACAAGCTTTCAGCCCCGCCCCGCCCTGCGCCTCCCCACACGGCTGCCCACTCCTTCATCAGCTCCCACATCCCTGACCACCCCAATCGCCTGCACCGACCTCAGCGCGCCCCCCTCCTGCGTGCATCCCGCATCCCCCCACGCCAGCGCCTGGCTCGGCTCCGCGACCACGGCCCCGCTCCACGCCTTTCCGTCAGCTGCAGCTGCTGCAACTGCTGTGCTGCCGTCGCCCGTCTTATTGTTGCCGCCCTCTTCCGATAGAGTGGGTGGTAGCGTTGCGGAACTGCCAGCTGAGGCGTTGCTAGTCGTGCTCGGGGCGCGGCCGAGCTGGCGCTTGCGGCGGTGGTTGCCGGGCTCGGTGCTCGAGTGCGCAGACCCGGGACGCGACGCAGTGGCTTGCTGCTGCTTCTTCTGGGCTATGAGCGCGGCAATCGTGTCATTGAGGGTAGGAGCGTTTGCTGAGCTGACCGCATTGCTCGAGCTGGCCCCGGATTCGGTCGGAATGTTTGCCCTTTCCGTTCTTGTTGTGTTAGAGGCCGGGTTAGGGTTAAGGTTGGTATTGTCGCGGTTGTCGGTTGTCGCTGAGTATGGCGGCGGCGGGCTCCTCGTTTGTCGCACCGATCTGAGATCAGCCGCGGTATCCGCACGGCGCAGCGTTGATGAGTGCCTGCGCTGGCAGTTCCGCGCTGATGACGAGAGCTCCTGGAGAGGATTTTGGGACGTGGCGCCATTGAGCGCTGAGACGCCTGCCCCGACATCGCCGTTCTCGCCATCACTGCCCGAGTCATAGAATGGTCCTGCGCGTTTCGCAGTGTGTGGCACATAGATCGAATCCTTGTTCGTCTTGGTCAGGCCTGCATCTGGACGAGCGGCCGCGACTGCTCTGTCACCGTTCAAAGAGCGGGTGTGCAACCTGCAGGAATTCGTCAGCGATTCCCAGCATGCTTTGCGATGATCGGCACCAAAACAGTAAGTAACCAGGGTGCGGTTGATAAGACAAGCACTATAGGAAAGGTCATGCGGAAATTATTGCGCGTTACTTGCCGAAACGGAACTCCGACTGAGCATCGAACTAACATACCTTTCCTTTTTTGACCCAACGGCTGCAGGCCGTGCAGGATCATGACGAGGGTGTGACTGAACAGCCGGATCTCTGGAATGCTGCCCCGATGGCGTGAGATGATAACCATCCAATGGCTTCAGCGAAGCCGAGGCAATACACGCCCACAACCATTCTGCAGATACAACAGGGATTGATTGATCGACACAGAACTTGATCTTGTGGCTGGTTGGCGAGAACGCACCACAGATTAACAGCTTTGTGTCATGGCTCAGAGCTTCAGCAAAGGTTGCTCCTATTTGCATAATGTTAGAGAAATGATGGAGCGAGCTGTTGGACAATAGGCTCACCCATGAGTTTGAGAACTTTGTAAACATGCAAACGATCGAAATCCACAAAGCCAGAGACGGTGATAGTCATACCACGAAATACTGCAATATGTCAGCAATAGTCACACGCGCTTAAATGAAAACTTACCAGGGGTGCGGAGCTGGGGTAGCGGTCTACATAGCATCTCGACGTTCGGATCTGCGAGCTTTTTGTGGTGAAGGCATAGCTCCACCCACCACTCATTGACCTGGTTTAGCTTTCGAGCGCGCTGTGGGACACCTTCAAACTGGTCGTGAGTCACATTGTACGGGAGAATGACAAAACCCATGTCCAAATCTCGATCAGAGAGCAGATCTAGACTTTCTGGGCTTTTTGCAACTCGAGCGCCATTATCGGCTAGAAATTTTTCGAGAATATCAAACTGCAATGCCTTGTCAGCCGAATCCTCGCCTTGTGTCAATAAAACATACCTGGTCCTTCGTGAACCCATGCATGTAAATAAACCTCCCAGCAAATATGCCCCGGGTCTCCACTGGACGTTCAATGGGAGCATTCTGCGAGTTGAGTTCAACCATGCTGGCGGCCTTCCGAAGTGGAGCGCGGCTCTCCGGGGCTACGGCTTTATCAGCGGTTGAGGCGTGAGGCTTGAGCTCTTGCCATAAATCATCCCCCTCCGGTCTGGCAGAGAAGCTACCGCCGCTCGCGATGTCATTCCATATCGCCGAACTTTGGCTTCCAAGCTTCGTGCTGGCTGTGCGTCTTAGCTTCCGTCGGCCTTCTCCTTCTCCCGTCTCGGGTGGGCGCATTCGCTTTCCAATGGGTGTTGTTTCGTCCGGCACAAGTTTAAAGGCACCTATACCGCGCTGTTCTGGGGGCAGCACGGGATCGTACAGAGACTCGTCCAGAGCCATTTTCCTCGCAAGACTTTCGGTGAACCACTCCAATGACACTGTTTTGACATTCCATAACTTTGCGTGTGTATATTTTTGGCCTTGCGGTTTCCGCGTGATAAGGTGCGTTACAGACTTTGTTAGGTCGCCCGAGTATAAAGCGCCATTCGCGGTAATCTTGTCTTGAAGGTATTGTCTTTGGTAGACTAGGTAATGTTAGTTGGAAAGCCAATGAGCTCACGCGCCGCCACTTACGGTCATCGAATCCAGTTACACATATACGCAAATCATAAAACGTTGGCGCTCGATGAGTCTCTTCCAGGACGGCGACGTCGGTATCCCCTCCCTTCAACCATGACTCGCGAACAGCCTCTAGCCATTGCGGCAGCACGACCTTTACGTCAGGGCGCTCCTTGGCGACATACTTGTACTTGGGCGTGAAGATGTGGCCGATTACGAGATGGGTTACGTCCGAGGTCAGGTCGTACTTGTGGGCAGCGCCCATTTCGATTGCCCATTTTGCCAACTCTCCCTATAAGTGATGTTTTTAGTAGCGATTGGGGGGTGGAGGGCGGTAGGCTTACTCGGTGGTCCTGGTCGATGGCGGTGCAGCACAGGATGACGCCTGCGAGCGGCGACTGAGCCTTGGCTGGGAGAAAATTAGCATTGAACACGGATAGTAGAGCACGAGCGTAGGTAGTACCCTGATCAGCGGGGAGCGGCATCCTGTGAGGCCGAGAGACACCCAAGTGGAGTCGGGCTGCTAGGTTGGGGGAGTGGAAGACGTGCTAAAACGCGGGCGGTGTTGGCCGAGTCGAGGCGCGTCGGACGCGTCAGTCACGTGGCGGGGAGTGGGCTGAGATGCCTTCCCTCCCGGTGTCGGACGGGAGGCGCCCATCGTTTCCCACAGCCAATCCCCACATTCTCTGTCCTCATAGCGCTCATCTTTTCGTGGTCGTCCCCGCGCAAAACGTCACCGTCACGTATTGTGGTGACCGCTATTCGTCAGAAAAGGGCAGCGATGTTCGATGGCGAGAGAGCCTCCCCACGGCGCCGTCGCGCTGACGATGGCCTGCCTATCTTTTGTTTTGGCCTGCGAGCAGCGGCGACCGTTGGGCCCCCATCCTGTTCGGTAACCCCAGATGCAGATCCTGCACCCTTTGGACCGCAGGGCGCTTGGCGTCGGCGGGAGGACACGAGGGTTTCCCAAGTCGCAGCCCTGCGATTGCCACCGAGGCTCGGGAATAGATCTCATGACGTGGTGCAACAGGGGGACGACCATCGCATTATTCCCCGCGTCAAGTCACAGTCAACTGTCCCATGCATGCAAACCATGGTACGGCGCGCGCAGCTGGCAGCTGTCCGCTCGTGGATGCTGCATCCGAGGATTCCGGCTTGGGCGCATCTAGAGCGCGATTGATGTCACGGCTAGGCTTCTCTCGGGCTGGCAGGAGGCGCCGGATGGCAGCACGAATCTCAAATATGGCCGGCTACAATACAAAGCCTTTGGATCGTCCTGCATTGCTGACGTGCAGTCTGCACGTAGCGCCTGATGAAGCCTCTCATAAGGCCTTCCCTCCCCCAAGCACTCGCCGATCAGTCCGTGCAGGCAGTGCGACGACTGCGCGTCCGCTCCGCAAGCCTCTCTTCCCTGCCCGACCCCATTTACCTGTTTGTCGCCGGCGCGTCGTTTTAAGCAAGGAGCAGCGGTCCCTACGACTTTTGCCAGCGCATGACCGCACGCATCCACCCTTGACCGCCCCAAAAATCCGAGTAAAAGGTACGGCGGCATGAGAACCGTTGTTTCCACGAGCCATTTTCGCTGTTGTAAGTAGCACCATCACGCCCTCCCACCCTCACCTCTTCCTTTGTACGTCCTGCCTTTAATACCTCGTCTGCGTCGCGACCCGCGTCTCCGCTGGCCGATGCCTGCTTGCGTGGATGTCCCTTTCACTTGCGTCGAGACGTCTCGCAACAATTGTGCATATCAACACCTGCCCTGCTCCCCCGTGTCCCTGCATGCGCGCGTCCGTCGTCTCTGCTCCTCCTCCGCTCCTCTCCGCGACATCTGAAACTCACACCAATTTCCATAATGACAGAGTATCTCCGAGTTCATACCGAGAGGGGGCGCTTGTCCTATTTGCCTGACCAGCCTGAGCGCCACTCGTGCTGCGCTTTATCTCCCGCCGAACTCTTCCAGACTCGCAGTCCGCTCTTCAACCCACGCAGTCGCCGGCCCCAGCGCATCCACATCGCCCGCGTCCCTCCCGATTACTCTCTCGCTCGTAAAAAATCTCGACGAGGCCGTCCGGTGGTCATTGAAAAGCTGGCGGGCCCACGGGAAAACGCGAAACGCTTCCTCACTGCCTTCTTCTCTCCCCACCTCGGCGAGAAATCACCTACTCCTACCCGCCCTCCGAGTTTCAGCGCCGAGGATCCTGGCTCTTCGTTGTCCACGGAGAGCCAGAGGGAACCGTCGAGCGACACAATGCGCAGCTTGCCGAGGAATACTGCAGGGGGACCGGTCGACGGAGCCGTTGCTAGGCCGCCGCTCATTGATAGTGTCAGATCGACGTCTAGTCAGACGAGTAGCAATCGCAAGAGCATCATCTCTTCATTCACGAGAACCATACCGGACGATAAGCCGCTAGCGACAGGAAATGGAATTAGTCTGGGAATCTCGTTGGCGGAGCCTGTTCTGTTCCTTCAAGGATTTGAGCACACGGAGCACTCGGAAAGGAGTACTGCGATGCTCAGAGGCAGCCTGCATCTGAGAGTCTCAAAAAGCACAAAGATCAAGGCTGTTAGCCTGAAGTTCAAGGGCCGTGCAGTCACTAAATGGCCTGAAGGTGCGTCGTCGATTTACGGCGTATCAACCAAACGTAGTGGAAAACTAATAGTTTTTGCAGGTATTCCGCCGAGGAAAACTGACTTTGAAGAAGTGGACAACATCATGAGCCACACATGGCCGTTCTTCAACGCCCAATTCCCCACTGCGGAGTCCGGACCGTGCGCGGATCATATCGAATTGTACGATCGCTCCGCAACTCACCTCGCTGTTCCCGGTAAGAGCGTTAGCAAACTGTCGTTTGACTCGTTTTCTCCAATGAGCTCGAGTACGAATCTCAGCACCAAAGACCAAAAGAGGCTATCATTACAAGTGAACCAATCGAGGAGCTTTGGCAAAGGTGATTCGTCTTCTGGAGGGCCCACTGTTGCGCAAAAAGGTTATAGGACGTTTCAACCTGGCGACTACGTCTATAATTTCGAATTGCCGCTTGATAGCCATCTTCCGGAAACGATCGACGTAGAACTTGGGTCTGTTAAATACGAACTCGAAGCCGTGGTGGAACGTGCCGGTGCTTTCAGAGCCAATCTGGTTGGAAACAAGGAAGTGGTCCTCATCCGGGCACCAGCGGAAGGCTCTCTCGAGCAGGTCGAACCTATCGCCATTAGCCGGAATTGGGAAGACCAGCTGCACTATGACATTGTCATCTCCGGGAAATCTTTCCCACTGGGTTCGCAGGTGCCTATCGCTTTCAAACTCACGCCGCTTGCCAAAGTGCAATGCCACAGGATAAAGGTGTTCGTTACCGAAAACATCGAGTACTATTGCAACAACAAACGCGTGCATAGGATAGAGCCAACGAGGAAAGTGCAGCTGTTCGAGAAGAGGGCAGACGGACCGGCAAACAGTACGTATCCCGGAAGCTCTATGAGGATCATCTCAGGCGGTGGTGTCCCATTCGACCAGAGAGCTGCTGCGGCTCGGGGAGACGTAGACAACCTCACTCTCCAAGATTCGACGAATCTACTTGGATGTCTTGACGGTGATAACAATATTGGCCCGACGGAGATGGAGTTTAGCGTCCAGTTGCCCAGCTGTCACACTCAACGTGAGAAGGGAGAGAAGTTCCAGAAGCTGCACTTTGATACGACGTACGGCAACATTCAGGTGCACCACTGGATAAAGGTGAGTTCAGTCCTCTGTTCAGTATTGGTTCTATCGGCTAACGGTCTACGCAGATTGTGATGCGTCTGTCAAGGCCCGATCAAAACGACCCCGGAAAGAGACGGCATTTCGAGATCTCTATCGACTCGCCGTTCCACATCCTTTCCTGCCGGGCTACTCAGGCCAACACTGCACTGCCGGCTTACTCGTCTCCCGAATCCGGTGACGGTATCTCGACTCTTCCGGAATGCGGCTGCCCCAATGCCCCTGTACGACGTGGCTCTCCTGCATCGTTTTTACCTACGATCAATGCGCTCAATTCAGCTCGCACAACCAACGCCGTGGAAGTTCCAAGTCCCGGACTCGCAAGACCGCAGGCAGCGCACATTGGGGGTCCAATTGTCCCGCAGTTGCAAAGACCCATTCATCTCGTGCGCGCGCCCTCGTTTAATCCACCCGCCTTTGAGGATGAGGAGCCGCCTCCGCCTTTGCAGACGCCGCCGCCGGAGTATGATTCGATTGCGAGCCCGACCAGCGGCCTTGCTGACTACTTTACGCGACTGTCCGACGCTTATGATGATGACAGCGACGGGGAAGGAAACACAGTGCGGACGCCGGGTCGGGTTGAGGTCCCCCTCACTCCCGGCAGCCGGGTGAACCGCAGCATGGACGAACAGCGATCATGGGTACCCCTCGGCCATATCGCGCAATAGCGCAAGGCGAAGAAGGGTCTCTTGACATGCGACATGCGACAGAACACATATTTACGATCTTCAACGATTCTTGACGAAATGGACATACATACATGTACGAAGCAAAATGGCAAGAGTGGGTGGGGTGGTGGGGTGTGGGCCAGGGTTGATTGCGGGGAAGGTTCGCATGGTTTTAGTTCTCGGATATCTTTGCTCGCACGACAGCGGAGCTTTGCATGCATAGCCGGCGTTGTGTGGAAGCGGGCCGGAGTTTATTGTAGCTATAGACGGAGGGAGTTTTTTTTTTTTTTTTTTTCGTGTTTTTCGTTTTTCAGGTCAACAGCGCGCCAAGGCTGGGGGTCCGCCGGTAATGCGAAATTATTATTGTACAGCAAATAAATTGACAAGCGTGTTGATAAGTGCGAGAGGAGACGCGTCGGTGGCTTGGAAGGCAGGCCCAATCAGACGTGGGCAGACGACCCCGCCGGCCTTGGTGAGGTGTTGATGTTCATGCTCCCCTGCGCCCACAGCTCCTCCGTCCTCGATCCGCAACAACCGTCTGGGCACGCAGCTCGAGTCAGGCAGCGGTGAGCCGCAAGGCAGACCATCCAGCGCGGCCACGGCGCAAGCACCACGGTTCCGCGGCCATTATGCGAGCCAAGGAGCCGCCAAGAGGCCCAAGGCCGTGGCTCCGCTGCCACGAGCGAGGCTTCCTACAAAAAAGCCGTCACGGCACTCTCGGTCCTCGCCACGGTTCTCTCCCTCCCCGAGCTGCAGAGCTCTCGCGACTTGGCGCCAACTCGACGATTGACAGAGGCAGTGTTGCGCTCGGCTTGCCGTTGGAACCGTTCAGTCGAACCCGTGGTCCCCGCACGGCCTTTTCCGCCCGCCGCATCACCGTCATCGCGAAAAGAATACCGCCGAACCCTCTCAGAAATCCTCCACCGGCCAGCCAACCCCCGGCCAACTAGGTCAGCCAAGCCCTGGGCCACGAAAACGTCTTGCGTGAGCCTCAATCTCTGACCGGCACAACTTCCGACCACCTGCTCCACCTTCCGTCTACTTATCGCGCCACGCCCGCACGAGGCCAGACCGGAGCGGCGACTGGGCGCGACCAGTTCACATATGCTGTCGACCACCGCTACTACTCCCTCGCGCGACCCCAGGGGCCTTTCCCCCACATAAGTCGAGAAACGATCGACTCCCCCCGAGGCACACCGCCAAACATACCCTGCCTACAAAGACCCTTTCAGTCTTTCCCGTCTCCCGACCACCACACGCGTAGCAACCAGCCAACATGGCGTGGCACCACCTGGAAATCACCCGGCCGCACCTGGTCTACATCATCCTGGGCGGCTTCACCAGCCTGTTCATGCTGTGTTCGTCCGTCATCAAGGAAAGACTGTACATTGGCGAAGCCACGGTAGCCACCCTCTGCGGTATCATCTTCGGTCCCCATGCCGCCAACCTGATCAATCCGTTGGACTGGGGCAACACCGACCTCATTACCCTGGAGTTTTCCCGCATCGTCCTGGTCGTCCAATGCTTCGCCGTCGGAGTCGAATTGCCAAAGGCCTACATGGAGCGCCACTGGCGCTCGCTGTTTGCCCTCCTCGTTCCGGTTATGACATTCGGCTGGCTCATTACCAGTCTTTTTATTTGGGCATTGATGGGACACAAGCTGAACTGGCTGGATAGTTTGTGTTGCGCGGCTTGCGTCACGGCCACTGACCCTGTGCTTGCCTCGTCCGTCGTTGGTAAAGGCAAGTTCGCGAAGCGTGTGCCGAAGCACTTGCGTGACTTGCTCTCTGCCGAGTCTGGCTGCAACGATGGCATGGCCTTTCCCTTCATTTACCTGGCCGTCTACGTCATTCGCTACCACCACCACCCGGAGGAGGTCTCGTTGCATTGGTTCTGCTACACCATTCTTTACGAGTGTATCTTCGGCGCTGTCTACGGTGTCGTCATTGGCTATATCGCCAGGCGGCTGATCCGTTACGCCCACGAACACGACCTCATCGATCGAGAGAGCTTCCTCGTGTTCTACTTTGTATTGGCCCTATTCTGCGCCGGTTCCGGAAGTATGCTCGGCATGGACGACTTGCTGATCGGTTTCGCATGCGGAGTTGGCTTCAGTAACGACGGATGGTTCCTGGAAAAAACCGAAGAGGCCCATGTTTCGAACGTTATCGATCTGCTCATTAACTTGGCTTTCTTCGTCTACTTCGGCACTATCATTCCTTGGGAGACCTACAACGACGCCGCTCTGGGCATCAGCCCGTGGAGACTGGTCGTCATTGGTATACTGGTCCTTCTTTTCCGCCGGATTCCCATTATGGTCGCTATGAAACCGCTGATTCCAGACATCAAAACGTGGCGCGAGGCTTTATTCGCAGGTCACTTTGGACCTATCGGCGTGGGCGCCATTTTCGTCGCTATTTTGGCTAGAGCTGAGATGGAGCATATTGTAGAAGGAGGTTCGGAGCCCACAGACGAATTCCCGTCTGCCGCGGAAAACGGCCATCTCAACATCATTACGCTCATCTGGCCCATTACCACGTTTTTGGTTATTTGCTCTATTCTAGTTCATGGATCTTCGATTGCCGTATTTACGCTCGGAAAGCATATCAACACGCTCACTCTCACCCTGTCTTACACGCAGGCGAACGAAGAGGGTCCTTCATGGATGGACAGACTTCCGCGCATCCAGTCGCGCTCCAAGAGCTCTATGTCTCTGCGCCGGCCAGACGAGACGGATTCTTCTTACGACGAAAAGGGAGAGTTTGCGCCAGGCACTCTTGGGCCTCTCGGTATTCCTGGTAACTTTTTGCGCCGCCAAAAGGATGATGACACTCACAGTCGCTCCTCAAGTCTTCGACCTCGCAACCGCAAGAAGTGGGAGGGAGTGGGCCCTGGAGGACCGATTAGTCAATCTGCCATTGCTCCTCAACGTCGTCGCGAACACGATCCGGCCGATCTTCCAGACCAAGCGAAGACTGACTCGGAGGCGACCGCGCTCAACAGCGATGAATCTCCGGAAGAGATCGAAAAGGAGGGAAGGTCCCAGTCTCCAGAAGAGGAGATTTACCAGGAAGGCTCTCACACGATTTTCGAGGATGAAGAAGGAAATGTTCTTGAGGTGCATGACAGCAAGGGCCAAAGCCCCGAACAACGTGCCAAATACGCCAAGGAAGAAGGCCGTAGGCTTATGCGAGAGAGGGACATTCAGGGTGGCGTTGCACAGACAGAAGACGACCACAAGGTCGACGAAGGTGCCAAGATTGGCCACGAAATCAAGGACGGCGTCGAGCATCCCCAACGTCATTGGCGCGACATGCGGCACCGTCTACAGCGCCGCCATACCGAAGGCACACCACCTGTCCCTAACGAGAAGGAGAAGAAGAAACCGAAGCGCGGTCCAGCTCTGGCGTACCAATTTGGTAACACCATCATTGTCGAGGATGAGGATGGTGAAGTCATCAAAAAGTACGACATTCCGGGACAGCAGAAGAAGCAACAGCAACAACTAGAAGGAAAGGAAGTCCCTGCTGGCGAAGCCGGCAAGACACGCCAACGCTTGCACCGCATGGGCACGCTTCTCGGCATGTCCCACGAAGATGCAAAGGCAGCGTCTCAAGGCCAGGTGGCGGACAACGGTGAGGGTCCCAGCGGTACCAAGAAGGCTGCCAAGGCGGCCGAGCGTGAAGAGAAGAAGAAGAAGAGGATAAAGGAGGAGGAAAGTGATGACGAGCACATCCGATTCACGGTCAATGCGGGTGGTCAACGCATGAGCAAGGCCGAGTTCATCGCTCAGATCCAGAAGATGGACCCCAAAGCGCGCGCCAAGATGGTGGAGAACAGCAACGTACCCGACAGCGTCAAGAAGGAGGCACGCGCGGATGCGCGCGAGGCCACGGGCTCGTCGAAACAACCAGAGCAGCGCCAGACCAAGGCCAAGGATGGAGAGGAGCGTGGCCGCAAAGCTGCGCCGCGCGCCCAAACAGACACCATCCCAGTCAGCGAAGAAGGCCAAGCGGTCGTCCGGAGCGTTGGATCGGATGAGCGGGAACGTCGCCCCACGGGCCCCGACGGCCTCATGCTCATTGACAGTGACGACGAGGAAATCCCCTTCCACAACATTCACGACGACCTCGAGGCCCACGAGACAGGCGCGGCCCAGCGCCGGCGGCGCCTAGCCGAGAAGTCGCAGTCACAGTCGCAATCGCAGTCGACGACGCCAACGCGCGGCGGCAGCCCCTCGCGCCGACCGGTTGCCGCGGCCGGACGCACCGAGAAGGGCGACAAGCTGCGGGCGCCAGCGACGCATTTGGCGGAAGGCGAGACGGCGGCGGAGAGGCGGCGTCGTGAAGGCGCGCTGGGGCTGGGGTCGGGCGCGCACGACTCGGAGAGCGAGTCCGAGGAGGAGGATGTGGGCAAGGGAATCCGCAAACCGCCGGCCGAGACGAAGCGCGGGCGCGAGAAGCTGGAGCAGCGCGACAGCGCGGAGCGCGAGCGCAGGGACTTGCAGCTGAAGCAGGCGCAGGCGGCGAGTGAAGAGAAGGAGATGAAGGATGTGGCTGCCTCCGCTGCTGCTGCTGGTGATGAAGTTGATGACGATGGGCACGACGAGCATGAGAACGAGAACGAGAACGAGAACGACGAGCACGACGAGGGCCGCAGCCGTACCCCCGGCATTAGGTTCGCGGAGCCGGCGCGCCCGCCGCCGGCTGCGGGCCAGGAGGAGAGCCATCATCACCGGCGGAGGTCGAGCGGGCTGAGGTGGGGGAGGGATGTTGGGCGGGGAAGGAAGTAAGAACGTAAGAAAGAAAAGGCCATGATGCGGCGTATGTCTTCATCGTGACGCACGCGGTCTGGCTTTTTTCGGTCTGCTTGCTTCATCGAGCCCTGAGCCGTTGACCTCTTCTTTCTCTTTCTTCTCTCCATCTCTTCTTTTCTTGTTCTTCTACTTCTACTTCTTCTACCTTTCTGCGTTTGGCGCAACATAATAGACAGGACGGGGCGGGGCGGGATAGTCGTGTGGTCTGGAGTAGGGTGCTGTTGTTGCTGCTGTCTGTTTGTTAGCTCGTTTTTTTGGTGCGTCGTGGCGCCCGCTGGTTATCGCCTGGGCGCGTGTAATTATTTAGTCCTGGAGGGAGGGACGGAGGGATGAAAGGTGGGGGAGGAAGGAGTTGGGGAGGAGATGTGAGAGGAGATGGAAAGGAGGAAAAAGAACACGTGGGATGGATGAATACATATATATGATACTACTGATGCTTTATACTCAATGTCTGGGGGCTGGTTGTGGGAGGGGATGGTGAGAGGCGAGGAGGGGATAGACAGACTTTAACTACTTAATGTGTTCTTATGTGGTTGTGTGCATATGTGTGTGTGTGTATGTGTGAGGGTTGGTGATAGGTTTATATAGTTAGAGGGAGCGCAGTATATAAGCTTAATTTTCATATAGATATCTATACTCATGCTTACACCCAGACACACATTTCCTCACACAAGTATCAATGCCACTACAACCCCTATAACAAAATCAATCTAACACCTATCGCTACACCAGTGCTTTCAAACTCTCTTAAGTTACTTCCAAAGGCACGTCACAACGCCACGACAGCTTTACAACGCGTCGAATATTAGTGATGCAGTAAGTGGCTACACTAGATAATTGCACAAGCTCATACATTGACAGCATCCGTCACCGCGAACCGAGATGCACCGTCTAGCTCGACAGGAGACGATACCAGCAGTCGCTACCTAACAGCGTATACCTTATCTAGCTCACAGCCCGGCTGGGGTATGGGTGAATTGAAGGCCTTAGAACACACACACAGACTCTACATGATTTAACTTAGTAATGTTTGTGCGGGGTGAAGAAGAGACCGCTATCTTGCAAACGGCGACCGACGTTGCCTGCGCGCTTACACGGGTGGAGCGTAGAGCGTGCGGGAGGGCTTGTCTATGTATGTTGTTGAGGAGGTGGCTTGGACTCGAAATGGTGTGTGGGAGTGGTTGTGGTAAGTATTCGACCTGGCCTTATTGCTCAACCCCGCAGTTCACTATAGATATTTGAATAGCTAGAATCCCTTGCTGCGGTGTTGTTGTCTTAGCTATATATATCATCGCCGGCCGCTGGATCAAAAGGTCTGTATTATGATATAGTGTGTGGAGATACTGTCTTGTTCAATGTCCTATGTAAACATGTAACGGCGCTTCTAGGCACCCACGCATGCACCCATACTCCTCAAAAACAAGCAACAAGCAAGCAAGCAACTAAGCACCCAGGCACACGCCCTCAGCCTCGGGCTCTAACTCAACAACTCCCTAATATCCTCAATGCGCTGCACCTTCTTCTCCTCGTCACTCATCATGCCCAAACTACTGGCCAAGAACTTCTTGCGCTCCTGGATCTTCAGCATCTTCTCCTCAATACTGCCACTGACGATGAAGCGCGTGACCAGCACATCCTCCACCTGGCCCATGCGGTGCACGCGGTCGATGGCCTGCGCCTCCACCGCATAGCTCCACCACGGATCCATCATGAAGACGCGGCGCGCGGCCGTGAGATTCAGCCCTACACCGCCGGCGCGCAGGCTCAGCAGCAGCACCACGCCCCGCGGCGCGTTGCGGAATTCGGCCAATGCGGCCGCTCGCGCTTTTTGCGTCATGCTGCCGTCGAAGCGCACAATGGGCAGGCTTTCCCGCCCTAGTGCGCCTTGGATTAGGTCCAGGAAGCTCGTGAATTGGCTGAAGACTACCGATTTGGTGAATGGTTCCGCGCGGCGCAGTTTCGTGAGCTTCGAGACTAGTGCTTCGATCTTGGCGCTGGCGGCGCTGTTAACCCGCCGCAGCGAGATGCGCGGCGTCTGCGTGCCGCTTGGCTCCTGTTGCGTGCAGGTGTACAGGTTCTCGCTGTCTGGTTCAGGCTGCGCGGGCTCGGGGTCGTGGCGCACGACGACGAAGACGTCACGCGCGTTGATGGGCTCGCGGCAGTTGAAGCAGCGTGGGATTTCGTTTTTGTCGCGTTGGTGCTCGATGTAGTCTAGCAAGCACTGCTTGCAGGCCGAGTGCCAGCAGCCCGTCACGGCTTGGTCTTCCATGGGCTCTTCGGTGCAGATGGGACACTCCGAGTGCTGTTCTGCCTGGATTTGCTTCAGGACGTGCGCGCCGAATCTGTTGACGTCTTGCTCTCCGTTCTCGTCTTCTGCTTCGAATCGCTGGATCAGTGCGTCTAGGTCCATGTCGTCGGCAAGTCCGTTGGCAATGTCTGCCGCGTTGGCGGCGTCCTCTTCCTCAGTCACTATGGCCTTGTTCCGCGTGAGTACGGGATGACAGCAGCTCTGGCGGAGGCGCAGGATCTGCGCGAAGATGGTGGTGTAAGATTTCATCAGCGTGCCTGCCTCGACATTTGATGTAAATGCCTGCTTGGCCTTTGTGAAGATGTAATCGTACACCTCGCGCTCCGCTTGAGACAGCTCGAGCAGTTCAATGTCAATCTTTCGCGGTGGTAGTGGCACGAGCGCTTCACCGTCAGGTGTCTTCATATCCTTGGTGCGGCGGAGGACTAACGGTTCCAGGACCGTTTGGACCACGTCGAGAGCACGAATGAAGTCTCCTGATTCAAATGGAACGGTAATGAAGGTCTTCCAGAACGAAAAGTTGGACCACGGCTCTACTCGCAAGAAGTGTACAAGAGAGAAGAGGTCTTCAAGGCGATTGACAATCGGCGTGCCAGTCAAGATCCAGCGATGCTCCGCTGCAAGTTCGTAGCAAGCTTTCGCTGTTTTCGACTGCCTATTCTTAATAGTGTGAGCCTCATCCAAGATAATGCGAAAGTAGTCCACGGAGAAAAGACCACCATGCGAGCCACGATTGCCGCCCATAGATGCGACCTGGTTAAATTCTGAGAGCACCACACCATAAGAAGTTATGATGACGTCTGGAGCATTCGTCGCATTAGCTTCGCAGCACAGCTTCTGGAGATTGACAGCCTTTTCAGATCCATAGTACACCATAGATTTGAGGGTCCCGGGCTTGGAGGCCTTTTCCGCTTCGCTTTGCCATTGTGCCAATAAGGACATGGGCGCTATTACCAGCGTCGTATGAGGAGCTTTCTCGACGGAAGTAGAATACTTTGGCAGACGAGGCAGGTCGTTGACTGTAGACCCATTGGCCGTTGAGTCTGCCAAAGTATCTGCCTTGTGCGAATGGATAAGGCTGAGCATTTCGATAGTCTTGCCCAACCCCATTTCATCTGCCAAAATCCCACCAAGACAATTTTGCTCCTGGACAGGGAAGTCTAAAGACATCTCTCCGGAATACGGATTGACATAGAAGCTGGGCTGTCCAGTGACCTCCGGCAATGGTTGATCGTCAACATCTTTGGTTGGCCATGTGTATTCCTCCCACAACGGATGCATGGACAGTTCTCTTCGATTAGACTTTTCGTCTTTTTCCTTGTTCATCATCCAATGAAGAGCTTGCTTTTGGTATTTCCGGAGATCCATGGCAAAAGTCTCCGCTGGCTCCGCTTCGGGTGTGTTAAAGTCGAACGACTGCGCCTTTTTGTATAACGAGTCGAGTTGATCCTGAGCGAGTTCTTGTCCCTCTTCTGCTTCGTCCGAGGGAGGCGTCGAAGGGGTTCCTTCTTGAGATTTCTGTGATTTCGAAGGTCCTTGTTGTTCATTTTTCTCTGCATTCTCAGCGGCTCGAAGCAACCCTTGTCGTTTGTGCTTCTCTGTCGTAACATTGGCTGTAGTCGGATGTAGGTTGATTTCATCAAACAACTTGACCAACCCGACTTGACGAAGACGCAAGTTACGTTCCTCCAGTGACTCCTGCGCCTCGAAGAAGGTAGTTTGCCGATTGGCGTCTTGAGGCTTCATGAACCCCCCAGCTTCAAACACATTCTTTAAAAGGTAAGCGCGCAACTGGAGATAAATCGTGTCGTTGGTCCGCAACCTGTCGGGAGTGAAAATACAGGTTCCCTCGAAACTGCAGACTTTCTGGTCGATCAACGACGATATCCAAGCAGCCGACTCGTTCTCCAGGCGACCCACTTCCTCTCCCCTAGTGTTGGTGAACCGGACAACAATGTCTTGGCGCTTGTTGAGAATACTCCTTGCTTTTCCGCCTCTTCCAAATGTTGTCATAGCTGGCTGTGTTTTTGTCCTCTCGATACCCACTGTATCACCGGACTTGATCAGGCCTAAGCCACTCCTCGTTGCCCATCCAGCTACGCCGAATGCTCCTATGTATCGCTTATCAGGCATGGAAGTCCGGGGCGGTAATTGTCGTGTGGGTGGCGTGGAAGCGGCCGGGGGAACACTTGCGCTGCCCGAATGCGATCTACTAGATTTCGCAAAGGCATCGAGAGTTCCTGTGGATTTGAGTGCGGTATTAACTGGAGTAGTTTCCCATGATCCGTCCAGGAAAATGTTTATAGCTAGACACAGAGCTTCGTCAGCCACTGCCAGTGTGAAGCAATGCTTGCACCAAACATACCGTGTTGTATGTCATTCCCGCTCAGCTTTTGCAGTCTTTGTAACGTCGGCGCAGGTACTGCCTGTCCGACGAAAGACGCGAACAAGTCTGGGTCAAAGCCCTCGGGACCTTTATCTCCATTGGCAACATCTTCTGCTCCAGCATTTATTTGTACATCCGAGATTGTCTTGGGAAGCGCTTCGAGCTCGTCGGGTAGTGAAGTGTCGTTTGATGTGACAGGAGACTGGTCGACGAAGAAGCGGCGCTTCTTAGCGGGTCTTTCGTCTGGGTGGGTAAAGGACATGCTCGAATGCGTCGTGGAAGAGCGCGGGCGAGGCGAGAGGCGTGCGGGCGTGTCGACGCGTTCCGACGCGCGAGTCAATTCGTCGACCAACACGGGCCAGACGTCATGGAGAAATAAATCCAATCGCCGCTCGCCTTTTGCAGATTACCCACACCGAAGTCAGTCAATCACTCTCACAATGCAGTCGCTACGCAGGTCAGCAGGGCGCATTGCCCGCCCAAACGCCTGTTTGTCCTGTCGACGCACTTATGTGACTACCGCAGCCGCAAACGAAGTCCAGAAGGCGCGCGTATACTGCTCCAACCTTATACGGTAGCTATCAAGCCCCCCACTTCCATGCGCCATCACCAGCTGACCCCCCTAAGCCACTACGACTCGCCCTCATTTACCCTCCAAACCTTCATCCCGTTTCCTGCCCGCGATGCATACCTCGCTATCCGCGCTTTCAACATCGACGTCGCCCGCATCGCCGATGCTACATCGGTCGAGACAGTTGGGCGGATGCGGATGGAATTCTGGCGGGACGCCGTCACCAGCGCACTGCAAGGGACGCCGAAGAAGGAGCCCGTAGCTGTGCTGCTTGCACACGCGGCTGAAGACCTACATGCGCGCAGCGGTGGGCAGTCCCGCCTGAGCAAGAGCTGGTTCCTGCGCGTCATCGCGGAGCGTGAGAAAGTGCTAAGCAATCCGCCGTACGCCAATCTGGCCGCGCTTGAGACCTATGCCGAACATACGTACTCGACGCTGTTGTACTTGACGCTGCAGGCGCTGCCGCTGGCATCGGTGACGGCAGACCACCTCGCCTCGCACATTGGCAAGGCGACGGGCATCGCGGCGGTCCTGCGTGGCCTGCCACTTGTCGCTTTCCCCCCGCCCCCGAACCATCACTCCAATCAGGCGGCGTTCGGTGGGGCAGCGTCCAGTGCGTCTCGGCAGGGTGCTGTTCTACTTCCGCTCGACATTATGGCCGAGGCGGGCGTCAAGGAGGAAGAGGTGCTGCGGCAGGGTGCGGATGCGCCAGGTCTGCGTGACGCTGTCTTCGCCGTTGCAACGCGTGCCAATGACCATCTGATCACGGCGCGTACGATGCTGAGCAGCCTGCGTGCGGGCGGCGAGGTGGACCATGATTTCGAACATGCACACGAGGAAGAGCACCGGTACAGCCCACAGCAACTGAGCGCGGGGACACAGGCGCAGCAGCAGGACGTCGAGCGGGCGTTTGGTGTGTTGATGCCCGCTGTCGCGACGAGTTTGTGGTTAGACAAGCTGCAGAAGCTTGACTTTGACATCTTCAACCCCTCGCTCCGCACCACGGACTGGAAGCTGCCCTGGAAAGCATACTGGGCATTTAGCAGGCGGAACATCTAAAGTGCTCAGCGCTTTCTCTCCATTTCTGTCTCATAAACACTCCCGAAGCGTAAAAGTTGAGCAGAATACAGCGTCCAGCCAATCAGAAGGCGCTGAAAGGACGCGGGGCGATTCAGCCCTGTGGAGCGGCATCGGACCGCATTACTAAGCAAAGCATACATGGAACATCATCGCCGCTGGAATTCCGCGGAGCAAACTATTTCTCACAATCACACCTGCGCCTTACCGATCTGAATTCTTACGTTCTCACCACAAGTTTCCAGTTACGCCTTCCCGATCTGACCACCGTTTGCACGACGCGCGACTCGGCCACAATGGCGCCGTCCCTCGAAGAAGCCTCCAACACGACCGGCGAAGCAGCGCTCGAAGCGCCACTCAAGCAAGCACCCAAGCTCGTCGCACCCGAACCCGAACACTGCCCTGGTCCGGAGTCACAACAAGCAGGCAAGGCAGATTCATGTGCGGGGTGCCCTAACCAAGCCATCTGCGCCTCGGCACCCAAAGGCCCGGACCCGGACATACCAGTCATCACGGCGCGGCTCGCGGAGGTGCAACACAAAATCCTGGTGCTGTCGGGCAAGGGCGGAGTGGGCAAGAGCACGGTGTCGGTGATGCTGGCGCACGCGCTGGCAGCGAACCCGGACAGCGCGGTCGGGTTGATGGACACGGATATCTGCGGACCTAGCATTCCAAAGATGATGGGCGTGGAGGCGGAGAGCATACACGTTACGGGGACTGGAATGGAGCCTGTGTGGGTGGCGGATAACCTGGGGGTCATGTCAGTCCAGTTTATGCTGCCGAACCGGGACGACGCGGTCATCTGGCGCGGACCGAAGAAGAACGGCCTCATCAAGACGTTTCTGAAGGACGTGTCATGGGGCGTGCTAGACTACCTAGTCGTGGACACGCCGCCAGGCACGTCGGACGAGCACCTCAGCGTCAACAGCTTCCTCAAGGAAGCAGGCGTCGACGGCGCCGTGCTCGTCAGCACGCCGCAGGAAGTCGCGCTGCTGGACGTGCGCAAGGAAGCCGACTTCTGCCGCAAAGCGGGCATCCGCATCCTCGGCATCGTGGAGAACATGTCGGGCTTCGTCTGCCCGAACTGCACGCACCGCAGCGACATCTTCCGCGCCTCGACGGGCGGCGCGCGCCGCCTGGCCAAGGACCTCGACATCCCGTTCCTAGGCGCTATTCCGCTCGACCCGCGTATCGGCATGGCGTGCGATTATGGCGAGAGCTTCCTCGATGCGTATCCTGATAGCCCGGCCTGTAAGGGCATTCGCGATGTCGTGCGCGCCGTGGGCGAGCAGATGGGTTTGGATCCCGATGATGTGCTGCCGGAGCCAGAAGAGGAGGCGGCGGCGGAGGCGCTCGAAGAGGGCGCGAAGGTCGCCGCTGATTGATTGAGACTTGGGTGCGCTTTTGCGGACAGGCGTTGCGGGAGCATCTGGGCGGCGTTTTGGGGGGCTTGTGTAGGTAGACAGACACACGTACTGTCAAGCCGGACGGACGGTACCGACGGGGTATGTATATACATGACGACGACCCTCACGGAATGAAACCAGACAAACATTTATTTCCTTTCGCTGTATCATATCTGTCCCTCTCTATTTCTTTCTCTCTTTTTCCTTTCTCTCCATCCATCCATCCATGCGCTCTAGCCCCCACTTCTAGCCCCCATGTCCATGTCCAGGATCCCGCCCGTTTCGCAGCGGAGCAGCCGGCTATGCACACGCATCCACGTGGGGAAAGTGGGGGCAACGCAGCGCAGTGCAGTGCAGGTAATCCGACCGGACTTAGGCAGCGGCGCGGCAAGACGTACATACATATAGCTAGCGAGGTAGGACCCTAACCTAGACGTAGGTAGGTGTGCGCACCTCGGCCGGGCGCGGCGTAAGCGCCGCAAAGTGGTGCGCTGCCATGCGCTGCGATGCGATGCGATGCGGGCGGCGCTGCTCCGCGCAAGCTGGCTGGGCGGGTGGGGACTGGGCGTGCCCTGTGTTCCTCTGTAGGTACCTAGGTACCTACCTATCTAGTATGTGTTTGTGCGGAGGCTGCAGGCGCGCTGGACGAGGATCGAGGCGCGGTCTGGAACGCGTCTGCACTGCTGGAGGCGAGGTCACGAGTGCGGCGTTGGCGCGGCTGCTGACTAGGTAGGTACCTACCTACCTGTGTGTGTATGCGTGTACTTGTGCTCTTAGGTGCTGGCTTCTGGCCTGGGCTTGTGTAGGTATATCGGAGTGGGCGCGCGGGAGTTGGCTTAGTGCGGTAGGTGGGCAGGTGGTGGGCTGGCAGGAGCAGGAGCAGGCCTCGTGTCAGTCAGTCAGCCAGCCAGTCAGCCCGTCCGTCAGTCCGTCCCGTAGTCCGTCACAGTCAGCCAGTCAGTCAGGGCCGTTTAGGAAAGATGACATGAGGCGAGACAAGACAAGCCATGGAAGCCAAGCCGGACGCCATAGGTACAGTACCTACCCCTACCTCTACCGAACCTTACCACTACGCCGCAGCCGGAGGAGCTTGCCTACCTAGCTGCCCATGTAGGTACACACATACACACGACCACACGACCAGGCGTAATCCGTAGCTAACTAAGGCCAGCCCGGTCGTCTAACAGGCGGCGCCGACGCGACGCGACACGATAACACTCACGAGCACGACGGCGTCGGCCCTCTGCGTAGGGAGGGTAGGCAAGGCCTCTGTCAGCAGTGGGCAGTGGCGACGCTAACTAGCGTCGGCTGCCTCTGCTGCTGCTGCTGCTGCTGTCACTGCTAGCTGTTCCTAACAACATGCCTGCCCTGCCCTGCCCTGCCTTGCCCTGCCGTGCCGGTACGTACAGTACCTACCTTAGCTAGGTACGTACACGCGAGCGGCCGAAGCGGCCTCTCCGAACCTAGGACGCAAAGCGCGCGCGATCGCTTTCGGAAGGATGGGAGCGGCGCTTGCGGGCTGCATGGGTGCTTAAGCGACGGGACGGAGCAGGCCTGCCAGCCAACCCTAAGCGGGAAGACCAGGTGCGGCGGCGCCTAGAAAAGCAGCAGCAGAAGCGATGGAACGGACGCGCCGACGGTGTGCGACGACGATGCCGGAGCGTGGGGACGGCAAAGCCCGTTCGTACGTCGTGTCCTCCTTGCTCCGGCTGCGGTAAGTAGTGGGCGGTAGGTAGTCCGTAGGTAGGTTGTGGGGGCGGCGGCGGCGGCGGCGGCGGTAACGCTTGTTGCCTGCGTCTTGCGTCCCTCCAGTCGGAGGAAGGTAGGTGCTGTTGGTTGCATATGTGCGTGTGGGTGTGGGTGTGTGTAGCTGGTGATCCGTCATCTTGTCACTGGCGATGTATGTAGCTAAACCTGCTGACTCGACAACAAGCAAGCAAGCAAGCAAGCAATCAGCGCGCAGGCCGCAGGCATCGGCGTCTGCAAGCTACTGCCGTTGAAGTCGATGCTGCAGGAGTAGGTAAAGTAGCGGCAGCAGCCGCGAAGAAAGCATGCTGCAATGCGGGCTGCAATGCAGACTGCAAGCTGCAAGCTGGGAGGGAGGGTGCAGCGGCGATCGATGTGAGCAAAACGAAGATACATAAGCGCGGCGCAACACTCGCAAAAGCAAGAATAGGTGCGTACGTATGTGAGCGACGGACACATACACGCAGCAGCAGCAGGAAGGAAGGATGGGAGGAAGAGAGGGCGTGAGTGAGTGAGTGAGCAGCGCAACCTAGCCAGCAAGCCAGCAAGCCAGCGCCCAAGCACCCACGCAAGCATGCAAGCAAGCAATCGCACGCGCACAGGATCGCAGCTATGTATGTAGGTGGCTGCCTGGCCGGCTGGTGCAGTGGTGATGACCTAGCTAGGCCGGGGCAGCTCTGTCTGCGTACGGAGATGTACACCAACGTACGGATACACTCGGAGAGAAGCAAGCAAGCAAGCAAGGAGGCAAGGAGGCACGCGGGCAAGCCCTCTCACACCCACGCCCACACACCCTAGCTAGGTACCTTTGTAATCCGTACCTACCTACCTACTTACCCACGCAGGCGACGGCGCAGCCTCCAGCCCAGCACAGCGCGTGTGAGCGAGAGTGGTGTGCAGCAGCAGCCACCTCCGGCGCTCGCTCGCTCGCTCGCTCGCGGCTTACTTAGCCACCCATCAATCCATTCACGCAGCAATATACAGATACAGTACGAACCAAGCCGCAGAGCCAGACCCAGCCGGTCACATAGCCAGCCAGCTAGCTAGCTGCCTAGGTATGTATGTATGTGCGGAGCAGGGAGGCAAGCACACCCAGACCACCTGTGATCTAGGGCAGGAGCGGGCAGGAAGGAAAGTCTAAAATAGAAAAAGAAAAGAACGGAAAAAGAAAAGAAAAGAAAACGGCCGGGTAGTGGGTGGTGGATGGGTGGGCTTATGTGTATGTATGTATGTATGTGTATGTGTGTGTGTGTGTGTGCGTGCGTGTAGGGAGGTGGTGAGATGGTGAGAGGAAAAAGAAAAAGTTGAGGTAACTACCTACATCCGTACTTGCTGCTGGATGGAACACAGCTAGCACATGAGTGAGTGAGAAAAAGAAAAGTGCTTACTGCTGCTGCTGCTGCTGCTGTTGCTGCACCATCCTCACCTCCGCTACTGCCATTACTCCGTACTCCGTACTCCGTACTCACTCTGCATGGCGGCAGTGGCGGCGAGCGCGGCTGACGAGGCATGTACGCATGTAGGATGTAGGTCCTCATTTCCTTGCCTACCGTGGGAGTACTGCACTGAAGACAAAGCAAAGCAAAGCAACGCGCCGCCAAAGCCAAAGCCACGCACCCACTGCACCCGACGCCCGGCCCCCGGCCCCCGACCCGTCGGCACCGCCCACAGTCCACTGCTCACAGCTCACTCATCACAGCCAGCAACAAAAAGCCGAAATGCCGAAATGCCAAGGCCGCGCCCCGGTTTCGCTCGCGTGGGCCGTGGCAGAGTAAGCGGCATAGTGGCATGGAGATTGCGGGCTGATCCTGCTGTCTTCTATGTTGCCGACACGGACACGGCAGGCACGGCAGCACGGCACGGTTGGTAGGGCAGGGTCCACCTACGTACCTGCCTGGCCGGGGGTAGGGTTTGGGTTTTGGATGGGCAGGGGTTGGTGCTTGTGCGTGAATAGGTAGTATGTAAGTGCGGCGGCTGATGATGATGTTGTATTGATGAGGCAAGGGTAGGTATGTAGGTGCGGATTGCGGAGGTAGGAGGAGGTGTATGTGCATGGGTATGGGTATGGGTATGTGCGATATGTACAATATTGTATGTACAGAAGGATCGACTACGGAGAGCGAGGCGGAGGGCGATATTGACAAGGGCAGCGCAGCGCAGCGCGGAGCGGGTCAAACTCAAACGTGTGTGGGCTGGACACAGACACAGACACAGTGGACGCTGGTGAAGGAACGGAACGGAACGCAACTCAACGGGCATGGCGGCGTGGCATAGCGTGGCATGGCATGGCAGGGCGCAGAAAAGGGCAAAAGGGCAAGACAGGACAGGGCAGGACAGGGCAGGGCAGTAAGCAATGGGCACGCAGACACCTCCTCCCCTCACCCCTCCAGGCAGGCTGAGACAGCAGCCCCAAGCCCGACAGGCAGAACGAACGAACGAACGAGTCACTCAGCGCGCGCGCCGTGCGCAGCCTGGCAGCGTGGGCGCACGTCCATCATCTCTCGAGGTTTCCATGTGGATCCAGACAGGCATAGACATTATGTAGACACCAAACACCGAACACCGGGGGCACGGCGTGCGAGTGTTAGTGTCAGTGGGGAGCAAGGAGAGGCGGAGGAGGCATACATGCATGCATGCATGGGGCGCCAAAGCGTTCGTGCGCTCCGTCCAGCTTTCGGCAGTTCGTGAATGATGGATCGTCCGTCCGTTGGGAACTGGACTTGGGAGACAAGGGAGAGCGAGCGAGGGGAAGCGAGAGGACGAGATTGGAAGCAGCGTGCTTTGGACTTGGTATCCCCGGACGGACGTGCTGTTTTGGGCTGCTGCGCCGCAACCCCCTTGTCCGCTTTCTCCCTCTGCGTCTCCTGTTCTGGCAAGCAAGCAGTCTGCTACGGCCAGACAAGGCGACAGTCTAGGTAGAAGTAAGACAACCTTGTCCGTCCGTCCCGCTGGACTTGCCCGCCTGCCCAATACGCACCGCCCCGTTCAGTGCACCACCGACAGTCAACACTGCCACCGCCACCGCAGCTCTACCCAAAACGAACGGGAGCGACCGACCTACTAGTGCGAGAGCACCGCTCAGGAGGGGCAGAAGGAAGAAACGACGGGCAGGGGCAAGCCCAGTGCCCACCCACGCACCCACTCAAAGAACAGCAAAGCCAACCCACACCCACACTTACCTACCACACAGGTGCCAGCGGCAGCGGCAGCAGCGGCGGGCGCGGGCGCGGCGG